TGCAGTACAAGGCAACTAATAATAAGAGAGCTCATTTGGCTGTTTTTGACACATAAAACCACACGACCTTCAGAAAAGAACCTGAAGGGAATGTAGGATATGAGCCCCTGCACGTGTTTTTGGCAGCAGGCGTGTGGAACGGAGGGATAAAGCGATAATTAACCGAGTTACTGACTGATATCTGTTGGTTCTCCTTTCACCCTCTGGCTGAAGTTGAAACCGGAGAGGAGGAAACAAATTCAGAAGAAATAAATGCGCAACAGTGAGCTGTCGCTCAGGGCTTTTCCCCGAAAACACTTCCTCTTTCTGCTGAAATCACTGTGTAAATATCTTTCATCTCGCTCTGTCTCACCCAGACAGTCTGCTTTCGCTGAGTTTCCCCCCTAAATTCTCAATATTAGCCTGGTGTCAGCGCAGCACTTGTGTTAGCCTAGCTGCTGTGTGGGTAAAAGGTCAGTGCAGGCCGGCTAACGCTAGGAGAAAACAGCTGATTAAATAGGACGGTCAGTTTAAAGGAAAGAAAACAGAGCTGACCCCCTTAGACGGACACGCACAAGGTCAGAGAGGTGTTGGTTGGCGTTATATTTGGTTTGGGTTGTTTGTTCAGTAATGCTAGGCTGTCCTGTGGGGTCAGTCCTAAAGAGAGACGCAGAGAAGGGGAAGCCCACCCTAACGTCCGCAGATGTATATAAAGTTCAGTGTGTTTTAACAAACAATAAACAATTCAGTACTTTAACTTACCTTATTAAAAATAAGATAACGCTAAGTAGCATAGCTAGAACACAGAGGTGAAGAGCAACACCTGTTCATAGAACTCATAAGATTTATTTATTTATTTATTTATTTATTGCCACATTTTAGAATAATAGTAACATCAGAAATATGAAATATTTGATATGGAATTACTCCAGTGAGATGTTATCCTTTCATCAAACAAGGCTATGTAGGTTCCACCCTCCCGCATCACAACACAGCTGACTGGCTGAAATGCATTAACAAAGACAGACATTCCACTAATCAACTTTTAATGAAAAACACCTAAAGAATAATCTTAACGAATTCCACCTCTTCACTTTCCAAATCAAAATTTCACTGCAGTCCTAAATGAAAACTTAAACTATTATTTGAAAATATTATTGCTGTTATTTTTTATATTTATTTAAGTTGAATTCATACACAGGCATTGATCTGCACATTCAAATTCGTTCTAAAAACATCTTTGAAACTTTTAAGCATAAGCATTTAGATCTAAATGTGCATAAGTTTATTAAAGCAAAAAATACTAGTACTTTGGGCTGATATCATGTATATGCATATACAGTACTGTGTGAAAGTCACACTGTGAGAGACACTTAATTTATATTCATTTATAATTTCCAGTCAAAATGGCCATTGTTTACAAGTACATGATATTTCCGAGCAGATTAGATCGCAGGGCTGGGCAGTATGGCAATATATAACGTTAACGTGATAAATTACGTCACAAAACAATATAATATGCTTGTCTGAACACATCATGCATTTCATCAGAACTTGTAGACACGGACCAACTGCATGTTTCATTATAAAGAGAGCAAAATTAGTCCAGTTTAACTGATTTAGAACCAAATATTGAACAAAAATCACAGTTTAGTCAGAAGCAGAAAATCATCAACCAACTTCTAAGCCTGAACTTTGGAGGCTTGTCTGCAGATTCTTTGGGAAACTGAAAGAGGGTCTCCTGAAAAGAATGATAAGCGGTAATATATAAAAAAAGAGCCACTAAATTTACTGTTCCGGGAATTCCTCTCCTAACAGGAAATATCTGCAGCGTAATTGGGACAGAAAACAGAATCCAGTGCACAAACAGCGTCCAGCATAAATTACAGCTCAGATATAGACACTCATAGTATTTCCTGTCGGAGAACTTCTGAAAGATCAGGACATCATGTCTGTACACACTGCAGAACTGTCCTGATTACATCATCATAACAGAATAAATCGCTGTGATGCGCTTCCTGCAGAGCTCAGGACTAAATTAACGCCCAAAAAAGCTTTATTAATAAACAGCACACATAAGACACACAATGGCTTTTACTGCTGAATCACTGTTGACATTAGTCCAGGACTAGACGTAAAGGGAAACTCTACCAGTTTCTCAGAATTTCCCCAAAATTGAGTGTGTGAGATGTAATCAGAGTGATTCAGAGAGGTTTGGTGTGAAATGGTTCAGCTGTCTTTACAGTGGTGGTGATAGGAACCAGGGGTCGCCATGACTACAACACAAATATAGACATTTTATTTACTATCCAGAACCACCAGTGAACCTACACGAGTCTTCTGAGTCTATATGGAATGTTGATGATGGAAAATAGTGGAAAATCTGAAATAATCAGTTTTCTTTGGGGACTGTTTTGCCTCACAGCGCCCTGCATGTATCCCTCCACTGTGAATGGAGTATAAAAAATACATTTTAGGACCAAAACCTCCTCAAAACTATTGCAAAACAGCGTCTCAGACATCCTGCAGTGCTTTACTTTTATCTTCATCTATTTTATCTTGACACTCATTCTGCAGGTTTCTGGCCGAACTGAACGTCCAAAAGCCTGACAGTTTAGTTTTGGATTAAAACAACACGTACGCAGTTGCTGAGGGAGCGACCTTGGCCGTGTTTATCTGACCCGTCACAGTAGCAGCTGGGGTTTTGGGGCTCAGTTTCTTTATTGCATATTTTACATTTTTGAATGTTTTATCTGTGATTCAAGCCCTTTTTCCTCATTATATTATTACTATTTTAATATTTATTTTTTGTCACTTTCAAAATTATTTATTATTTTCTGTTCCTCTTTTGCTGATTTTTACTTGCTTCTCTTTTCTTTGAGCTGCACGTAAAATAATAATAATAATAATATGACACTGCAAACACGTGTTATTCCTAATCTGAAGATACTACAGGCCAAAACCATACAGTCATGCGCAACAGTTTGTGCCATTACATGTTGTTTCTGATTATTTTGTAAATAAGTTACACAGCCTTTACAGAGACACACTTCTGTGCATTTTAATACACAATCACTGCTTATTTACTGAATTTAACATGGTGGGTGGAAAACGCATAAATTGTTCTCTTTGCAAATGTAGCACAGTTATAATTTCACTTCTTCCTCAGTTCATCTCTGCCAATAAATAGAAACTGTGCACAAATTAGGAGTGTGGAAAGAATTAAGCACTGCTCAGCGTATCAGTCTTCCTCCTTAAAATACACTAGGTGCTCAGATTAAATCAGGTGGTAATAAACGTAACTTAGAGACTAAATATGCTTCATAAATCTTCACACAGGAGGATTAGATTCATTCACGGTTGCCAGTGTTGGCCTTTTAGACTGAACTGTTTGTGTAAAATATGGTTGAAACTCCCTGTTTAAAGAAAGAGAGATTCACATTGTTGATATGTCTCTACAAGTCCCGTGTATGACCTCTGACCCCACAAGTCTCTGTCCCATCTCTGCTCCCCTCCGGGGGTCTCCTCTGACGCAAACGGGGTGTGTGGAATCCCAAACATCTACACACACATACAGCGTTGATGACATTACACTGACACACATGTCCAGAACGGCCCGTCTCTCGCTGAGAGCCAGCAGACTGTGGAGGGGTGAAGTGGGGGGTGAAGTGGGGGGTGAAGTGGGGGGTGAAGTGGGGGGTGAAGGGGGGGTGAAGTGGGGAGGGGTGTTATATGTGAATAACAATGACTAACTATGTACCACACACAATTGAAGACATGCAAACGGCCTTTCTCTCACCTCACCGTTCACATAGCACACTTTCATATTCATCCACAGTCTATTGTGATCCACTGACGTGATGCACATCAGTCATTTACATACAGACGGTGGATAACAGACCAGCGCGTCACACAGACTCACACTCAGATTATTCCACAGTGCTTTGTATTCCTGTGATGTAACAACGACACTAATTTACATACAGACAGTAAACAGACTCTAGCCTGAGTAGCCGGTTCTGAAAGAGTCGATTCCACACAATTTTCTTGATTCTCGATTCCAAAGTTAGAGATCTGGCAAAATGAACGTATGCTTTGAATTCAAGGCGGGTGATATGACAAAAATATAATAAAAGATGGTTCGTTAAGGGTTCTTTAGGAAAGGGAAAGGTTCTATTTAGAACCATGAGTTCTGTAAAACAATGTCATGCTTAAAAAGAGGTGGACGATGTTGCAGAAGTATAATATCACAATACTTCAAGAAATTTTCATGATACACAATATGTAACAATAGTTGTTTATTCAGACATCTGATCATTTGGAACGGAGAAAAAGAACCTGCATTTAAAAATATACTATCAAAAACTTTAAACACAGTGATTTTTATTCAGTATTTGGCACTAAACCCAGTTAAACTGGTCTAATTTTGCTCTCTTTATAATGCAACATGCAGTTGGTCCTCATACTGTGTTGTATTGTGACATTTATTGTCATATCGCCCAGCCTTACTGTGAATTAGGCACACAGACCACTGTTATGAGTGAACTGTACTGAGCGTGTGTTGCTGTTTTTTGTGTTTAGCTTATACTTTCACACAAAAAATGGAATTAAAATGAAGAAGCTGCATTAAATTAATCAGTATAGGACTTTGAACTTCTTTAAAATGATAAGATGTACAGAATTTTCCCCCCTTTACCTCAAAAACGCAGCCAGTCAGCCATGTTTTAGCACTGGAGCTACAAGGCTAATGTGGCTAACAAGCAATGGAGGCTTATAATAAGCATCATGCTAACCTTATGCCTAAATTATCAACACTTGGCTCGACCTTGTCCAGTTATGGTGATAGTGTTTTTAGCTATGCTAATGTACATTTTCACAAAATAACAGCTTGGAAACGTAATAGCATCGTCAGTTAGCGTCATGTTACAACTAACAACTATCGAGTTGAAATGGTTTGGAGCAGAAAATGCCTGTTTTAGTGAGTGATATATTTTTTAATGAATTCCTTCTCTCTGCTGCAGGTGGCCATCAAGTCGATCAGGAAAGAAAACATTAAAGATGAGCAGGACCTCACACACATCCGGAGAGAGATAGAGATCATGTCCTCCCTCAATCACCCCTACATCATCACCATTTACGAAGGTACGGCAGGATTATCACACCTACGCTCACAAAAATGGATTCAACATACATAAAATTACCACTTAATGCATTCATATTTTACATATTTGTTCTAATATTACTGTTTTTCTGAGCAGACAAGCTTTTTAAATCTAGTTTTCTCAGGTGGCTAAAACATTTGCATAGTACTGTGTGTGTGTGTGTGTGTGTGTGTGTATGCATGCATAATTTCATATAAGAATATATGGAAACAGTAAAATAAATCAAATGTCACACAATCTGTTTTTTGCAGTTATAAAGAGAAGAACATACTAAATACTGTATTTATTGTTTGTTTGAAATGTTCACCCTCTAAAAAACGTGACGGTGTGTAATGAGTTGATTATTTAATGATGTTTAATGAAGTTGGTGGACACACTGATACACACACAGTCACGCAAAGCCTTTTGTTCAGCGCTGACCCAGTTGAGTTATGTAAGCGTTGTGAACCCCCCCCTCCAACGTACCCAAACCCCGAACACTGTGCTAAAGGAATATTTTGGCAAAAAATCAAACTTACACAATGTCCTCCTTTTACCCCACATGCAGTCCGACACTGTCTAACACTGTATGACATACTGTTAGCTATAAAATGTAAATTAGCATAGCTAAAAGCAGTAGTAGCAGCCTATGGCTAACACATAATGTACGCTTATAACATCAGAAGTATGCAGCATGGCTAAAAACATGGTAGTGTATTTGGGATTAATAAAATTCGACAAGATTTGAGGCAAATGTTGATCTAGGAATACATTTAGTGATGCTAATTAGCTACTGTTACTGGTTAGCTATGTTAGCCTCATAGCTCTAGTGCTAAAGCTTAAAAAGCAAACTTTAAACACCAAACACATCTTGGGTTATCATCTAAATGTGGGGGAAAAAGAGGAGAATGATAAATTATTTTTTTATGTAAACTGTTAGTAACTGCTGACTGTTCTTGTTTTTCTCTCAGTGTTTGAGAATAAGGATAAGATCGTGATCGTGATGGAGTACGCCAGCAAGGGGGATCTGTTCGACTACATCAGCGAGAGGCAGGTTTCCGAGAAAGAAGCGAGACATTTCTTCAGGCAGATCGTTTCGGCTGTTCACTACTGCCATCGGGTAAATATACACACTCAGTCTGACCACATGATCAGTCGGCCTGGTGCTGCTCTGATACTGCATATACAGCACCAGTCAGCAGCCTGAACTCACCGCTGACCGTGCAGTGAAATAAACCTGTTTATCCTACGTTACCTTGACACAACTAACACTATTGGTGTTATTTTATTTTATATAATAATACATTTTTACCTGTATTTATTATTTGCAAACGTGCATATATACATCACTGCTGTCAGGACAAAACCTTGTGTCTTCAAAATGGTAACTTTACAGGAGAAGGAAAAAACATACTTTACTTTTAATGTAAGTCAATGGAACCAGACTTTTTTTCCCCAAGCCATTCTGGGTCGTTTCTTTTGGTCCATTCTTTATGAAATTTAGACACAATGTAAAGAGCAACAAACATTTTCATATTTTGTCAAAAATGGAGACACAAGGTTTTGTCCCGACAGCAGCGACATGCATCAACCTTACATTTATATTTGTCTAAGAAACTCATTTCGAGACTTTTGAACTCTGTATCTGCACAAATACGACTCGGGTCGTTTCAGTTCAGACGGATCAAAACAGCCATAAACAAATAAAGGTGAAGTTTACAGCACTGAATATGAGCCAACAGTCAGGAGGGTTAAGCTGATAGTAAAACCATAAACACCAACCGTCTCCCAAAAAACATCTCCTAGCGCTTCTCTGCACACTGAGGTCGGGTTATTTAATGAAGCAGGATTACTCAGTTTACCTGGATAATTTAAGCTCAAACTGAGGAACGTCCAATAATATGTCCATTAGCTTTCTCCTTACTACGCTTAAGATGTGTGGCTTACAGGGGAATTAGTTTTGGGCTTAAGTTATCTGGTTAACTAGGAATCATCTTAGTCTTAAATTACCTGACTAGCTGAGATTCACCTGTGGTTTAAGTAATCTGGCAACCTGGGAAAATAATCTTGGGCTTAGGTGATCTGGCTAACTGAGAAATTCACTATAGACTTTATTGTATCTAGATAACTGGGAAGTGGATTCAGGGTTTAGGTTACATAATGTTGGGCTTAAGTTATTTGGCTAACTCGGGTTAACCTATGGCTTAAGTAATCTGGCTATCTGGAGAAATTAATCTTGGGTTTGGATGATCTGGCTAACTGAGCTGACTGAGAAGTTCGTTATAGGCTTAAATTATCCAGATAACTGGGAAATAATTGTCTTGGGTTTAGGTTACATAATGTTGGGCTTAAGTTATCTGGCTAACTGAGAAATCCTCCTTTTTGAAAATGCACATCAGAACTCATGTCTTGCAGACAGGTGACCGAGAGGGAGTGTCATCGCATACACTCTTGCCTGTAGCCATGGCAACCTCTGACCGCCCGGACACAGTCCAGACGCCTTTAGCTTACATAACCACGACGCTCACCAACCGCATGCACAACCTGAACAGGAGCACTGAGGCGCAGGATAGAGTCTCTCTCTCTCTCTCTCGCTCTCTCTCGCTCTCACTCGCTCGCTCAGCTCCTGCTCTCTGAAGTTTTGCATAATGACACGAGATGTGAAAATCCATCCCATAATAACACTGCAGCATTGTTCTGGTGTTGGCCGAAGGGAGCCACAGCTAAGACTGGCATTTTGGAACCACTTTTCTGAGCTGATGGAAGATTCCTGTTTTTTTTTTTTATGATAAATACAACATTATCACAATAAAAGCCTTTAACATTTCTTTTGATCTATTTATCGCAAAATGTTTATCATATGTGAAAAGTGAGGAAGCCCTAAAGGGCCATGCATGTATTTTTAACCATGATAATGAGTTATTTTCAGTTGTTTTCTCAAGGTCTTGTGATATTTAAATCATTATCTTTGGAAATGGGACGCGGTTTCATCGAGATAACATTCTTTATCTTGTGATAATGGTATAAATAACTTGAGATCACAGGAAAATGAATGGAAAAATGTGATAATGGGTTAAAAACACATCTTTTTGACTCAACGCAGATTATGTGTTGTGTTTTCTGATGCCTAATGCAAGTTGTAATGCACATTTTTAAAAAAACGTGATATAAAGTTGTAGTGTAAGGGCTTCTTACAGCACGCCAGCTGTAGTAACTTCATTTATTTAGTTATTTTTGCACATTAAACACAAGAAGGAAGTGCTCAGCAATTACACTTCTGAAAGCGGATCTCTATTTTTAAGTCTTTCCCCAAAGACGGGTTATTGAGGGAAATGCCTGGTCTGCATTCTTCTTCCTTTCCTTTTTTTTTCCTGGTTAATGGGCAGAAACGAGCTGGTTTCTGAGAAGGGTGAGGACGCTGGTATTCCCTCCTGCTGAGGAACATAATACAGCCGCATACTTCACATTCCACAGGCGGCCCAACGGCCGAATCCGCCCTGAACCCAGACGCGCCTCTATGTCCTTATTTAGAGCTCAGTATAAAAGATAAAAGCTCCATTCTGGAGACGGAGAACGGCACATTTCTCCGCCGGGCAGGTGCGAACTCTGCAGAGACGCAAATAACATCCAAGAGCAGGAATGAGCTTAAAACAATAAAATAAAATCACATCCACCTGCTCTGCTTTGCTCTTTCTTCAGTCAGTTATCCAATAAATGTCTGGAGCTGCTTCAGTTTTAGCGCTGGAGCTGCGAGGCTGGTTTAGCTAACAAGTAATGGAAGCTTATTAGCAGTTAGCGTGGTGCTAACTGCAGGCCTAAATCATCACACACTCGTCTGTTCAGTATCTCTAATAGACTCGATAAAGAGGTTTCTGACACACTGTTATCTATAAACATGAACTAAAGTACAGACAAAATTCAGGCAGTTACTGTTTTTATCTATGCTAATGTACTTCAGTCCATGTTTATAGATATCAGTGAGTCACACTGTGTCAGAAACCACATAATCAAAACTATTAGAGATACTGAACAACTTTACACAGTTTGAGGATGTTTATGATGATTATGCATGCAGTTAGCGCCATGCTAATTACTGCGCAAAAGCTACCGTTACTTGTTAGCCATGTTAGCCTCGGAGCTCCAGTGCTAAAACTAAAGAGGCTAAGGGGGAAAACTAAAACTGTGTAAAATAGCTAATCTAAAGCTAACAGATATATCCTCTTGGTGTTTTACAGGGGAAAAAAGGTTGTATTTATCCATAAAATCTCTATTTAAGTGTACGGTTGTGTAACTATAGTGAAAGAAAGCTTATGCTTATGTGCAAAGCCATGATTAGCAATGAGTCTGAGGTACAGGTTGTTCAATGTAACGCGCTGTGTCGCCCCCATATTCAGTTATATTTGACACTTTATTAGTGATCAAAATGATTAATTGTCACTCGCTGTCAACAGTGCAACTGTAATTCAGTTACTACAATTTTATGTTACTCAGCAAAACTTTCTGCGGTTAGATTTTGCTCGTGGCAGCTTTGCTTTTATGGTAGCACCATGACTGTTTTATTAAAGTTCCAGCATTAAGTGAGTTTATTATATTTTTATTATGATTATCAAAAAAATCACTAAGGAAGGATAATTAGTGATTCAGAATGTTTTGAACTCAGCCAGCAGATGGCGTAGTTCTGCACTTTGCCTCCACATTGCTGACACTTGTTTACTGAGAAGCTAAAGTGTTCAGGCTTTTTTATTGTGTGTTAAACTGTGGCCCTAAATAAGGAATTCAGTTGTGTGAAGTGGTTCATCTCAGGCTAAGCTTTCCTGCCTCTGTCTTACAGAACGGGATCGTGCACCGGGACCTGAAGCTGGAGAACATCCTGTTGGACCAGAACGGAGACGTAAAGGTGAGCACCCACACCTGCGGAATTACATCCGTGCTGACTCTCGCGTCCGTGTGAGTTCAGCACACGGCGAGCGGTCAGTCAGGGTGTTGAGCCTGTACCAATAAGGCTAACACCCTCTGTGCGTATAGACACTGGGCAGTCCTAAACATACAGTCGCGTCCTGCAGCTGTGAACATGCCACACCCTTCAGACTCAGACCTACAGCTTTACTGTCACAGCCTGCATCCTACTGCAGTACTGTAATATTAATCTCCCTACCCAGGCTCCGCCCACAAAGGTGTTCTTTTGAAGATACTGCTGGACAAGCTTTACAGAGCACTGGTAAAAAAATCATTAAACCTAATGAATGCATAGGTTACATGTAAATGTATAATAGATTTATACTTTTCAAAGTATTTTCAAATCATAATTCATTAACATTTAGTTTATAATTTTTTAGGCTTAATTTGGCTTTTTATTTAGACCCAAAGGACCCAAAAATAGAAGAACAGAGCGAAATGAACTCCAGTTCTAATACAGATTCTTATTTGCTAGCTTCTGATTGAATCCATTCCACCTTAAATGGTAAATCTTACATTCAGATGCACAATTTAAGGTGGAACGGGAAATAACAAAAGAAGCCACCTGCAGCCTCATAGCTTCTGTGCTGATAGATGCTGGATGTTCTACAAAGTTCCACTACAGTTCTATAAGTTACTCAGTACTTAAGTAGTTCTTTTTGAGATGCTACCTTTATCCTTCTCAGGTTGTTTTTGGGAAGGGGACTTGATGAATTAAATGAATAACTAGTTTGACTAAAGTGCTGCAGTTTATCATTAAGTTGAGTAGGATTTTTACCCGGCCTGGAAAACGCTGATCTGCGCAGTGCGTGTTTCAGAACGCTGATCTAGAATCAGTTCTACATGTTGAAGGGTTTAGGCCTACTCTGAAGTGTGGAATGACAAGGTTAGCTTCTCACTTTCGATGCTGTCCAGGTAATTAAATTCACAAGGGTATAAAAAGAGAAACTGGATCACATCTTGATTAGACTTACAGCCTCAGGTCACAGATCACCTCCTTAGAAATGCAGGTAATCTCTGGTGCTGCATTCCTTTGTTATAAGGCGCCATAAATCAATCACTTAGCGGGAATCTAAAAAACTTCCATACAGGTCATAGTCTGCAACCTAAATTGCACGGTGAACAGAACAGAATGAAACAGAATGGAATGAAATAGAACAAAACAGAATGGCATTGAATGGACTAGAATAAAATATAAAGAAATGGTACAGAATGGAATTTAACGGGATTGAACGGAATTGAACAGAATATAATCCAATGAAATGCGACTGTGTAGAACGTAATGACCCTGAATAGAATGAAATGGAATAGTGTTCTTTTAAGCAAATCCATAGGACAACCATTAATAATAATAATAATAATAAACAACCCGTTTTGTTCACAGATTGCTGACTTTGGCCTGTCTAACCTGTACGGACGTGATGAGTATCTGCAGACGTACTGCGGCAGTCCACTTTACGCCTCTCCTGAAATTGTAAACGGTCGGCCATATAAAGGGCCTGAGGTGGACAGCTGGTCTCTGGGGGTTCTGCTCTACACTCTGGTGCACGGCGCCATGCCTTTCGACGGACGTGACTACAAGAGCCTAGTCCGACAAATCAGCACTGGGGACTATCACAGACCCACTAAACCATCAGGTGAGACCCTCCAAACCATCAGATCAACATCAAATTAAAACAAAGCTCTGCAGAACGAGAACCACTCCAAAGATGCAATGAAACAGCTGTAGAGTAGGACTGAAACCAGTAATAGGCAATAATTAAGTTAGTTAATTACACGTTAGTTGCAGCCCTGCTCGCAACGTAATGCTAGCACAGTTAAGTGCAGCAGGGTTAAATTAGTGTTACTGTTTAAATTGCTTTGCAGGAGTTTATACTGTGTCTCTTTCCTGTACAGATGCCTGTGGTTTGATTCGCTGGATGCTGATGGTGAATCCCGAGCGCAGGGCAACTCTGGATGAAATCGCTGGCCACTGGTGGCTCAACTGGGGCTACCAGCGCCCTCTGCTGGCCGAGAGCGAGACAGCAGCATCGGCTGGGGCTCCACAGAACACAGGAGTGCCCACAGCGGCCCAAACGGGCGGCTCGACCCGCATCGCAGACTGGTTGAGAAGGACCACTCGACCCCTCCTGCAAAGCAACTCTAAGATGCGCTGCCTGCTGCGCCCTGGAGGGGGAGCTACAGGGGATGCAACGGTGACGAGACAGCGCTCGATCCGCAGGTCACGCAAAGAAAACAACGTCTCCCAGAGCATGCAGGAGAATAACGGCTCCCGGCCCTTCAAAGGCATCCTGAAAAAACGTGGCAGCTTGAAGCAGAAGCAGGCCAGCGAAGCCCCAGTTCCGCCTTTGGAAGAAAAAACGTCAAACGCCATTGTGGCCCCTCCTGCTGCTCCGCCTCCAGCTCCTCCTCCCCGTAAAGGCATTCTTAAGAAGCCGGTAGAGAGGGAGTCGGGGTATTATTCCTCCTCTCCAGACAGCAGCGATTCTGCCCAAACTCCCCAGCACCCGCTTTGTCCGTCAACGCCACCACGGCGGAAAGGCATCCTCAAACGCCACGGCAAGTTTTCCACCGGCGGCCTGCAGGAATTCGGATCTTTGGACCAACTGGCAGCCTCCCTGCCACCAGGGGGCAGCAGATCGAGACCCAGCGGCGCCATCAGCGAGGACAGCATCCTTTCCTCAGAGTCGTTCGATCGCTTAGACCTTCCAGACCGCCACGATCCTGTGGCGACGGTGGAGCGTCCAGCAGGGGGCAGCACTACGATGCGCGGCAGCGTTTCCGCCGACAATCTACTGGACCTGAAAGAAAACAGGGCGGCGGCTCCACGTCAGGGATACTGGGATATGGACACGGCTTATAAGGCCAGGGTGGGCGACAGCACCTTCTCCATCACGGACTGCGAAAACATGACGGAGGTCTACAAGATGGCGCTTAGTGGGGCGTGCGCTAGCTGAGATTATGCACTGGGACTGTTAGCATGAGTCCATTTCAGGGTGTTTGCATGGGGAAAAAAGTGTCATGGAAGCAGCAGTCTAGTCAGGAAAGACTTTTACGTTATGTTACATGATGTCTACTTGAAAAAAATGATTGACAGCCTTCTGAGGTGACGCCAAAAAGGGTTAGCAAAGGGAACAGCGTTTTGAGGCTAGGCTGGTTAACACTAGACTACTAGGAGTACAGTAGGGCATGCCGTGCAGGAGTCTGCAGGCCTTCCAACAGCATTTCATGATGTTTTCTCACAGATCTTGGTAAACTTGATGACCGCTGAGACTGCATTCAGTCTAAATGTGCGATGTGCACCTTGTTTTATGAGACTGCTGTTGAAGTTAAAAGAAGAACCAAAGATACTCGGCCACGGTCAGTTTCGCATCCGCAAACGCACAGTAATAGAAACCACTGCAGAGGGAAAGAGGATGCGAAGTCCAGTTCCAGGGAAAGCGGTGTATTACAAACAGAATGGTCAAAGGTCCACAGCTCAAAGGGTTCATCAGTGGTGAGGCACAGTTTCTTTACGAAATGAAAACTGGTAACCTTGTTAATGTTTAACTTTTACGACAAACGGCCGGCGGGTCCTTATCTCAGCCCAAATACCAGACACACGTTTATTGCCTTATGAATTTTCTTGATTACCTGAGAAGGATGGACAGCTGTAAACAGTCTGGATGGGAATTTTGTGTCATGTAGTGAAAACAAACAAAATTTCTTCTTTTTTCGTGCCCAAATATTTTTGGCCCAGTCAGTTGACGTTTGGATCAGTGTGGTTTAAAAAAAAAGGAATGAAGGCAGATATTTGAGCAGTCATGTTCTGAAAGCAGAATATGTTCTGTCGCCATATTTCACTGTTTCAAAATGAGGGAATTTCACACACAGGAACATACAGATAAATTATTACAGTAATAAATTTTTTTTGATTTATTATTTCATCTGCTTGGCTTGGACTGCAAAATCAGGTCTTGCCGGAATGTGATCAGTATTTCTGATGTTTATTTTCTTTGTCATTGTTTTCATAATTTATAAGTGGGAACGAAACACGCTACACAATTCTGTTCAACATCAAACCATGCTTGCCTTTGCCAAAGTGCCTGACTTATCTGTAGCACCTCACTGTGGCCATCTTCACTGAATGCCGAAACTGGCTCAGTGGATCAATAAAAACCCTCAAACAAGATCAAAGTGTGGAGCTGAACTTTTTTATCTAATCTACAGTCTACTTCTGTTCAAGATTACAGTGCTGGAAGTTGATTACGGGGCCTTTTGTCTGTAGAGAAGCCAAAGACGGATCAAAGCCTGCTTTCAGCAGCCACGGCTATTGAGTTCACTGTGGAAACTCACCTCGTCTTTAACATTCAACTTAAAGTATTAAAACAGAGAGACTCAGAGTGGTTTGGTGTGAATGGTTCAGATTTCTTTATAGTGCTGGTGATGGGAACCAGGGGTCACCATGACTACAACACAGATATAGACATTTTATTTACTATCCAGAACCACCAGTGAACCTACACGAGTCTTCTGAGTTTATATTGAATGTTGATGATGGAAAATAGTGGAAAATCTGGAATAATAAGTTTTCTTTGGGGACTATTTTGCCTCACAGCGCCCTGCATGTATCCCTCCACCATGAATGGAGTTTAAGTTCTCTAAACTATCATAAAACAGTGTCTCAGTCATCAGGCAGTGAATTCATAACCATTTCATGTAGGAACTTTCTGTGAGGGAGCTTTTAGAGGTGGACGTCTGGTTCCTATCACCACCACTGTGAACAGTTCTGACTCGGTAAGTTCATCTAGAACGGAGTGTTTCACACCAAACCGCTCTGAATACATCTTAACCACTTTATTATTCAGACATTTTAAGTACAGAACCTAAAATTATCACTGTTGATCAACTGACATTCCCCACCTGGTTTGGTCCACTTATAACATCTGTGAGGTTTTATTAACCTCCTCTCCATCTCTTAGAATTAAACAAGCTGTTTTTGTTACTGTACCTTTAAGACTGACGCATATTAATGAGCTCTGTTCTGATTGGTTGTACCTCAGCAGCCCAGGCTGAAACACTCCTTATAACTTCAGTATGAGTGGGCGGGGCTAAACTGCTGTAGGCTTAAAAGGCATATGTAAAGGAGTCGTTTTTCGTGCCATCACAGAGTTCAAAACAGACTGTTTATGTAGTTTAGTTAGTAACTGTATTATGTAAGTATTTTAACAGGTCATAAGTTTACATACACCTTAGCCACATTCATTTAAACTCAGTTTTCCACAGTTCCAGACATTTAGTCCTCATAAACATTCCCTCCCTTAGGTCAGTCTATATTTCGGATCACTACTATATTTTAAGAATGTAGAAATGTCAGAATAACACGAGATAATTAACTAATTCAGTTTTTATTTCTTTCATTACATTCCCAGTGGATCAAAGTTTACGTACATGTGGTTAATGTTTGGTAGCTCTGCCTTTAAATTGTTTAACTTGGGTCAAACGTCTCGGGTGTCCTTCCACAAGTTTCTCAAAATAAGTTGCTGGAATTTTGGCCCATTCCTCCCGACAGAACTGGTGTAACTTTTGCTCGCACACTCTTTTTCAGTTCTGCCCATTAATTTTCTATGGAACTGAGGTCAGGGCTTTGTGATGCCCACTCTATTACTTTCACTTTGTTGTCCTTAAGCCATTTTGCCACAACTTTGGAAGTATGAATGGTGTCTTTGTCCATTTAGAAGACCCATATGCGCCCAAGCTTTAACCTCCTGGCTGGCTGTCTTGATGTTGCTTCAATACATACATACATCATCTAAACCGCTTATCCTTCTGGGTCGCGGTGGGGTGCTGGAGCCTATCCCAGCTGCCTGTTGCTTCAATATCTCCACATAATTTTCCTTCCTCATAATGCCATCTATTTTGTGAAGTGCACTAGTTGCTCCTGCAGCAAAGCACCCTCACAACATGATGCTGCCACCGCCATGCTTCACAGTTTGGATGGTGTTCTTTGGCTTGCAAGCCTCCCCCTTTTTCCTCCATATGTAACGATGGTCATCATGGCCTAACAATTCCATTTTTGCTTCATCAGACCAGACATTTCTCCAAAAAGTAAGATCTTTGTCCCCAGTTTGCAGATGCAAACTGTGACCTGGCTTTTTGAGCAGTGGCTATTTCCTTGCTGAGCGGCCTTTCAGGTCACGTTGATATAGAACATGTTTTACTGTTGATATAATTACTTTTGTACCTGTTTTGTCCAGCATCTTCACAAGAACGTTTGCTGTTGTTCTTGGATTGATTTGTATTTTTCTCACCAAAGTATGTTCATCTCTAGGAGACAGAACACGTCTCCTTCCTGAATGGTATGATGGCTGTGTGGTCCCATTATGTTTAAACTTGCCTATTATCATTTGAACAGATGAACGTCGTACCCTCGGGTGTTTGTACCAGACTTGTGGAGGTTCTTTTTGAACTGTGCACCTGGGGTCGTGTTACAGAAACTTCTTAAGTCTTATCTTATTTGCTTAGTCACCATGACAACTTTAGTTAGGACTGTATTTAGGATGGAAGCTATTCCAGAATAACAGTTTCTAACTTCGTAATCTCATCATGAACTCCAGATAAGAAAACAGCATCACACAAACATCCTAACTAGACTGAACCTCCTAAATCCTGTCCTAACTTTAGGATGAACCCCAACAGGGTCCTCACTTCTGTTTAAGGTCCGTTTCTATGGTTTTTAGGCAGCTGTGTCAGCAGCATAGTTCACTACCAGCATAATGAGCTCCATTTATTTCTACTGTAAAACGCTGCTTTCACTGTGAGATGATTTTCTTTTCTAACTCTGCGTTTTAAAGATCTCAGACACTGCAGACTCGATCTCCACCGCCCCTCTGATCACCTTCGTGTGTTAATGTTGATGAGGAAATATTACAGTGATGGTGGTCAGATTTGCTTCTGTAATACAAATTTGTGAAAAATCTTATCTTGACCTGTCAGATCTTAAGTTAAGACAAAAGATAGGATGTTTCTGTAATACGGCCCCTGATTTCTTTTGATTCTCCCATGGTCTCAAGCAAAGAGGCAAGTAGGCCTTGAAGGTAGGCCTTAAAATACTGCTACACGTCCCTCCAATTAACCCAAATGATGTCAATTAGCCTATTAGAAGCTTCTAAAGCCATAATATCGCTTTCTGGAATATTCCGAACTATTTACAGACAGAGCCAGCTTGGTGTATGTCAACATCTGATCCACTGTTATTTTGATACAGTGAATTATGAGTGAAATAATCTGTTTAAAAACATCTGTTTGGAAACCTGCTTGTGTCATGAACAAAATAGATTCCTAAACCATTTGCTAAAACTATAGTTTGTTGACATGAAATCTTTGAAGGGGATAAATGAGTTTTAATGACTTCAATCTAAGCTGTGTGTAAACTTAGGACTTCAACTGTACATCATAAAGCTGGGCAATATGACAATATATCTCATTATTGTGATAAATTCTAACACAACACAGTACAACATGCTCTTCTGAACATATCATGATATCGTCAGTACTATCTCGCAAAATTAGTGCCGTTTAACTGGATTTAGGGCCAAATACTGAATAAAAAATCATTGTGTTCACAGTTTTTGATAGATTTTTATAAAATGCAGCTACTGGCTCTTTTTTCCCGGTTCCAACTGATTAGATGTCTGAAAAATAAAGGGTTGTATCGTATCATGTATCGTGAAGTATTGCAATTTAGATTGTTGCCGTACGCCCCACTACATCACACTCTTATTTTTGAAGAAAAGTGAGAAAGTTTCAGTTTTCTGTGATATGAGCTCTTTAAAGCAGTCAAAACTAGAAGCAGTGTTCGTGGCTCTCGGGACGCGCTGCCCTTTGCAGTGGCGTGAGAGTGTGTGAGGGTTTGGAAGCAGTGTTTGAAAACCAAACACAGCTGGGAAGAAGACGACCCGTTTAAGTCCGTTAGGGAATGACACCAGAGTCATCATTTGCATCAGCGGCTTATTGACAAGGAAAGCAAAAAAAAAAAAATCAGAATTAATAACAAAAACAGGATATTTTTGTTTAAAGTACATGTATTACGCAGTTATGCAAGCAGCAGTGAGAGAATGCGAGCGAGAACATTTCTGGAACTCTTCTTTGCTCTGTAGCGTCTCAAAGTGACATTCTGAAAGCAGCATTCTTGCGAGAATTGATGGACGGTGTGGCTCAGCAAAGTGCAAAGGTTAAAGTGACAAACATTTTCTTCAGTGCAAAACGGCTGAGTGGAAAAATTCAACAACAACAGAAGGACGGAGAGAAACTTACAGAAGTTCCCACCAGGTAGAGGAGAAAAAAAATCACCTGCGATTTCTTCTCTTTCTGGCAGCAGTTTGTCAAAATTTTCACTTCATATCTAAAAGTAAAGACTAAAATAATGTTGTAGCATCTCATATAAATGACTTACTACATCCAAAATGACATTTTCTAAAATACTGACTTACTGTTTAAAAATGATGACTTTTCAAAATATGGACTTTGTATCTCAAAATAACATCTTATTATTTCAAAATAGTGACTTATTTTCTCAAAATATTAATTTACTTGGTTCCTACACACTTAAAAAGATGGTTCTATATAAAACCATGAACACTCAAAGAACCTTTTGCATGATTTAATGTTTCTTTGCATATGAAAATGTTCTTCAGACTGATGGAGAATGTGCTGTAGGTGGTTCTATACAGAACCTTTTTGAAAACGGTTCTGTATAACACCAAAAAGGGTTCTTCTATCGTTAAAAGCTTGACATTGTTACAACAGCAGAACCCTTTTTGGTGCTTTTCAAAAAGTATGTATAGAACCATCTACAGCACATTCTGAAGAACACTTTCACAATGCAAAGAAACCTTTAATCATGCAAAGGGTTCTTTGAGTGTTCATTGCTCTACATAGAACCATTTTCTTTACTAAAGAACCATCTTTAACAGTGTAGGTACCAGGAATGACAACTTATTTTCTACAAATATTGACTTACTTTGTTAAAGTAATGACATCCCAAAATAATGACTTACTATCTTCAAATAATAATACTAACAATAACAGCAAGTAATTATTTTGACAGTGTATCTCAAAAAATATTTTTCAATATGTAGATATTTAAATAGGGTCAAAATTTCAAGAAAGCAAGTCAATATTTTAGGAAAAAATAACTATTATGAGGTGCTAAGTCAATATTTTGACAAACTGCTGCCAGAAACAGAGAGGACAATTTTTTTCTCCTCTACCTGACAGCAAATTTGCTACAACATAGCAAACATTAAAATGTTCTAACATTAAACCAAGAAATTGAAATAGCTTTAGTTTAGAACTCAAGCATGTTAGGCTAGACTACGTTGAACAGGCGATAATAAACAAAAACAATAATTTAGTTGATTTACTACATCTTCCTGACTTTTCCAGTTGATCCATCCACACTGTGCACACAAGTGTGTTCTTTCATAACAACTGCTGTGAGACTGAACAAGCTTACCAGAAACATATTAGATTGAATGAATAACTGGCTCTAAATGTAGGTATTGTGATATAAACTGAGTCTGTTCTACAGTTTCTCATTAGGTTGAATGAATAACTGACTCTAAATGTAGGTATTGTGATATAAACTGAGTCTGTTCTACAGTTTCTCATTAGGCTGAATGAATAACTGACTCTAAATGTAGGTATTGTGATATAAACTGAGTCTGTTCTACAGTTTCTCAGTAGGTTGAATGAATAACTGACTCTAAATGTAGGTATTGTGATATAAACTGAGTCTGTTCTACAGTTTCTCATTAGGCTGAATGAATAACCGGCTCTAAATGTAGGTATTGTGATATAAACGAAGTCTATATCTATTCTATAAAGCTTGTCCAACCTCACAACAGTAACTGCAAAACAATGCAATTGTGGGCGGAGCCTGGAGTGGCCAATTTGGGGTCAAACTGTAAGTCCACTCCAGCACCAACATTAATGCTCCCGCTGTCTAAAAGGAACCAATGAGATGTATATGCTGTATGTCTTCTGGGCTTCTGAGTTTGGGCATCTGAGTGTGGACGTCTAGCACAGAGGGGACAGCTTGACGTCCTTGACATTAACAGGTGTGTTGCTGACCTCAGTGCCAGGCGAGTCTGTCCTGCAGGTGGCCTCAGTGCCGGGAACGGAGGGCAGGCTGAGCTCCAGAGTGGCCTCCAACGCAGCATAACAGTTACACAATGATACCTGAAAGAAGGTAAAGTCAACATCAGTTATTAAAAAAAATCAATGTGGGTTTTTATGGTCAATACATTGCTTACATTGGTACAGAAGCACTCTATAATGCTCTATAATAAGACATATTGTAATACACTACAGGAAGTGTAGGGGGCGATATGGCTTCTACTGTTTCATTTAAAAAGCCTCTATAATGTTCATATGATCCACACAGTCACTCTGACAGACTGTAATACACTACAGGAAGTGTAGGGGGCGATATGGCTTCTACTGTTTCATTTAAAAAACCTCTATAATGTTCATATGATCCACACAGTCACTCTGACAGACTGTAATACACTACAGGAAGTGTAGGGGGCGATATGGCTTCTACTGTTTCATTTAAAAAGCTCTATAATGTTCATATGATCCACACAGTCACTCTGACAGACTGTAATACACTACAAGAAGCATAGGGGGCGATATGGCTTCTACTGTTTCATTTAAAAAGCCTCTATAATGTTCATATGATCCACACAGTCACTCTGACAGACTGTAATACACTACAGAAGTGTTAACCTGTCTTACCAGATCCACGTCCAGGACGTTGGCCATGAGCTGCAGGAGTGCGTCACAGGACAGAGCTTCGTCCAGCAGCTTCAGACGGAGAACAGCTGCAGCCACGCAGCTACAGGCGATAACGGAGGGCAGACACATTGAAAACTTAAACTCTGAAACAAAGACACACACAAACAAACATAACAGCTGGAATTAGTGGGCGAAGTGAAGGCCATGACTATGATTTCACAATTTTTCATGATATTTCATGTAATGTGCATCACTGCAATCACTCCAGGTAAGCAGAGCTCAATGTGGTCTGTTGGACTCGTCAGGATTTTCCAACAAGAGAGTGAAACCCTAAAGAGTTTAAGAGCCTCATCTAAACTTGTTTTTTAAGCAGTTATACAGTTTTCTAGATGCAGCGTTTACATTAGGATTTTGGAGGTGGGTGGAGCCCTATTTTGTCCATTGCTGTCAACAATATGGGGACCGTACTGTTCAATTTATACTGTATTATATGGAGTCAGAACGGACATCACAGTATTTACACTCTCAGGCCTCTTTATCTGTTGATGTACAGCTTGAGTTAGTCATCTTCTAGTCCCCATGTATCAAACACAAGGCCTGCAGGCCAGGTAAGACCCACAGCACAATCCTATACGGTCCGCAAAATTAGTTAAATTTTCTATTAATATTAGCGCCTTTCACGGTGTGCTGCACTACAATCCCCAGCATGCACTGCAACATGAAGTCCAACCCTCCTCCCCCAAAAACAATCTATGAGACAGCGGTTACACCTCAATCCTACCACACCAGTCATATCACCAAACACACCAGCTGTGTTTCAGCTGCAGTCCAACCAACATAAACACTTGCATGGCCCAACATAGCATGGCCCTTTTAGCGGCTGAGTTTGACACCTCTGTTCTAGTTCTTTATCAATGGTCAGTTTCTGACCACAGTGCCGCTCTTGTCTAGATATTTTGGGGTGGTGGACCACTCTCATATGGCGGGTAGGTGTTTCCGTTAAACCACCAATGAGTATTTGTAGTATCCGATTACACTGTTAAGAAGGCCGCGTCTCCATGTTGGTGGGTGAGCTGTAACTCTGACTCATCTCATCACCGTTACTGCAGATACAGCCCTGCAGGAGGATAAACACCAACAAAACAGACCAGAATGACCACAAAGACATGACAAGATATGTGGACACTTTAGGTACAGTCTCCAGAAATGCTAATGGAGAGGATTAGCTAGATTGGTGGATCCAAAGCTCTTAAATAATAAACTCATACACAGATATAAAGCTGGAACTTCTTATTCACCAGCTTCTCATTTCAATTTTCTGTTCCACCTTAAATGGAGCTGCAGTTGCATTGAGGCGCCTTAAACGGAGAACAAATCATGAAGGTTGGCGAATAGAAAGCCAACATCAGCTTAGCTCAATAAATTTATTAATTTACCTGAATAAATGCATCAATTTGCCTCAACAAATGATCCTTAATTAACAAACACCTCAAACTTTCTCTTGGTGTTGTTTAATGAGCAGCTGTTGAATGCGTCTCACTGGCTGATCTAACGGAGCGTCTCAAACCACACACTTCTATACTTCACCTACTGCACTAATGAGTGCACTTCCAATGGTACATGCACTATTTTTACACACTATTCGGTGAGCTAGTGTGCGGTTTGGGACAGGGCGCTAATAACGTAGCGGGAAATCTCAGCCGTTTAGATTTCAGCTTTCATTTGTTAATCACTACAGCAACAAACTCAAATAAAATCAGGGCAATATACTCAAATATATCAGTTAATACCAAAACTAGCGTTATTGGAATACTATCAATAGCTACAAGGTTTCTACTAAAGTGGCCAACTGGTATATGTGTATAGACCACCGCTTCCCAGGCTGAGAGAAATGGAAGCGTGAGAAAAGATGGGAATGCTGTCTAAACTGACCCAGCTCTATTACACAAAACAGAACAGAGTTCACAGTCTCTGCTGCACCTGCTGACCCTCAGTTTAGCCCTCAGGTGCGGGAAGGGCACTGACACAGCACATTATCACCATTATCACTATCAACCACAGGCAGGTGTCACCTTCACACAGTTTTTTTTCAGACAGGTGTGTCACCACTGGTTCATTCATGTCCAGGAAGTGGTGATCTCAAAGAACCGGTATATGATATCTCACAATATGTCTGCACGTCTGGGTGGGACGGAGTGGGTGAATAAGAGAACGGATGAGTGGACTTTCACATTATACAAGGTTAACCAAACCCAGGTTCTGGTGCACGCATATCCCCCCTCCTCCCCCCTTTCACCAAATGTAGTCCATCAGCCAAGTCGTGTTTGGTGGCTGAGGTTTCTTCTTTAGTTTTAGCACTGGAGAAACAAAGCTAATGTATCTAATGGAGGCCTATTAGCAACTAATGTGGAGTTTTTAACTGAAAGGAGTGTTGTTACTGAGTGAGGAGAATAAAAACAGGCCAAAATATGGTGCTGCTGCTGTCGAGTCGCCCTGTAAAGCCTGAAATAATCATTTAAAAGTCAGAGGCGTCGAGTTTTTCACACCACGTCGTACGTCTTTACGTGTTAACGTCACACACAGACTCTAAAAGAAGGTCCAGCTCGATGTTTCGCCCTCAAATGATCACAAAATCAACATCATACTGATGAAGATGTGATGACAGTAGTAGATAATTCACTCACATCCTCAGAGACGCTCCTTCACCAAGTTTAGACTGAGTTCTCTCTGAATTCTCTTTCAATCGTTAGATTCATCCACTCAGGGAAGGAGGCTGAAGCACAACCCATGCTTCAAAATAATGTTCTGCATGCTGCGTGCAGTTACACATTTCCACCAGAGAGGGCTCTGCAAATCTCATGTAGTGCAGCTTTAAGTAATCTCTAATAGACTTGATTATGTGGTTTCACACAGGACTAAACATGGACCATAGAACAACATCTTTTTTTTTAATAGCCTGAGTACCTGAGAGTGTTTCAGTACCTGTAGCAGCCAGAGCGATGTAAGAGTGAGTGTGTCTTCGCAGGGCTGTGAGGTTATGAGGGATTATGGGTAGCCCCTGCAGTAACGGCTCCAGGAAGTCAGAAGGCAGCACTGAGGCCAAGTCCCAGTCCAGCCTGGACACCACCACCATCTCCCACTGCTACACATACAAACATACAGCTCACATTTACGCAGTTCTTTCTGACATACACTTCAGCTCAAATGTTTCACTGTTTATACAACCATTTTTGTTTGAGATAAAAGTATAAAATCTTTGTAATCTGCTCGTCCTGAACATCTTCATAGGTTTCAGATAATCAGTAGGACTCCAGGATGCTGTAAATAAAAACGCAGAAAGGTTAGATGTGTCCAGAATGATGAGAAGAGCTGTGTAGAAGATTCTAAAATAAATGAGAAAGCTGGAGATTGAGATCGAGAACAAGCTCTAATAAAATTAATAATTGGAATGAAGTTTGGAATGGACACCCAAAATGTGTTTATTTACAGAAAACAGACTGGATAAAAGTTGAGTGGGTTACAGTTCAATTCATCTAAGGCTTAGTCCCCCAGAAAGATCAAAATTATGCTAGTCCAGTGTGAACACTATTGAGAGTTGTAGGCCCAGTCCCATTTCACCCCTCACCCCTACCCCTCAGCCCTACCCCTCTGTTTTGTGTGTTCACGTCTAGGGGTAGGGTGTCTAGATTCTTGTTGAGATAGAGGGGTAGGGTGAAGTGTTAGAGCTACATGACCCTCCAAACGGAGGTTTTTCAGAGACTCCAAACAGAGAGTTATGAGAAAAAAAGAAGAAACCTTGAGAGGAACCAAGACTCAGAAGGGGAACCCATCCTCCTCTCGTCCAAAGAAACACACAAATGTGAGAATTTTCTCTGATAAAAATTACAATAACCATCTTAGTTTAATGTTGTTTCAGCGTATTACGGTCCTTTTCTTCATAACCAGCATTATAAATCGCTAGCAGTCCTGATGTCTCGGTAGCTAGCTAGCTAAATTTCCCGTTCCACCTTAAATAGCCCAGCAATTCTGATGCTTGAGGCACCAGAATGTAAATGCTGCTCCATTTAAGGTGGAATGGGAAAATTTGAGCAAGAATCTGGTAAATATCTGACTTCAGTTTCATATCACTGAAGATTTAGTGGTGGGTGATAATAAATAATTGCCCCCCTCTTTGAAGATCATATGATGCCCTAAATGTAACTAAAGCCCAGCAGTGAGGAGCTGAACTTTACCCTCCTCTGCTGTCACTGCAGACTGGCAGGGTCTCCTACAGAGCAGCGCTGGTAGCTGTTAATGAAGTGATGCTCTTTTTATTAGAGGGTCTCATTTCAGAGGGACGATTTCAACCACTACTTCTTATAACCCAGTTCCAAGGTTATAAAGTTATTCTCTATAAAGATTAGGACTAAATCTAACTTGATCAGCATGACAGTAACTTAACATTTATTTCTGCAGAGTAACAAGTGCAGTAAAGCGAATAAAATTCAGATATTTTAGTGCAGTAGCCCAGCATCACCTAAACATTCTGCTCTCTTGGAGTTCGATACATATATCATCAAATATTCATTTAAATTATTGATCAAATCTAATCATCTGTCCAATACGATACTTTTTCTACAGATCCTGATACGATATGTGTGCTGAATTATGGACAGCGTCTGAAGTTCACTGGGTATTTGAAGTTACCAGCAGCTGGGGCAGCGAGACAGCGTTGTCTGTGTAGACGCAGAGTTTGGTGGCACTCAGAGGAACCGTTTCTCTGAGCTTGGAGGCCAGGAACATGCAGACGGTCCCGAGAAGCTGCAGACTGGCTCTGCTGATGGCGTGGCGGGCCATGTACCTGTCCAGGTAGTGGACGGCCAACGGGAACACCTCCTCCTCACACTGCTGCTCCTCACACACCTGGTGAACACAAAACCAGGACATGCTACAGAAATGATTCGATATGAAAGCAAACCTTGATATGTGATGAAAGTGAGGAGCCGTTCCAGCTCACAGGGTCTCGTATGAACAAGATTTGTTGACTAGTTCCCTCAAGGCCACTGTGGCCTTTCTTTAAGGGTCTGTCAGTCACACACATTTCTTCAAAACGACAAACGAACGAACGAAATGTACATCATTAGTAAATATGTACTCACTTCTGAGTAAATGTCTTCATCAGCCATTAGATATATGAAAAAGAACATAGTCATACTATCCTCCTCAGTCCCGAGACTGGACACGTCAAAAACAAACAAGGGCCTCGTTCTCCAATACGCTCCTAAATTTGTTCTTTAGTGTGTTTTTGAGAAAAGTCCTAAGAAAACATCTACATTAGATTCATGACGTGTTCTTAAAGCGCAGAACTGTTCTCACCTTTGTGCTCGAGTAAAAGTGTTCTTCAGATAGTTGGAGAATGTGTTGTTTATGGTTCTATATAGAACCTTTTTGAAAAGGGCTCTTCTATAGTTAATATGTCACACTTGTTACAATAGAAGAACACTTTTGGTGCTTATATAGAACCATTTTCAAAGGGAACCATCTACAACACATTCCCCTTAATGTGAAGAACACTTTCAGGATGCAAGGAACCCTTTAATCATGCAACAGGTCCTTCATGGTTCTATAAAGAACCATTTTTTACTAAAGAACCCTTCAGGAACCATTTTTTGTAGATGTCATTCTCTACAGATTAGGCTATAAAACAGCTCTACAGGAATATTACAGAGCACTGGGACTGTACACTGTCTTATATCGACCTTTTATGCAAGTAATAACTTGGTTCAAGGCATTAAGGTCTACCAGGAACATGAACCTTTTTCAAAATGACAGTCTGTCTGGTGTTTTTCATCATTAGTCACTTCTGAGTGATGTTAAATGTCTTCAGGAGCTACAAGATATGATAACAATTCCTCTCCAGGCCAGGCTGGAAGGCTGTTAGTCACAATAATATCTCAAAATGAAAGCTTTGACTGATTAAGTTCACCGCCAGCTAATAAGTTCTTACCTGCAGCATCCAAACTACTAAGATTCTTCGCATATACGGCTGTATATCAGTCTGTATGGTGCCGAAATAAGACTCTGAAACCACATCAGTTTTCTCTAAGTTCAGAAGGTTCCTCCACACCCGGCTGTCCCGGGTCAGCACCGGGTCGCAGCAGGCCCGGACAGGCCCGCGGTATGAGGAGGCCTCTGAGGTGGACAGAAATTCGTCATTTTCATGACAAGTTAACTCCATTCGGGAAATGTCTGAAACTTAAAACGACTTGTTTGTGGGAAAAAACGCCGAGTCACAATAATAAACCTGCTCTGAACACAAAGCTAGCAGAGTTAGCTAACGCTAGCTAACTAAGCTGCGTTACTACGGCGGTTAAACGTTCGTTGCTAAGCACGTCCACTTAGCGTTAGCTTAGCAACTGCTAAAAGAGCATTTTAAGCTATAATCTCAACATTAAACTATAAACAAATCGCCGTTATTCTCTGTTTTCCTAAAAACAAATCGTAAAATTATGAAACAGAGGTCAGAATCCTCTCAGAGAATAACTATCCAGTTTTCCGTCCAGTCAGAGCCGTTTCTCTCCTCTGTTAAATCACATTTCTAGAGTGTTCTCTGAAAAAGCGAGAAGCAAACGAGGTGAAATTGGTTATTTTTGGTTTATATTCCTACACAGTTCACAAAATATCAGCTTTTATTTCTGTTCAATGTTTTCCATACAACATAAACCAGCCGGGGGGAAATCATGTGTTGTGTCATCACCTATTTCTGCTATACAAGTATTGGGAGGAATAGACCTGCTGAAAACAGACCATTACAACCATATAGGACTAAAACCTGATGGTTTTACCTTTTAATGGGAATTGTGTTAATGGTTACCATCAGAGACCACTAGTTTCCTCTAGGCCATCTTTACCATCAGATGCATCTGGATCAGAATACCACCATTAGAGTTCTTTACACTGTGATATGAACCCATCAAGAAAACACAGAACACCATCAGAGGCTATTGAGCACTATCAGGAACCAGCAAAGACTTTTAGTGCTTTGATTTTTTTCAGCAGGGACATTTAAAGCATTAGTATTTGTCCATTTCTGGCTCAAGTCTGTGACCCTTGGGTATCTCCAGACTCGAACACTTCATTTGGATTTCTCTGATGAGCCTTTATAGCAGCCTCTTTTTAGGTGGTGCTTGTTTTGGGGCCTTTCTGACTTCAGTTTCTTCTTGAACAGGTGAAATGTACGGGGCCCCTAAGGTGATACGGTGATTATTTTTAATAAGGCATGGCCACAAATTAATAAATTGAGGCCAAAAGTTAAGTTTCTAGTAACACGCGGCCTCAATATAGTATTTTGTGGTCTCACTATAGTAATTCATGGCCTCAATTTAATAAATTGTGGCCTCAATATAGTAACTTAACGAGCCCATGAAGGTATTTTTGTAAAGGTAAGAACTTGGTGTGCACCAGATACTATATGGTGTGCACTAGATACTATATGGTGCACACTAGTTACTGTATCTGGTGCGCAAATGATAGTATCAGGTGCTCACCACATAGTATCTAGTGCTCACCTGACAGTATCTGGTTCACACCTAACAGTATCTAGTGCTCACCACATAGTATCTGGTGCACAACAGGTTTTTACCTAAAAAAAAAAAAATACACCACATTCCTTCAGGGGCTCCATAGAAACGCATGCTCCTTTGGGTTTAAATCAGGAGAATGACTAGGCCAGTAAATAGCCTTCCTCCCTTTTTTCTGGTTACTCCTTGGTGAAGTGTACAGTTTGCTTCAGGTCATTGCTGCTGCATTATGATCGTCCAGCCAATGAGTTCCCTGCTGAGAAAAACAATGGTACCAACATCAAAACACAACACATTCTAGTTTTTGTGGGAATCAGCATAACAACTTCCGTTGCTGCTGACCAGCATCCCAGCATCCCAAACACAAAATATGCTGGTGTAGAAGGGTTTGGAAGCATTTGCTTGGACATGGGAAGACAATGTTTTTGTATGTGAAGACCAGTTCCAGAGCAGCCATGCATGTCCAGTGTCATGACCATGACACTACCTCCTCCATGCTTCACAGATGAAGCAGTGTTTTCACACTTCTGGCACAGCCTGATTGTCGTCCAGTACAAATTATTCCATACCGTTTTTTTGGAATGCCCAGCTGTTCTGATGCTAAATTCTCAGTTCTCATTTGTACCTTTTACATCAAAAGCTCTTCTGTTTACAATTAAGGGGAACACCCGAGCAGTGAATCACTGGTCATTCGCCCAATACTTATGCTATGAAATTTACTTAATTTGAGCCCCAACAATGACAAACCATGTATAACAATTCCACCCTTTTTTTGCTATTCAAGTTATTTTGTACAACATTTTACATTAAAAAGCCAAATTATGCTTTATTTACGTTTTAATGACCGCTTTATTTTAAATACAGGGCATCAAACAATGCCACACCATACTTCAGCGATTCTTACAAAAATGTCACATTTACTGTTTTCATCGCTCAGTTCTTCTCTACTTCAGTCATTACCATTTAGTTCCTCATCCCTTTTTTGGGATGAATTTGATCTGTTGTATTGGTTCAGCTCCTGTTCTGCTCACTCCTCGAGACTTGGCATTATATTTGACATCAAAAGGATTAAAAAATAAAAGAATAACAAAATCCAGAGTCTAACGAACTTCAGTTCTCATACTGATAGATGCTGGATGTTCTAATAAGTTCCACTGCAGTTCTGTACGTTGCTCAGTACTTAAATATCTGTTTCTTCTGCTACTCCAGTTGTTTTCTGGAAAGGTACGTTTACTTTGACTGCAACAATACTTTCACTTTAGTAATGCGCTTATCTTAAACACCTCTAGTGTTTACACGAAAGCGAAAGTCAGTCAGGTGATGTGCCCGAAACTCAACGCCTCACACCTGCCAAGAAAACAGGTCAAGAACAGCAAACAATGATATCAGCAATAGTAAGTCATGCAGCCCAGTAGAGTTAATAACCTCTGTTTCCAGTGATGCACATACATACAGTTCACACAGTACTTTTATTAGAAATATGGTTTTTGAGCCTTGGACTAAAGTGTACAGGAGTTTGCCCTAAATCACCCTTTCAGTGTCAGTGCTTTGAAAGTTATCATGACTTTGCCTTTGTTTCTCTTGCTTGTTACAACTTGTCAGTAGTTGTAAGGTTGCTAAACGTCGTGACTCACGTCTGACAGAAAAACAAGGCATTTCTACACTGCAAATCTAATCAATCACTACAAGTTCAGAAACTTCTTTGGAAGTGTAAATAGAGCTTCCACTAAACAGAATTCAAAAGAATGGAAAACAAAAAGTCTGACCGAATGATGAACAGAATATTCCAGAAGTGTTGAATTAAAGGTACACTAAGTAATTAAAACCACATGTGGACCACTGAGGTGCATAAAGGAACATGACATCACCCTCCAGTGGTGCACCAGTCTAGTAAATGAGAGCATTCGGCTGGAAAATAAGTCTCCATGTAAAATTCTACATGTTGCATCATTAGAGCCAAGTAATAAAATAGTTTTATTACCTCATGGATGAATGGAAATTCTTATTCAGTGTACCTTTAAAGCAGTGTCCAAAAAAAAAAAAGAAAGAAAGAAAGAAAAAAGGACCAAACCTGGACAATCCTACTTTAAAGAGGAATTTCATATTTTTAAAAATCTGGATTATTTAATCAATAAACTATAAACAAAGTCATTCCGAGTGGTTTAGTGTGAAACTGTTCACAGTGGTGGTGATAGGAACCAGACCTCCACCTTTAAAAGCTCCCTCACAGACATTATTAATGGTTATGAATTCACTGCCTAAAGTCTGAGACACTGTTTTACGATGGTTTTGAGAAGATTTTGGCCTAAATGTATTTTTGAACTCAGTAAATTTCCCTTCAATTAACCACTTCACATCAAACCACTCCGAATTACATCTCAACCCCTAAATTATGCAGAATTTTGAAGAACTGGTGGAATTCCCCTTTAAAAGGGAAGCTTCAATAAGCATGCCAATGTGCATAACAATGAATGGACGCTAGTTGTCACCATTTAGCATGATGGCAACTGTCATCTGCAAAATGCCAGCTGTTCACCTGCGTTCACTGTTAGCAGCGTCAGCATTTCTGAATGAGCTGTTCCTTTAACGTCTGTAGAGGGTGAACAAATTCGAGAGTCCGTTATTTATTTCTTTTTTAATTCTCAGTCCATCGACATTACTGGCGTCGCGTCCTCCAGATCTCTGGTCTCGGCGTTCTGAAGCTCGCGCCTGATCTCGGCGGAGATCTGCGGGTGGTTCTGGATCTTCAGCAGCTCCAGCAGCGCCTCCTTCTGTTCGGAGGACAGGTCGGCCTTGTAGCGCTGCACCAGTGTGAGCAGGCACTGGTGCCACAGCACGGGCAGCGTCCTTTTCTCCGAGCGGAACGTCAAGAAGTGGGCCACCAGCGCGTCCAGCACGCGGAAGGGCAGGGCGTATTTCTTATCCAGTAACAGACGCAGGAAGATGCTGTTGGCGCCATTATATTCCATTTCGGCCAGTTTCAGCATGGCAGCACTGCGGAGAGGATGGACTCGATTATATATGTGGGTAAACACGATTAGATTCAAATAGTCTTTCTAAAAGTAGCACTGCCACTCGTTTATACACCCAGGCATACTGCACAACTATAAATGTGTGTTATTGTTTACACTACATGTGACATGCACCACGACATTGTCACCCGCGTAATATTTATGCGATTTTACTTACTTATTTTTGTACTGCACGTTATATTTTATGCTTGTTTTAGTATATTTTATTATATATCTACTTTTTCTATTTATGCATCTGTATATTATCGTACGGTAATAGTTTTGCTTGTTTTGCTCTTTACTGGACTTTGTGTTGCTGTAATAGACGACCTCCCCTCTGGGATTAATAAAAGTGATTGATCTATCTATCTATCTATCTATCTATCTATCTATCTATCTATCTATCTTTATCCACCTTAAACAGCTGAGAAACTAAACAAACTAAACAAACTAAAGGCAACTAAACAAAATCATTAACAATTAAATGTTTCCCTACCACCAATTAAATTCTAACCCATTTCCTTCCAGTAACGATGTATTTAGATTTGCATTTCAGATCCTTGGTTTTCCTTTCTGTTTTTAACCTGAGCTGTTTCATATAAACAAAATTGAAAATATTCCTCAGAAACAGTTTTTGAACTGCTTTGAGGGAAAAACACATAAAAGTATAACGCTGCACTTTTTACCATATCACTGCTGTTGGAACAAAACCTTGTATCCTCAAAATAGTAACTTTACAGGAGAAGGAAAAAACGTACTTTACTTTTAATGTAAGTCAATGGAACCAGACTTTTTTCCAAGTCATTTTGGGTCGTTTATTCTGGTCCATTCATCATGAAATTTAGACACAATGTAAAGAACAACAGGCATTTTCAAATATGTCAAAAACTGAAAAACAGCAAAAATGGAGGTAACAAGGTTTTGATCCGAAAGCAGCAAAATATATAATTTAAAACTGAAATTGAATGTAATGTTAATGTTGTATTTAAGTTAAACTGTATTTCACTCATTTTTCTTCTTCATTTTGGTTTGTGTGGTTTTGTGAGCATTCGCAAAACAACAAAAAAAAAGCACATTAAACAAAACCGTATTAATTGGCTTATGAAAAATCTTATTGTTGAACCCATAAATTATTAAATAAAGGAGAATTCCACACTTGGCCCAGCACTAACTCTGTATGTGCTTGTGCTACCTGGAGTGCAGTACGGGGATGGAGCACTTGGTGAGGATGCTGCCGATGATGATGGCCTCCCTCAGAGTGCAGGTCCCCGACTCACACAGCGGGATCAGGATTCCTGCAGGGGGCAGCAGAGTCACATTCATTACTGATCGATCCGCTGACTGATCTATTAAAGGAACGAGTTCAGCGAAAAATCACATACACAATCGCCCACTTTCTTTAAATGTAGTCTGTGGAGTTAGTTTTGTGCCAGAATGTTTGAGAGAAGATCCTGGTGTTTGAGAGAGGAATGTTCCGGTCTGAGAGGACAGCGGTGCTCTGAGCGCAGCTCCTGAACTTGAACGCACTCGTCAGCATGAAGTGCGGCAGATAAACACCTTCAGATTTGCTCAACACTCTGGTTTCATTCAAAACTTGAAAATCTGCACAAATCATTTCCGCTCTCAGCTCCGCAGCCGCTCTCTCCTTTCACATCTGCTCGCTGTAAAATCTCTGAACGTTTGACAACAACGTTTTACGAGTTTTGAAGGTGAAGAGTTTCCAGTTTTGAGTGAAAACCAGAGTGTTTTGCACGTATGAGCTCTGAAAGAGAGGCGTTATTGTGCACATTTTTAGGTTCTGCACTCAGAGCAGCGCTGTCCTCTCAAACCCTAACATTCCTCTCTCAAACATCAGGATCTTCTCTCAAACATTTTGGCACAAAATGATCTCCATAGTAGTCCATCAGCTGAGACACGCTTAGTGTCCAAACGCTGCTTCTGTAGTTTTACCCCTGGGGCTACGAGGCTAATATAGCTAACAAACACTAGAAGTCAATAGTCACCCAAATCTTTTCCGTAAATTCATCCTCAAAATGTCTCTCAAACCACATCCAGAGCGCAGACCTGCAGCTAGTTTTTCTTGTGTGTGTGAAACAAATAGTCTTTATGAGCTATAAAAAAAGGACACATTGGTTTCTGAATCTCTGAAAATAAACAAAATATGTACTCATTCTTGTACACACGTTTATATATATATATATATATATATATATATATATATTTGTTTTTGTAGCCTTTGTAGAAAAAGCTGTTTCTCAGCCTTTCAGTGCTCAAAAAATGTGCTCTCAGTTCTGATATAAGCAGCTGTTAATATTTCATTTATTATTATTTTGCACAATAGTGAACGGTGCTTTTGTAATTTTGTATTTTGCGAGAGGTTAGTTAGATTTTTGTTTACACATCCAGTCAAAGACATTCCTTCTATTTTAATAATAATTCATCTTTTCTCATACTGTCATCGTGATGTCTGACAGCTTTATGGAGCGCAAAGCATTAATGCAGCTCTATTCTATAATCATTTTGTTTCAGAAGTGCAGTTTTCCTGTTTGGTTATTGAATTTGACAAATACTCCGAATGTAAGTGGACATAATCAGACTACGCTGCTTTAAGACAGCAGTCTTTTGGATTAGGTTACAGGTTACAGCTTTAACAGGTTGTCTGTCGTAATCTGTGCGGGAACACATCTTTAAAGTAACCTGATAAACCTGCTAATGGGAGATGGACAAAGGTTCTGGATCAGGGTGAGGACAGGTCTGTGTTCAGATGAGTAACAGTACCGCGCTGTGCTGCACTGCCTGGTAGGAAAAACCCCGAAAGTAAATAACAGTTTAGTTAGAATTCCAGTTTAAGACACACCGGAATCAGGTAACAAACTATTATAGAACTGATCACCTGACCAGGTGTGCTCAGAGCAGGAACAGACATGTGGTCTGGGTCCTTCAGAAATCTGGATAAACACAGTCACATTTGTTCTTTACCCAACCATGAACAGTACAGACAGTGGAAGAACACTGCTGCCACCTAGTGGTCAACCCCCATATGGAAAAGACGTATCATCACTGTTGGGACAAAACCATATTCATTTTTGTATTTTTTATTTTTTGACACTTTTTTTGACATTGTGTCACAATTTCCTGATTGATGTACTAATAAAAATGGCTGAAATTGCCTGGATAATAATAATAATAAAAATTTCTCCAATAATGTCAATTAAAGGTTAAGAACAATTTCCTTCTCCTGTAAAGTTACCTTTTTTGGTGATTCAATGTTTTGATAGTGATGATATGTAAAGTGTATTTACTAAACACATTCCCAAATGTATGAAAATGGAAAAAAAATTGGCTCAATGAACTTGTGTGTTTGAAATATATTTTGGATTTCCACATTATATTTGAAGTTATGTGTGTATATATATATGTTTAAGATATGTTTCTTTTTCCAATACAACTGTATTCCCAATATTCTCGTCAATATAGAGAACCTACATATGACAAATTGCATAAGGGTTTAAAAATTTACATTCAAATGCGCTTATTTACCCGACAATAGCATTCTTAACTCTGATTGGTCAGTTTAAAACACAACACTGCCCCCTCTTCCAGGAAACCCGAACGCCCCTGGTGACATCACGTCTAGGAGAAAGCCCGGTTCTTTGTTCCAGACAGAACAGAAGAGGTTTTGCAGGAAGAGAATTTGAGCTGGAACGTTTACAGGAGTGGACGCTCACCTTTGAACCACGCCCCGGGTTTAAACAGCGCCTTCTTCAGCGCGCTGTACAGGTGAAAGTTCAGCCGCTTGTACTCTGTGATGTCGTCCCGGATCCGCGGCAGCAGCACCAGGTTGTAGAAGCGCTGGGCCATCCGCTCCTTCAGGTTAGAGGAGAAGATCCTACACCAGGACAAAGAGAGAAACAGAGAAGAATGAGGAAAGAGAAATAAAGCTGCTGCGAACGCTGAGAGAAAGATTTCACAGCTCAAAAAAGATTCTGGACCTTTTAAATCTGGTCAGTTTATTGAAAGGTCCTCATCAGTGCTAAACTGCATCCTCAATAAGTGATTTTAAGCAAGCAATGATTTTAGATTGTTTATTAGACTGATTATCTGTTTAGGCCGGCTTCTGAATGCAAAGAAAAGAAGTGCAATAATAAATTGTTCACATGAGTCATTTAATTAGTCAGTTTGTTATTGATGGTGGATAATTTGGAATTTTGAAATATCAATCAAAACCATTCAGTAAAATTCAAGAACCACTCATTTATTTACATCTACATAATGTAATTTCTGTGTCATTTCAGTGGTTTAAGGGCTCCCACAGCGTTAAGGTTAAGCTGTAATACCAAGGGCTGCCAGGAGAGGGCGACAATTTACAAATGAAAGCATGAACTGTAAATACTTTGATGGTTACATTTTTTATGACGATCCTTCGTTACGGTTTGAAAATAATTATTTTAGTGAATTTGTTGCAGCAACAAGCAAACAACATCATGTGCTGTCAGTTAAAATTTTCAAACCGATCAACATCAGAGCTTTATTTCAGTTTTTCCGCTTTAAACATTAACAACAGCTTCTTTTCAAATAAAATGAGATCTCTAAACGCTGTCAGTGTTCCTGTTTTATTCAAAGGACACAAAAAACTTAATGTGCACCATTTAGCTTTGATGCACAGTCATTTTCTGTGGTGTTAGGAGTGTTTTTTCAGTCTGACGTCTGTCTGCTGTATCAGTACCGTACAGTCGATTATCACACACAATAACTTCAACACGTTTCCCTGAATTTAGAAACGAGCAGAAAACTCAGCGACTCTAAACTCATTTATAATAGAAGTCAATGGGCAGATTTTTACACATGCTGGGAAGAACAAATTTATGAAATATGTGACTAGATAATGTCACATATTTCATACATAAAACTACCGCTTAAAGGAGGATGATACGGTTAACATACATATATATATATATATATATACACGATATTCGGCTTTTGTTGGAACAGAAAAAATCCACCAGCAAAACAGCAGTGATACTTAAAAAAAATATGAAAAATTACACAACGAAATGACTTTGTTATTTTATATGCAATAACAACTCGTTTTATTCAGTGTTTCAAGAATATTTTAAGTATTTCTGTTAACAAAAATGTAATTATTGAATTACACTTTTATCAAGTTTCTGTTTTCAGATTTCATCTTCACTTTTCAAATATGATGAATTTTGGATGATAATTTTATCGTAACTTTATTCTTGATGTTCTACAGCGTTCTCAGTCAGTTTAGAATCTTCTGTTCATCATTCTGGACTCATCTGACATTTCGACATTTTTATTTATAGCTTCATACTCATCATCCGAAACCTGTATTCGATATCATGTTAGAATCAGTTTATTCATTTATCTGCAATCAATACTGTTGGTATATTGTTGAAAATATGACTTCAAACTTTTGAATGATAGTGTATGTTAATTAAAACAAAATCAACCCTTTAAAAAAAGCCAATTAATTAATGTAAATTAATTAATTAATTCACTGTAAATATCCAAATGGATACTTATTACTATGTAGATTATACTGTTACTGTAAACTGGTTGTTGTTTTTGTTCTCTTATAATTGCTCCTCATTATGATCCATGTGGTAGTTCAGTGTTCTAGATATGATCACTATATAGAAAAGAGAACCAGTACAGAATTGATCACAGTGTTGATTGTGTATCGTCGTTCTGCCGTATGGCTGCTGTTAAACTCTCACAGTGACGTCCTCTTTGATCTGTCTGATCAAATCTGATCTACGATTTCTTCTCAGATTAGCACCCAAAACGCTAAAGAACCCTGAGATCTTCTATGTTGACCCACCGTGTGGCCTGGTACATGGCGGCTGCCGTCCACGTCTCTGGCTCTGTGAGATACAGCACCTGCTCCCAGTTAGAGAGCGCCGGGATGATTTTAAAGGCTTTGGGCAGCTTCCCACTGCGGTACGTCGACAGAACCTGAAACCAGAGGACGACTCGGTCAGCGACTAAACCACAACTACAGCAGACTCAAAAACCCTCTGGGTCTCACTGACTCCATCGCTGTGATTACAGAAATAATCAATAAATATCCTGAAGCTATTAGCGACTGGGAGGCTTTCTGCGATTTTTATTTTCCCACATTATTTGGCCTGAGCAGCAGCTCTTTACGATGGGTGAGAATTTCCTGATGAATGGACCGACAGAAACACTACAAAATTACTTGGAATAAAATCTCTTTACATTAAAGTATAATAAAAGTTATTAACATTTTCATCTATAAACTCACCACTTTGGAGACACTGTTTCTAATAAAGTGGCCAGTGAGTGGAAGCACAAGGTAGGTGTTTCTAATAAAGTGTCCAGTGAGTGGAAGCACGAGGTAGGTGTTTCTAATAAAGTGGCCAGTGAGTGGAAGCACAAGGTAGGTGTTTCTAATAAAGTGACCAGTGAGTGGAAGCACAAGGTAGGTGTTTCTAATAAAGTGTCCAGTGAGTGGAAGCACGAGGTGTGTGTTTCTAATAAAGTGGCCAGTGAGTGTAACAGTGTGCGTAAGATGTCCAGACAATAATTCTGAACTGTTCCAAAATAACCAAATCAAACTACTGTGAAATGTGAGATTTTATGATTCACTGAATTGTTTTCTAAAGAATCATTTTCTAATAGAATCACTCTGCAGTCAGACAGTTACAATAAGGTGTATTTATAAATGTGCAGTTTTCTAATACTGAAATTGGGCTTCCAAATGCATGCTGGGAGCAGCAGTCTTTCATATCAGGTATAAAATCTCACCTTCTTGACCCCTCTGTAGACCTCTATGACCCGGGGGTCCAGCTGGGGCATGGGCTGCCCTGACACCTCTGACATCACTGTGCCGACCTCCGTCTGCTTCTCCGTGATCTTCTCCATGATTATATCAGCTAAAGTTCGCCTGTGAAACACACACACACACACACACACACACACACACACACACACACGTAATACATAAATGAGACCAGCAAGTAAACAAAAGTTTTTCTTTATAGTTCTCGTTGGTTCTTACATTCAGAGAACAAACAACAGCCACCAAAACCCTCCATCAGTATTAAACAAATAAAAAAACTCTACATACAGCACCATTTAGACCAGCGGTCACCAACCTGCGGCTCTTTTACTGTCCTGTGGCTCCACAGCAGAATCAGATTTGTAGGTAAAAGTAAAATAATCCTCCTTTACAGTAAAATAAAGCTCTGCTGATCGTTCAACACAGTTTAACAATAAATGGTCTTAAACTCTGGAGTTAATGTAGAACTGCTGATTCACCCTTTAACCCTGAAGATCAGCGCAGACTGCTGGTCACCATAGCAACGCAGACAATCTCGCCTAGCTGGTAGCTAACGAAACGGCAAAGAGAGAGATTTAAGATGAACATCGATAATTTGGAGACGAATGGACTTATTAGTGTTTATAATCACTCCAGCTGGTTTCCTGATACGTTTAATCTGCAACAAGAAACTGACAAACACTAAAAAGTCACAAGGCTGAAGTCAGTTTCTCATTCGCCAGCTTCCTGTTCAGATTTTCCTGTTCCACCTTAAATAGTGCAGCAGTTACATTCTGGCCCCTCAGGCACCATTTAAGGTGGAACAGGCAAATTCGAACAAGAAGCAACTTCAGCCTCGTAAAAATCGAACGTTCAGAGACATTTTACAAGAAACTGTTCTACTTTTGTGGAAAAGTTTCCTGCTGGAGATGTGAGAAAAGCAGCTGTAGCTGAGCTGAAGCTTAAAGCAGAGCAAAGTAAGTCTGTGTTTTTGTTTATATTATATTTTTTAGTCTATACTAGTACATTAACACGTATTGAGACAGATTTACAGCCAAGATGGTAAAATGGACATAAAATATTGTGGCTCCTCAGGTGATTTGATTTTTGTTGAAAGGACAAAATGGCTCTTCTTAACATTTGCGTTGCGACGTCTGATTGAGATGGTCACGCAACACTGACTGCAGCTTCTACAAACAGATGTGTCACACAGAGCTGAACGATTTGAGGAAAATACATAACTGTGATTTTTTTTTCTGACCAATATTCTGACTAATTCAAACTGGGCTTGTTTTCTATTTAAATTAAGGTCCAGGCCTGTTTTTTCGGCCATAAACACCAGCATGTGCACATTTTCTGGCTTGAGGCTTTAACACTGAATGTAGTACATCAGACTGTCGGTTAGTCGTGGTTGTGATGTCACAGTATAGGGTGTTTAGGTGCTTCTGATTGGTCAAACTGTTCTAAAGGCTGTTAATGAGCTCTGTGTTATCAGGTTAAAGTTCCCCACTTAAAACCTGCTAAAACAGTGTTTATAATGCAGACTATAACAAAACTGCAGCTCTTACCATTTGAATATTTCACTCTTTTAATCTGGGATTTAAATATAAGACGATTCCCCTTTCAGCCCTCGTGTCTCCCTCACTGAGGTCCAGAGTAGGTTTGGCCGATATTTATAGTTATCATGATAACGATAGGCGATATTATCACGATAATGATAACATATTGTATTAATGTCCACCTCTAATGTGGCCCCTTGGCCTCGTAGCCCTTCCTGAAGGCATGCTGTGCTCATCAGCTGTCCAGGTGTTCTTTACCTGACAGGTGGGTTTTTACTCATGAACATCTGGATGGCTTTTTCATCCTCTGGGTCCACCTCTACCGCAGCACCCGCCCCCATGTCATCCTCCACTGACCCAGCAGCCCCCAGCTCCGGCCATTCTTCATCAGAGTCGCCATCCTGAGAACTTGGACCTGCAATAATAATAATAATAATAATAACAACTAGTTTACTAACTACTTCAACAAACTATGCTAACCTCACTGGTGTGTTCATGCTCTTGTCATTGTTAGTAAATATTCTAGAATCAGCAACGTACAACAACTTTCATCAAAGGTGAAAGTCAAAATTTCTGCATAATTAAACAAAGTCATTCAGAGCAGTTTGGCGTGAAACGCTCTGTTCTAGATAAACTTACCGAGTCAGAACTGTTCACAGTGGTGGTGATAGGAACCAGACGTCCACCTCTAAAAGCTCCCTCACAGAAAGTTCCTACAGTAAATGGTTATGAATTCACTGCCTGATGACTGAGACACTGTTTTATGATAGTTTAGAGAACTTAAACTCCATTCATGGTGGAGGGATACATGCAGAACGCTGTGAGGCAAAATAGTCCCCAAAGAAAACTGATTATTCCAGATTTTCCACTATTTTCCATCATCAACATTCCATATAGACTCAGAAGACTCGTGTAGGTTCACTGGTGGTTCTGGATAGTAAATAAAATGTCTATATCTGTGCTGTAGTCATGGCGACCCCTGGTTCCTATCACCACCACTGTAAAGACATCTGAACCATTTCACACCAAACCTCTCTGAATCTCTCTGATTACATCTCAGTAATTAGTGAAGGGGAATTTTGAAAAATAGGTGAAGTTACCCTTTTAAATCTAGTATTGAGCTAAACTGCTGTAGCTGCAGGGTCATATTAGGATTAATATGGACTCAATATTAAAAATAATAATAATAATTTTAGGGGAGAATTTACACCGCCTCTTACAACAAGTAAAGGTTAAATATTACACATTTTAATAGATCATGTGACCAAAATGAGCCACTCTAACGTAACTAGAACAGTAAGTTACCTAGAACAGTAGAAGGTTTCTTCTTGACTTCTGGCGTCACTCCGAACTCCGTCTGCAGCTCTTCTTGCTGGATTCGTGCCTGTTCCAAAATCTTCCTGGACAGTTTTTCATCCACATACTCTTCTTCCTCCTCCTCCTGTTTTCTGGCCCTGCTTTTAACCCGGCTGTGGCTCCTGATGGTGTCCAACTGGAGCAGCTGGTCAGCCAGAGGCAGAGAGCCCCCTGCCCGCTCCGCTGCTCCGGCTTTACTCCTCTTTACCTTCGGCATCGCGACGCACCGCTCCAAACCTCTGGCCTCTCACAGCGGACAGTGTTTGGGATCCTAAGCTGGACTCATAAGATCCCGCTGCCCTCGCTGTCCGAGCACTGCAGGACACACGTGGGTCCCTCAAAGCAAATGGAGTTACAGACGACGCTGCGTGTACCGCCGAGCGCTGACGGCGCCACAAACTGCACCCACGAGGCCCCGCCTGTGGCTGCCTAAAGTCGGCCTGACTTAAAATCTCAACAGAACCCGGACTAGAAACTGAGATTCAGAACTGGTTTTACTGGTCAAGTGAAATATCACTTATCTTGTGTCTTTTCTGGCACTTTAACACTTCAGTGTTCTGCTAAACCTTAGGGTAGAGCACATTTTGAGTCACTATGTATGTTCTGATCTCGACAGTTTGATAGATATGAATATTTAAAAAACTGTGGGGTTGTTTTTATTATTGCCCCAAATAAAAAAATAAAAATAAAAAAGGGTTAAGACAGACAGCAACACGTTAATGAATAAATGGAAACAGAATAATTATAATAATTATAATAAAAAGCAACACGATAAAATAATTATATTATCTGGTATGATATTTCACTGTATTATAATATAGTTAACATAAAAGAAACAAAATAATAGTAACAATAAAAATAAATAAAATAGTGCAAGTAGTGAAGATTCTGAATATCAACTTTAAAAATGCGCTGTACAAATTTTAAATAACATCAAATGTGGGTTTGATTGAAAAGAGCAGAATTAACGATATAAATGTATTGGTATTCATTATGTCCGCTAACGTGCTTAATCTATCGGTGTATTAATACTCTTTATTTTATTTAAGATAGTAAAAAGTACAAATCAGCATCTAAGTTTTGTTGATAAATCTTGTTTCTCCAATTCATCCAATCAGACGGCGACCGGAAACCAGGGGGTGCAGGATGTGTCGAGTGACGGATTATTACGCAGCACTTTTCACTAAAATCGCTGTTTATTTATATTTCTCCAGTTAAATACTTCATCCACCGCGCTGAAGTTGTTGTTGTCCGTATGGTTACCTTTATATTATATGTGATTGTATTAAAGTGGACTTTGTTTATTGTACAAATGCTCTTATTTTGTGTTGTAGTTTGAGTGAACCGGATGGAGTTTCTCTGCGCCGGACAAACGGAGATGTTTTGAAGATATTCTGGCCGCGCGGTGCCGAAATGGGGGTGACGTGGTGAGAAAAATGAACGATTTCTGTTTTATTTACTTACCAACTCAGACTGCGACCACCTGGTGTGCTGAACGGGGCTGAAGTCGGCTTCGTATATGAATTTTCCCGTTCCACCTTAAATGGCGCACCAGATTACATTCTGGCTAATTTTCCCGTTCCACCTTAAATGATGCAGAAGGCTACATTCTGGCTAATTTTCCCGTTCCACCTTAAATGATGCAGAAGGCTACATTTTGGCGAATTTTCCCGTTCCACCTTAAATGGTGCACCAGACTACCTTCTGGCGAATTTTCCTGTTCCACCTTAAATGATGCAGTAAGCTACATTCTGGCGAGTTTTCCCGTTCCACCTTAAATGATGCAGAAGGCTACATTTTGGCGAATTTTCCCGTTCCGCCTTAAAGGGTGCACCAGACTACATTCTGGCGAATTTTCCCGTTCCACCTTAAATGATGCAGTAAGCTACATTCTGGCGAGTTTTCCCGTTCCATCTTAAATGATGCAGCAGGCTACATTCTGGCTAATTTTCCCGTTCCACCTTAAATGGCGCACCAGAATACATTCTGGCTAATTTTCCCGTTTCACCATAAAAGATGCAGCAGGCTACATTCTGGCGAATATTCCCGTTCCACCTTAAATGGCGCACCACACTTCATTCTGGCTAATTTTCCCGTTCCACCTTAAAAGATGCAGCAGGCTACATTCTGGCTAATTTTCCCGTTCTACCTTAAATGGCGCACCAGAATACATTCTGGCTAATTTTCCCGTTCCACCTTAAATGATGCAGCAGGCTGCATTCTGGAGAGTATTCCCGTTCCACCTTAAGTGATGCAGCAGACTACATTCTGGCTAATATTCCTATTCCACCTTAAATGGCGCACCAGACTACATTCTGGCTAATTTTCCCGTTCCACCTTAAATGATGCAGTAGGCTATATTCTGGCTAATTTTCCCGTTCCACCTTAAATGATGCAGCAGGCTACGTTCTGGAGAGTATTCCCGTTCCACCTTAAATGGCGCACCAGACTACATTCTGGCTAATTTTCCCGTTCCACCATAAATGATGTAGCATGGCTACGTTCTGCAGCACCAATTAAGGTGGAACGGGAAAATTGGAACGAGAACCCGACTTCAACCTTTTCTCCATCCAGCGTGTATCAATGTACACTCTTAAAAAGATGGTTCTTCATGGGTTCTTTAGTAAAGACAGGAGTTCTTTTTAGAGCCAAGAGTTCTACATAGAACCATTTGCATGCTTAAATGGTTCTTTGCATGGTAAAGTGGTTCTTCAGATTGGTGGAGAACGTGGTCAGAGACCCTCAAATAAAAAGAGCGTCACTTCATTAACAGCTACCAGCGCTGCTCTGTAGGCGACCCTGCCAGTCTGCAGTGACAGCAGAGGAGGGTAAAGTTCAGCTCCTCACTGCTGGGCTTTAGTTACATTTAGGGCATCATATGATCTTCAAAGAGGGGGGCAATTATTTATTATCACCCACCCCTAATTCTTCAGTGATATGAAGCTGAAATCAGATATTCACCAGCTTCTTGTTCGGATTTTCCTGTTCCGCCTTAAATGGAGCAGCAGTTCTGATGCCTGAGAATGCAAGTGCTGCATCACTTAAGGTGGAACGGGAAATTTAGCTGCCGAGACGTCAGCACTACTACTATTAAAAGGACCATAATACACTGAAACGACATTAAACTAAGATAGTTCAATGGTTCTCAAAGGCAAATGTAAACTTAAGACATACAGTTACTAATTTAACTGCACAAACAGTTTTAAACTCAAAAACAGCTCATTTACATATCTGCCTATTCAGCCTGTAGCAGTTCAGCCCCGCTCACTGAAGTTATAAGGAGTGATGTAGGAATGGTTTTTGAATGAGGCTCAGAACAGCTCTTAGGCTACGTTTACACAGCAGGTAAAAGTGGCCCAAATCTGATTTTCTCACCAAATCCGTTTTTTTTGTTTGGCTGTTCACATTATCTTTTAAATCTGATCTGTATGCAACACCAGTCTGAACAGATCAGCTCCTAAACCGACCCGCATGCGCAAAAGAACAGAGCTCCACATGGCGGCTCGTCCAGAGGTAAACAGTCATGACGGCCAGTGAAGGTCAGTCGCTCCCCGAGCTTCAGTTTCGTCTTCGCCAGCATCACAGGAGCGATTATAAAGTTCCAGTGGTTCATCACCCACAGTGTGTTCGAGTTCACCGTAAAAAGGGCGCGTTATTCGGCCACTTCTTTGGTTCGAGTCCTCGGATTCTTTAAACTGTTCTCTGACGCTGCAGCCTCGGCCTCCTCCGGCCGTTTCGTTTCAGCACGGAGCGGTCTGATGAGTTTAGTACAGAAACATCAGACTAAATGTTTGAGTCTCAGCAGCGCGAAATGATGACGAATGTCGAGTTGAACTGACGTAAAAGTCGCATGAATTCCGATCTGGCTGTTCAGACTGAGTCGGATTGCCGCAAAACGGATACGTATTGGATTTCAGTACCACATATGAAAGCGTCTCGGATCAGTTTTTTCTGTTCACACTGCCACACAGACACACATCTGTGCCACGATTGAGGAAAAAGATCGGATTTGGGCCACTTTTACCTGCTGTGTAAACGTAGCCTTAGAAACATATATATATCAGTCTTAAAGGCACAGTAACAAATAAACAACTTGACTCTTTTTGGTGCTTAAAACTGCACAAATGTCATAAAATCTAAGAAGCAAAAATAAAATACATGAGAAATGTTGTATATGGGCTCTTTAACACGTGTGTGTGTGTGTGTGTGTGTGTGTGTGTGTGCGCGCTGCAGTGTGTGCCAGGTGCCGGTGGCGGAGGGGAAGAGTGTGCAGCAGACGGTGGATCAGCTCCATAAGAAGCTGGAGCAGCTGGGAGCCGTGAAGCAGGGCAGCTTCTTTGTGGACTGTGAGACGTATCACGCAACAGGAAACGCCAGCGGTAAATAAAATAAACCGTATTTCTGCCCACAGGTGCCTGCCAGGCCTGGCCAGTTTATCAGAAACACCGATCACCTGGGTAAGGATAGGTGACAAAAACATACCATCATAATTAGAGACGTAAACAATTAACTGATTAACATTTAATCGACAAGCAAACAATTGTTCGACCAACACTGTTAAAAATGTTAAATATAATTTATTTTATGTAATATATTGAATAAGCAGGTTTATTGTTCAAGTTGAGGAGTGTTTTTATATGTGTGAGTAATAGGCAGCTGCTTATGCTGGACTAGTTTATTAATAAATAAAGCGCACAGTTAGTAGTGGGGCCAAAGATTTATGATGGGGATCGGCAATATGGCAAAAATATTATATCACAATACTGATACTACTACAGATTATGCATCACAATGTTTCATTTTCCTGGGATTTAATAAGTTGGACTTGATGAAATAGAACCTGTAGTGCCACATATTAATGTAATAATAACAATAATAATAAAGGATGCATTGATACTGCTATCAGGTATTGGGCCGATACCATACAACCACAATTATTATTATTCAGTGTTTTACAAACTGCGCTGACCATGAAACATGTGGTCAGTCAGCGTCCTTTAAGTACTGACGAGATCCACGATATGCTCAGAAAAGCGTATTGTGACATAATTTATCACAATAACGTTAAAATATCATCATATCGCTTAATTTAAATCACAGTATAATTACCATTTCTGACCGTTGCAGTATATCAAATTTTAAGCACCTGAGAAAATTAGAGTTAAAAGCTGTTTATCTGGTCAGTGAGAATGTATTTGTTCAGAAAAAAGCACTGATATTAAAATAAACATTAATAACATTAATGCAGTAAGTAGTGCTTTGTATGTCAGTGTTTTCATTTAATCATGATCTGCCCTCTCCTGGAGGAAGTCCAGTATTGACTGTGGTTAATCATCTGATACCTGCTTTATCTGATCAATACTGCATTATGTTAGGAGCTGCAGAAGGAATTGAATAAATCCGTGTGATGTTGGAGGAGAAAACTGGAGCCAATCCTCAAACCAGCTCACAAGCTATAAGCTACTTTTCTCAAAATACAAAATTCTTGTTTTATTTTTTTTCCACTGTATGTATGTTTATTTGCATCTATTCTAATGATATATGGAATAAGCAAAAATGCACTTATTTTCATGTTAACAGAATCCGTTAATTTTCACTTTCTTATTTTTTAACAACCAAAGTAAAGTCTTATATCACGATGATGATATGAGAAGCAATAAATTACTATTAAAATAAAGTCTCTTTGGCTGGATGTAAAGCAAGTGCAGGCATTTTTTGGGACGTGTAAACAGAAATCTAACTAACCTCTCTTTAAACACCTCTTTAACCAAATAGCAAAATACAAAATTACAAAAGCCGCGTTTACTATTCTGCAAAATAAAAAGAAATGAAATATTAATAACTACTTACATCAGAACTGAGCACATTTTTTTGTGCACTGCGAGGCTGAGAAACAGTCAGCATTACCTCAACAGCTTTTTCTATTAAGGCTATGAAACCAAATATATATACATTTATTTTTTTGTATAAGCACACAGGAACAATTACATATTCTTGTTTCTTTTTATTCTTTGATTAGTTATTAAATATTGTGGCGTCAGACACACCGGGTTGTATTTAGTTAAAAAATATCGTTGTTCTTGCTTTTGGTTTAGTGTAGTTCGGCATCGTGTTCTTAGTTGGTCCGGGACTCTTATTTTGAAGGACTCTGGGGGGCGTATGGTAGTGAGCTTCAGTAGCCCAGCTGGCTAGCAGAAAAACAATAAAGCCTGAGCAGCCTGTGTGCTTCGTGTTTCCCCTTTACTGCAGCTGTAGTTGAATTTCCATTAAAGCTGAGTTATGGGGACGTTTTAAGGTCTCGGTGTGTGTTTTGTAGTTGAATTTCCATTAAAGCTGAGTTATGGGGACGTTTTAAGGGTCTCGGTGTGTGTTTCATAGTTGAATCTCCATTAAAGCTGAGTTATGGGGACGTTTTAAGGTCTCGGTGTGTGTTTTGTAGTTGAATTTCCATTAAAGCTGAGTTGAATTTCCATTAAAGCTGAGTTATGGGGACGTTTTAAGGTCTCGGTGTGTGTTTCGTAGTTGAATTTCCATTAAAGCTGAGTTATGGGCACGTTTTAAGGTCTCGGTGTGTGTTTCGTAGTTGAATCTCCATTAAAGCTGAGTTATGGGGACATTTTAAGGTCTCGGTGTGTGTTTCGTAGTTGAATCTCCATTAAAGCTGAGTTATGGGCACGTTTTAAGGTCTCGGTGTGTGTTTCGTAGTTGAATTTCCATTAAAGCTGAGTTATGGGGACATTTTAAGGTCTCCAAGTGTGTTTTGTAGTTGAATCTCCATTAAAGCTGAGTTATGGGGACGTTTTAAGGTCTCAGTGTGTGTTTTTGTAGTTCAATTTCCATTAACACTAAATTATGGGGACGTTTTAAGGTCTACAAGTGTGTTTTGTAGTTGAATCTCCATTAAAGCTGAGTTATGGGCACGTTTTAAGGTCTCGGTGTGTGTTTTGTAGTTGAATCTCCATTAAAGCTGAGTTATGGGCACGTTTTAAGGTCTCCAAGTGTGTTTTGTAGTTGAATCTCCATTAAAGCTGAGTTATGGGGACGTTTTAAGGTCTCAGTGTGTGTTTTGTAGTTGAATTTCCATTAAAGCTGAGTTATGGGGACGTTTTAAGGTCTCGGTGTGTGTTTCGTAGTTGAATTTCCATTAAAGCTGAGTTATGGGGACGTTTTAAGGTCTCGGTGTGTGTTTCGTAGTTGAATTTCCATTAAAGCTGAGTTATGGGGACGTTTTAAGGTCTCGGTGTGTGTTTCGTAGTTGAATTTCCATTAAAGCTGAGTTATGGGGACGTTTTAAGGTCTCGGTGTGTGTTTCGTAGTTGAATCTCCATTAAAGCTGAGTTATGGGGACGTTTTAAGGTCTCGGTGTGTGTTTCGTAGTTGAATTTCCATTAAAGCTGAGTTATGGGGACGTTTTAAGGTCTCAGTGTGTGTTTTGTAGTTGAATCTCCATTAAAGCTGAGTTATGGGGACGTTTTAAGGTCTCGGTGTGTGTTTCGTAGTTGAATTTCCATTAAAGCTGAGTTATGGGGACATTTTAAGGTCTCAAGTGTGTTTTGTAGTTGAATCTCCATTAAAGCTGAGTTATGGGGACGTTTTAAGGTCTCGGTGTGTGTTTCGTAGTTGAATTTCCATTAAAGCTGAGTTATGGGGACATTTTAAGGTCTCAAGTGTGTTTTGTAGTTGAATCTCCATTAAAGCTGAGTTATGGGGACGTTTTAAGGTCTCGGTGTGTGTTTCGTAGTTGAATTTCCATTAAAGCTGAGTTATGGGGACATTTTAAGGTCTCCAAGTGTGTTTTGTAGTTGAATCTCCATTAAAGCTGAGTTATGGGCACGTTTTAAGGTCTCGGTGTGTGTTTCGTAGTTGAATTTCCATTAAAGCTAAATTATGGGGACATTTTAAGGTCTCGGTGTGTTTTGTAGTTGAATTTCCATTAAAGCTGAGTTATGGGGACGTTTTAAGGTCTCGGTGTGTGTTTCGTAGTTGAATTTCCATTAAAGCTGAGTTATGGGGCCATTTTAAGGTCTCAGTGTGTGTTTTGTAGTTGAATCTCCATTAAAGCTGAGTTATGGGCACGTTTTAAGGGTCTCGGTGTGTGTTTCGTAGTTGAATCTCCATTAAAGCTGAGTTATGGGGACGTTTTAAGGTCTCAGTGTGTGTTTTGTAGTTGAATCTCCATTAAAGCTGAGTTATGGGGACGTTTTAAGGTCTCGGTGTGTGTTTCGTAGTTGAATTTCCATTAAAGCTGAGTTATGGGGACGTTTTAAGGTCTCGGTGTGTGTTTCGTAGTTGAATTTCCATTAAAGCTGAGTTATGGGGACGTTTTAAGGTCTCGGTGTGTGTTTCGTAGTTGAATTTCCATTAAAGCTGAGTTATGGGGACGTTTTAAGGTCTCGGTGTGTGTTTCGTAGTTGAATTTCCATTAAAGCTGAGTTATGGGGACGTTTTAAGGTCTCGGTGTGTGTTTCGTAGTTGAATCTCCATTAAAGCTGAGTTATGGGGACGTTTTAAGGTCTCAGTGTGTGTTTTTGTAGTTGAATTTCTATTAAAGCTGAGTTATGGGGACGTTTTAAGGCCTTGGTGTATGTTTTGTAGTTGAATTTCCATTAAAGCTGAGTTACGGGGCCATTTTAAGGTCTGTGTGTGTTATGTAGTTGAATTTCCATTAAAGCTGAGTTATGGAGACGTTTTAAGGTCTCCAAGTGTGTTTTGTAGCAGAATTTCCTGTAACGTGATGACGTCTCTTTGGCGGTGCATGTATGAGGTAATAAGATCTGCTCTGTCATCGCCGCTCTAACAGTTTTTTAATGCAGCCCTACTGAGCAATATGTAGGTGAACCACAGGCCTGCAAAAGCTGCTAAATGTTGTTTCACATCTGAATTTCTACATGGCTGAGGTTCTTTTTCAGCAGCTTTTTGTTGGAATTTTGTGTTCCACCTTAAATGGAGGAGCAGTTACATTCTTGCAGCTGTACAGGTGTCTGAATGTAAGCTGTACCATTTAAGGTGGAACGGGAATTTTGAATAAGAAGCCAAGTTCAGCTTCTTCTTCAGGGTCCTGATTGTTGTTCTTTGGTTCTGTGGTTCTGTGATCCAGGTCAGCCGTCTAAGCTGCTGTATGTGATGCACAACTCGGAGACGCCGCTGAGCTGCATGGCTCTGTTCGAGGGCGGACCGTATCTGACCGCAGACGCCAACTTCGACGTCCTGATGGTGAAGCTGAAGAGCCACTTCCAGAACGCCAAAGGTCACAAGGTTGAGAGCCGCGGCGCACGCTACCGATACTGCGACTTCCTGGTGAAGGTCGGCACAGTGACCATGAGCTCCAGCGCCAGAGGGATCTCCGTGGAGGTCTGAGTTGACTCAGTAATAAGTTCAGACATTTGGAATCAGTGTCTTTAATAACAGAAATAATCTGAAGTTCTGTAAAACTCTACAGGTTTCAAAGAAGTTCTAGGTAGTAAAGATTGATGAACAGAGCCAAAGAAGGTTCTCAAATAACTCAGAAAGCTGTAGAATATCAAGAGTGAAGATCTAATAAAATAAAATCCACAATTAAGTTTTAATAAAATTAATATCCATAAAGAAGATCTAATAATATTAATCTACAGACTGAAATTCTAATAAATTTAATACGTAGTCTGAAGGTCTAATAAAGATAATAAACAGGTTGAAGTTCTAATTAACCTAATATACGGTCTGAAGTTCTAATAAAATTGATGTACAGACTGAAGTTCTAGTAAACTTAATATACAGACTGACTTAATATACAATCTTTTCTAGAGTAAAGTTATGATAAAATTTATGTATAGAATGAAGTTCTAAAAAGTCTTTTCTAGAATTAAGTTTTAATTAAATCATTAATTAACATCCAGAATTGAGTTCTAATAAAGTTAATATCCTAATGAATTTTATATCCAAAAGGCTTAAAATCTTGAAGTAGTTCATTTGACAAAAATGATTATAAATAGATAATTAAAGTGTATTAATTATAACTTACACAGTTCTTGAAATATTGAATAAAGCTAAAATATATTTGGTGTCTTACATCTACATTGTTCAAGTTTTTACTGAATACAAAATAAAAACAATTGATTCCAAACTTTTGAATGAGTCATAGCTTCCAGAAGTTCAGCTTGTCTGCAGACGTAATCAGAGAGGTTCAGAGTGGTTTGGTGTGAAACGGTTCAGATGTCTTTACAGTGGTGGTGATAGGAACCAGGGGTCGCCATGACTACAACACAAATATAGACATTTTATTTACTATCCAGAACCACCAGTGAACCTACACGAGTCCTCTGAGTTTATATGGAATGTTGATGATGGAAAATAGTGGAAAATCTGAAATAATAAGTTTTCTTTGGGGACTATTTTGCCTCACAGCGCCCTGCATGTATCCCTCCACCATGAATGGAGTTTAAGTTCTCTAAACTATCATAAAACAGTGTCTCAGTCATCAGGCAGTGAATTCATAACCATTTCATGTAGGAACTTTCTGTGAGGGAGCTTTTAGAGGTGGACGTCTGGTTCCTATCACCACCACTGTGAACAGTTCTGACTCAGTAAGTTTCTCTAGAATGAAGCATTTCACACCAAACCACTCTGAACCACTCTGGTACATCTTAACCGTTTAATTATGCAGAAATTTTGAAAATTCAGTGGAATTCCTCTTTACGATGCTTTGCTTGTGTGTGCAGGTGGAGTACTGTGCGTGTGTGGTTCCTGGAGATTGCTGGAATTTAATGAAGGAGTTCATGCAGAGTTTTCTGGGCTCAAACGTCCCTGAGATTCCATCTGTTTTCACCAGTAAACCTGAAGGCCTGTTCGCTCCAGCGGACTGCATGGACACCATGAGCCAGTACCTGGAGCTGTTCAGTAAAGTCAGAAAACAGCAGGTTCTGCCAGGGAGCAGCGTCCGATAGAACCTGCATCAACAAGGACTCAACGCCTGAGCGCCGCACATGCTCTACAGACAGGCTGAAGACTCAAGCAGTGTGGCTTCAGTGTGAATGCCATACCATACCATACAAGTGGTTGTGCAGTAGGGGTGGCCGATATGGCAAACTATTATATCACGATACTTCAACATTATCACAATGCACGATATGCATCACAATATTTGGGTTTTCTGAGATTTAATAAGTTATGATTATGCTCACTTTGTATTGAAACGTGCGGTTAGTCAGTGCTCTTTAAGTACTGACGATATCCACAATATTCTCAGAAAAGCATATTGTGAGGTAAATTATCACGATAATGATCAAATTTTGTCATATTGCCCAGCCCTACTGTTCAGAAGGGAGTCTAATGTGGAAGAAGAAACCACGATGACCATGCTAAACAATGCAAGCATTACATTTCCCCTTTGTCAGTTGTATAACTTCAATATATCTTTTTGTCATTAGTCAGAACAACAACTAGGGGATGATATTCATCATTATTGTGATCAATTACATCACATTACGTCACATTATGCTTTTCTAAGCATATCGTCAATATATAAACACTGACCCAAGTAAATGTTTTATTACTAATGCAGCATAGTCTTGTTTTGGATTGCTGAGTATTAGAGATGAAACAAAAATCATTGTACTTGTATTTTTTGACAGTACTCTTTTTTTTTAAATGTGGTACTTTTGTCCAAGTTATCAAACCTGAGAAAAATCACCTCAGCGTGTTGTGTAACTTGAAATATCATGATAATTTTGCTGTATCGCCCACCCCTAGCAACGAGGTAGCTTGAGCATAGGGGTGTCTCTGTGTAAAAAATGTTCCTACTTTTGCTAAAATAAAGAATTTGTAATTTCTAAGTAGTATTGCCATTTATTGTATACTCCACAATATATTGTACTTTTAGAAATATATAAAATCTGTTTATAAATACATAAAATACATCATATGTACTTTTATAAATGATCTATATAAATTCTAGGTTTTTAAACTACGTAAAAAGATTAAAGATTGTAACACTATTGTCATTTACTGTCACTATCAACTCCAGAGTGCGCTGCACTTTTAACTATGTCTGTATAAAATCAGAGCGTTTATAAGTCAGTATAATATATAAAATTTGATTTTGGAAAATCATCTATATAAAGTCTATTTTTAACCAGTCCATATGTTTAAATAAATCATTCGCTGAATTTCATACCGGCGAAATCTCCTATAGCCCCACCCTCCTCCTCTGACCGACGTCCCGAGGGCCAATAAGGGTTGAGCTTGATTACTTTCGGGCCAATCAGAGCGGCGGGTTCGGTTGAGCCGAGTAAACGGTGACAGCTCGCGTGTGCGGATGACGGCGGTAAATAAAGCCGCACACACATTATAAACAACAAAATATACAAATAACAACAAGAAAGGTCGCGTTTTGGCGGGTTTTCGCGCCGTTTTCTATCAGATGTGGACTCTTACTGTGGAGTACGGGTTAATTCCTAAGGAAAAAAAGAAAGTTTGGCCGTTTTTTTCCTCGATCTGCTCGTTTTTTATGGGATCTGTCCACTTCGGCTGTTGTTTAAAGATTTAAACAAAAGTTGATCCGGTAAAATTACTTTTCTCACTAAAACTCAGTGTTTAAATGAACCGCGGGGGATGTGGAGACTGTGTTCAGTGTGTTTGTGGATCAGCCGGATAAGTTTTATTTGTGCAAGTGTCGCTGCCGTGTCTGTATGAGGGGCTCTTTGTTCTGCTGGTGAGTATCTGAGGAGCGTTAGCTTTAGCTTTAGCTCTAACAGCTCGCACTGACCGGCTCCGCTCCGCTCAGCTCTGCTCGTCAACTTCTCCGTTTCTGAAAGATCGCCTCACTGTAATCAACAGATATAGGTCGCTGCCAGGTTGCAAAACCCTTCGACACATTTTCCGGAGCGTTTTTATACTTCGGTAACGCTGAAATGTCGAGTATGAACTGTTTTTAAACAGAAACACGTCCGGTCCAAAAGTGCAGAGGAGGAACGCTTGTGAATTCCGAATTCGCATCGACGAGTTTTTGGTCAGTCAGCAATACGTCGGATATTTTCAATTATCTGATTGTTTTCATTATTAACGTGGGCTGTTTAGCTGGTGTGGAGAATGAAATAACGGTAAATCAATCGTTTCCAGTGTGTAGTTGTGTGAACCTAAAAGTTGGCTTCCTATTCGCCAGCTTCTTGTTCGAATTTTCCCGTTCCACCTTAAATAGTGCAGCAGTTACACTCTGGTCCCTCGGGCGCTTGAATGTAACTGCTGCACCATTTAAGGTGGAACGGGAAAATTCGAACAAGAAGCTTGCGCGTAAGATATGTCTTCTCTTTTTGAATGAACATGAGAACCAGACCCGTGTTCCCCACGTTCTCCAGTGGGGAAAAAGCGCTAAGTCTCTCTCTGGTGGAACATTTTTGGACATTTCTCATAAAGAAAACTGCAGACTTGTGAAACTTAACGTGTTATTCAGCAGCCGTAGCAACAAAACAGACCCGCGTTCGGGCAGAAATGTGGCCAATGTCTCATAATTCAGCCTCTGAACTGAACATTTGTAAACAAATCTGTGTGTAATAGGTGTTATTCATTAACGTTAGCTGGCTGGTGTAGCTTAGCTTAGTGAACCTAGCTGCTGATTGTCTGCATTGTCTTTTGGCTGAGGAGGGAAAATAAACCGGCGAAACTGTTTTTATCCGGAACCACTGAATGAATGTGGCTTTAGGCTGAAATGTGGCAGCGCTGGTTTTGATCGTGGAGCTTGTCAGTAAATAGGAAATCGCCAAAATCGAATAAACCCGGCTGGAATAACACGGCTAACTGTGCTAGCTACAAGTAGTCTGCAGTGCTAGCTGCAGAGCTAATCCAATTTGCATGATTAACGATGAATGTGGAGCTGGCTAGCCAGGATAATAGGAAATGGAGATGGACAATATTCCCCAAAAACTGTATTAAATATGTTTATCAGTGTTGCAGGCTTTGTTTAACCGCAACTGGCAGGTTTATGAATGAACAGAAGGTCTGACAGACTGGAGGGAAGCCAGATTAGTTCAATCTGAGGCAGACTGGCTGCTCTCTTAAAAAAGGATGGGTCTTTAGTAGAGGGGACGGTTCTGCTAGAACCATGAATTCATGATTAAAATGGTTCTCTGCATGGTGAAATGGTTCCACAGATTGATGGAGAATGTGCTGTATATGGTTTATATAGAACCTTTTTTTAAAATGGCACCAAAGGGTTCTGCTAGACTCCTCAAAAAGATCTTCAAGGATTCTTTAGTAAAGAGGATAGTTCTGTTTAGACCCATGAGTTCCATTTTGAAAATGGTTCAAAAGACCAAAAAGGGTTCTGCTGTTGTTGCGATATCAAGCTTGTAATAGTAGAAGAACTGTTTTAGTGCTATATAGAACCATTTTCAAAAAGGTTCCACATAGAGCTGTGGAAAGCACCCTCTCCATCAGCCTGAAGAACCATTTCACCATGTAAAGAACCAGTTAAGCATGAACATGATTCTGTACGAGACTCGTGCTAAATAGAACAATCGCCTTTACTAAAGAACCCTTGAAGAATCATCTATTTTAAGAGTGTTGTTACGGAGTCAGGCTTGAAACAATAGCAGAACCCTTTTTGGTGCTATATTGAACCATTTTCAAAAAGGTTCCGTATAGAATCATATACAACACATCGTCCATCAGTCTGAAGAACCATTTCGCCATGCAAAGAACCATTTAAGCATGCAAGTGGTTCTAGGGCCATTCCTTTTGCTTAAGAACCATCCTTTTGAAAAAGTTTGGTGTTATTTCCCTAAACAGACAGTTTGTGTTCACCACACCATGCGAAGCATGTAGATGGTTCAATATAGAACTCATGGCTCTAAATAGAGCCTTTCCTTCTACTAAAGAACCCTTTGAGAACCATCTTTTTTAAAAGAGTGGGCTTTCTGCTCAAACAAAAGTCTTGGCGCTCTTTGTTTTGTCTGCGGCTGAACTTTCTCCACTCACACATAAACAGCTTTGAGAGCTTGATGAGAATTTCTGAAACGTGAAACGTGTCTCTGTCTTCTGGTTCTCAGGCCTCACGTCGCTGTGTTGATGTCGGGTTGTGTTTACGACTGACCACCTGAACACATCTCTACCTTTCCCGTCCCAGAGAGGCCTGAAGCTGTGGACCTGAAGAGATTTCTCCCCCTGAGGCTGTGATGCTCGACACACACCCGCTGGAGCATTTATGAGTCTGCTTTCAGAGTAAGTCTTCCAGACCCATTCACACTCGGGTCGCTGTATTATTTCTAATCAGGGGCCCCACATGAGGAAAGGCTAAAGCCCTGAATGATTCGGGGGGCCCAGAGCTAGAAAGAGGCCCTGGAGCACAGCGGGGATTATAGGTGCTGTTGTGACTCATGTTAGTCGCATATTTTAATCACCACTTCATCAGAAACGGCTGCTGTGATAGTCGCACTATGTAGGTTTACAGTTACAGGCTGCCCATCTGTAACTGTGATCAATGGAAAAGCTGTGGTCACAAGACATTTTGGTGTCAATCGAAAAAGTTGTGGGCGTGTTTGTGGTCGGATATTGTTGTGAGCGGGAAACTCATTCAAACATGAAAGCTCATAAGCGAGAACTGCAGGCGTTTGCTGCCCTTTTCATCATAAAGTGAGCAATAAAGGACACATTCTAGCCAACCTCGTCACAGATCTTTAGAGCTGGGTTCTACAGATCTGAGTTGACAAGATGGGCGGATTGATATTGAAATATCGATATTTCCAATCCTGATGTCTCTCTTCGAGGATTGATCCTCACATGACAATATGAGACTAGGTGTTTTCTTTAAGCAGTACGAGGTGAATCAAAAAGATTGATCCGATTTCAAAATTATTTATTTCAGTTGTAAATCATTACAGATCAATGCAGTGAACTGTAAACGGTTTAAATGAGCATAAAGTTTATTATGTAATTGTACAAGGTCTCAGTATGAACCTCCTCCAGCTGTACAGACAACATCAACACCATAGTCAAACTCATCCCGTACTGGATTGAGCATGTCGGGTGTCGCTGCACTCACGGCTCTTTCAGTGCGATTTCGGAGATCATCCAGTGTTGTGGAACCAACGCCGAACGCTCTGAGCTGTTGGAGCTTCACTGCCCACGAAAATCACACTGCACAGTTATGACGGATTCACTCTTATTGAAGTGGAGAACGCAGAACGCTTTCTGCTCAGGGGTCTCATCTCCTCTCAGACTGAAGGGAGCCATCTTCCACTGACAGTCAGAAACTCTATGACCCCCTCTTACAATTGGATTGTGGTTGGTTCCTCGGCGCCTCACGGTTGTAAAAATATGGTGCTTTGAAATCGGATGAATCTTTTTTGAGTCACCCTGTATATTGAAGAAATGGTGAAAAAGTAAAAAAAAAAATGTGTAGGATAGAAACTACTTTTCCTTCCACCCTCTTCCTCTGCTTCTCACTCACTGGCACATCTAAACGCACTAGAACCGCACTTTGTTTGGTGTCATTTCTCTAAACAGACAGTTTGTATTTAATACCATTATTTAGTACTGATACAATCTGCTTTGAGTTCATTTTATTTAATACTAATTCAATCTGCTGTTGTTATGATGTCAAACCTGTAAGAGTAGAAGAACTTTTTGGTGTTGTTTAGAACTGATTTCGAAAGGGTTCTGTATAGAACCATATAAAGCACATCCTCCATCAATCTAAAGAACCATTTCGCCATGCAAAGAACCCTTTAAGCATTAAATGATTCTATACAGAACTCATGCTAGATAAAGTTGTTTTAACCAAAGAACCTTTGAAGAACCATCATTTTTAAGTGTGCTGTTACGATGCCAGGCTTGTAACAATAGCAGTGTGCTTTTTGGTGCTATATAGAACCAAATAAAGCACATTCTACATCAATCTGAAGAACCATTTCACCATGCAGAGAACCATTTAAGCATGAAATGTCTCTATACAGAACTTGTGCCAGATAAAACAGTTGTGTTTAGTAAATAACCTTTAACCTTTAATAACTTTAAGAGTGTGTTGTTACGATGTCAGACTTGTAACAATAGCAGAACCCTTTTTGGTTCTATATAGAACCATTTTCAGAAAAGTTTCCATATAGAACCATATTCAACACATCCATCCATCCATCCTCCATCAATCTGTGTAACCATTTCGTCAGGCAGAGAACCATTTAACCGTGAAATGATTCTGTACAGAACTCATGCTAGATAAAACAATTGCTTTTACTAAAGAACCTTTGAAGAACCATCATTTTTAAGAGTGTGCTGTTACGATGTCAGGCTTGTAACAATAGCAGAACCCTTTTTGGTGCTATATAGAACCATTTTCAAAAAGGTTCCGTATAGAACCATATACAACACGTCCTCCATCAATCTGTTTAACAATTTCACCATTTAAGCATGCAAATGGATCCATATAGAATTCATGGTTCTAAATAGAGCCCTTCTTTTTTACTTAATGACCCTTCAAGAACCACCTTTTTGAAAGTTTGGTGTTATTTCCCTAATCAGACAGTTTGTGTGACAGTTTAATACTAATGCAAAGGCTTTGAAATGTAATTTTAATGTCTACTTTTTTTTACTGGTTCTCAGTGTAGAAATCAGAGTTCCCCTCTTCTAAAAGTATCAGGATATTAGCTTTAGTTTCAGATGGGGGAAAATGAGTGGCATCGTCCATCACTGGCTTAATTAGTTTCTTCTCCACTGATGTGACTGACTGAAGTCTCCTATTGGCTAATGCACTGGTTCAACTGAATCTAAACTTTTTAACAGTCACACACTGTCATGCGTTGTTTGTCTGTCGTCCGTCAGTGCATTTTCATTGAAATGAGTGGCGAGATGTTTCAGTGGACACCAAAACGTTCCAGTGAATGTAAACTTGAAGGCAAGAGACGAACGCAACACAAAAAAACACACTAATTTGAAATATTTTGACACCTTTGTAAAAGCAGTTTCATCACCTCATTCAGGAGCTGAAACATTATGAGCTCTTTCAATCACAGCCCAGATCTCTGTAACTCAGTTTGAGCTTATTTTGGAGATGCAGGTCCGCGTGAGATGAAGCAGAGGACGACCTAGTCTTTCGGATGTTTGTCAAAACGTTCTAGTTGCTGGAATGCAGCCGAGACAACAGAGATTGGTGGAGTGAGTTCACGTCGTCTGGTTTGCAAAGATGGTGCACAAGATGATCAGTTATGGATGTTTTCAAAACTATTTATTGACATCTGCAAAGAATCACACGGTTGGTTGGTTGGTGGCACACCTACCAAAGATATCCAGCATAAGAGGCTCAGAAACTGACCTCTGATGAAGGGCTCGAGGGTGGCAAACACAAACGGTGGTCATCAGCCAAGGTCCTGGAGGTCTACCTTCCTGTGGACTGTAGTTCAAACCACAGTCCTCCACTCCTGCTCCAGGTAATTAACTTCTTCAGAAGTCATTGACTGGCTTAGCGTTAGGTGGGCTCAGTAGATGCAGGTTGGGGCAAAACTCTGCAGGGAAGACGATCTCCAGGAGGGGGCTTGGTGACCACTGCTGTACATCAACAGCTGGGCTACAGTCTTTAACTTTACACCAGCAGCACCTTGGGTTGTGCACCAGCTACAAGCGAGAGGTTTCTAATAAAGTGGCCAGTGTTATGGTAATGTGTTATTTGGGTTTAAGACGCGTTGGCCCTGTCATCAGGAGATTGAGTTTGATCCCCAGTGATGCTCCAGCCAGGAGTGGTCAGGTGTCCAAGAGAGTAGAATTGTGCTTGCTCTCTCTGGTTGGGCAGGATGGCCCCCCCCATCTCCCAAAAAACAGAAGCTTTGGTCAGGAGACAAAATCATTTGAATCGTTTGTGCAAAATGAAACTTTTTGCACATGACCAGTTGTCACTCAGGCCAAAGGTACCAGAAATGTTTGTATGTTCTGTGTGAGCTGACTGGCTGAAAGGAAAAAAAAGTTCAGTTTCACTTCTGAATATTACAGACTTACGAAAACCTTTTAGTCTGTTATGTGAATTTATAGAGTAGTAAAAATAACCTGTTCTGCTAAGCTTAGTATCTTTACTCTTGTCATTCAACTGCTGCTGAGAACTCGTCTTCAAAAAGTAACGGCAAAAAAAAAAAGTCAAGGCAAGAAAGGCAAACATTCTCCCAAATAATACTGAATGAAACAGGAAACGCTCTGTTGTCCATTAATTTCAGTGCTTCATCGAAAGCAAGAATTAGACACAAGTAGGTAGTATTCGAATCATCGAATGCAGAACTAATAGGGGCGCAGATAATTCTGATTGATGCAAACTGAATCTAACATGATGACGTAGAGAATGTTTATCTGCTTTGAACACAAATAAATTGAAACATTCACAAAAGTCTCGCTCGTTTCTGCCATCACTGGCCTCGCCTTGGTTTCTGACTGTGCTTTGTGTCTTCCAGGAACAGGGTTGTCATGGCACAGTGGTGTGGCTCCTGACTCCGAGAGCACATGTGCGTTGGGAAGAGATGGACCGCTGTAAGCATGTGGTTCGTCTCCGTCTGGGCCACGACCACTCCACCCTGAACCCTCAGAAATGGCGCTGCGTGGACTGCGACACCACCGAGTCCGTGTGGGCCTGCCTCAAGTGCTCCCACGTGGCCTGTGGACGCTACATAGAGGAGCACTCCCTCCGACACTACCAGGAGACCCAGCACCCGCTGGCCATGGAAGTGCGGGAGCTGGACGTCTTCTGCTTCGCCTGCGGCGATTACGTGCTGAACGATAACGCAGAGGGCGACCTGAAGCTCCTGCGGGGGGCGCTGTCCACCGTCCGAAGTCCGGGACAGCGCTCCCTGCGTTCCTCGTCGTCTGGAGGAGAGTGTTCTTCTTTGTCGTCTTCTTTTTCTTCTTCTCTTCGGGCTGGAAGTGAAGGGTTCGGATCCCGGACGGCCACGCAGGCAGCTCTGTGGCACCGGCGACGGACGATGCTGGCCGTCGCTTTTCGGCGGTGGAGGAACCGGCAGCTGGAGGAGCAGAGGAAGCGCGATGAAAAGGTGGAACAAGAGCGAGAGGAGCTGAGGAAGCAGCGCAGGGAGGTGAAGAAGAGGCTCATGGAGGAGCAGGCCAACGTACCGCCAAGGTGTGGTATATGATCTCGAGTATATCTGGTAGTATGTGAGTCTCATAACAGTGATTAAATATAGTTATGGACGCTCGACAGCCTTGTTTTCATCACCAGTGCAGTGTGTCCTCTGTAGCAGGTGCCTCGTGGACACTGTAGTTCCTACATTGTGGTTTGTTTGATCCTTAAAATAATCTTCAAACGGGCTTTTGAAAAGAAAAGCAGCGGCCTGACCGATTCGGGAAGAATATCTAATTGCGAGTACCGGTTTGGTGAGTCCGGTTTCAATTGTGATTCTTTTTCTATAAATAAAGCTGCTGGGCTGTTTCGGTGGTATGCGTGGTATCAAACATACTACCACATATGATCACAATGCTTGGTCGAATTTATCTACAGGCAGTTTGCTTTTGTGGTTGTTGGGTTGAATTTTCACCTGCTAAATTTGTTAAGACAACAGGTAACACTTTTTAAATATATATATTTTTAAATTTAGTTTTCAGTTTGGTTTTTAATTTCAGTTTGTTTGATGTTTTTGGTTTACGGGTAGTTTAAGGGTATTAATTAATAGTTTAAGTTAGTAGTTTCAGTTTTGTTTTCTGAAAATAAAAAGTTTTTTAGTTTTTTGTATCATGATAAACGCTGTGATAGCTGGTATTTGATAAGGGCAGAATAAAATTAGCATGATAGTAGACTGAGCCCTAAAGATGGCCAAGCTCAGATAGATCCACTTCTAAACTCTCAGTGCGCTGAATGAGAGTAATTGTCAGTAATTCTATTTTGTTTTAGGTAGTTTTGCAGTGGACTTTGTTGTTTGGATTTAGTTTTAAAACTGTTATTTTTATCCCAATTTTTAGTTCTAGTTTTTGTTTTTTGTACTTTTAGTTAAATATAATAACCCTCGTCGTTATTCTCGATTCCCTTGTGCTCGTATCTTTCTTACTATCTTATCTATCTGTCTAGGAAAAGTGCCCGATTGCTAACCCAAGCGCCGCGTCCTACCCTGGCCCTCATCCCACGCAAGTTCCGCGATCCGCCCGAGAGACCACCGCCCCCGCCTCTGAAACAGCAGCCCCTCCAGCCCCTGTCCAACAAACCACTCTCCAACAAACCCAGCAGACCGCTCCGCAACCACAGCAACACGGGAAAACCTCGCAGGTGCTACGTCTCCTCGTCTCAGGTGCGGCGTAGGCGGTTGGCGCCAGGTGTCACGGGGCTGCGTAACTTGGGCAACACTTGCTACATGAACTCCATCCTGCAGGTGCTCAGCCACCTGCAGAAGTTCAGGGAGTGCTTCCTCACGCTGGACCTGTGTGAGACTGAGGAGCTGCTGGCTAAGAGCAACCACCCCCAGGGTGTACGTGGCGTTTCGGCAGGCATGATAGGCAACGCCGGTGCCCTCAGCGCCCTCGGGAAGCAAAACAACGGGCCGGTGGAACTGGTGCAGCCCAAAGAGCCACGGTGCTCCTCCCGCCAGCAGATGTCGCTGTGCCACGAGCTGCACACGCTGTTCAGGGTGATGTGGTCAGGCCGCTGGACGCTGGTATCGCCCTTTGCCATGCTGCACTCCGTCTGGAACCTGATCCCGGCCTTCCGCGGCTACAACCAGCAGGACGCCCAGGAGTTCCTTTGCGAGCTGCTGGATAAAGTCCAACAGGAGCTGGAGTCGGACGGCAGCCGCAAACGCCGCATCGTCATCCCTATTACGCAGAGGAAGCTGTCCAAACAGGTGCTCAAGGTGCTCAACACCATCTTCCACGGGCAGCTGCTGAGCCAGGTGAGGCGCCTGTTTTGAATTTTCTTTTGAATGATGTGATCTTGTGTTTGTTTATGAGTGGCGGTGATGTTTCTTCTCCAGCTTTTCTCCATTTTGTGGGTTTGCATTGTTAATTCTTGTTAGGTGCCGTTTTTTTTTCTAGGTAACAATGCTAGAAAGTGCTGTTCTTACTATACGAGTCGTACCCTTAGCTAAAGATGAAAAGATTCCAAACTTTTGCTTTCTGTAGGAACTAAAGATGATTTCCTCCTTAGTTCCCTATAATGTTTTGCATTTGCAGTCAAGGATTCTCAATAAACAAGTGAATCTTTTCTCTGAGCCTCACTTTCGATAGCTAGAACCTTCTGTAATTAACTGCAAGGGGTTCTGAGACATCCACTGGGATGTATTGTCTATGCAGTCAGACGTGAAGCTCCTAGAAAGCTGGGTGTGTTCTGCACACTGATGAAAAGAGACTTATAGAATATTTATCCACTTTTCGAGGAAGACGGACTATGTACACACTAATTAATGTAGGGCCTAGAATAGAGCCTTGTGGGACACCTCAAGTGCACAGTGCAATAAAAGTCACAGCCCTTAATGTAGGCTCTGAACCAGCTTAGCGCTGAGCCAGAGCTGTATTTTTTTTTTTATTAATTTATTTGAATTGTTGATTAGTTTGTGTTCAGCCCCTGTTCTTAAGGGATATTGCTTTTTTTTCTAGCAAATCGCAGCCGCAAATGCCTTCTTCAGAAAATTAAACAGGAATTCAAACAGTGTTTATAACATTTGCAAAATGGTTTCAGTGAATAAATCGAATTTTACCGAGACCTTAAAATGTCCCCATAATTTAGCTTTAATGGAAATTCAACTACGAAACACACAGTGAGACCTTAAAACGTCCCCATAACTCAGCTTTAATGGAAATTCAACTACAAAACACACACCGAGACCTAAAAACGTCCCCATAACTCAGCTTTAATGGAAATTCAACTACGAAACACACAGTGAGACCTTAAAACGTCCCCATAACTCAGCTTTAATGGAGATTCAACTACGAAACACACACTGAGACCTTAAAATGTCCCCATAACTCAGCTTTAATGGAAATTCAGCTACGAAACAGCTGCAGCAGAGGGGGAAACACGCAGCACACAGGCTGCTCAGGCTCTGTTGTTTTTTTCAGCACTTAAGTGATGCTCCAGGTATCTGGTGCCAGGACTGTAACTTAGCCTGTCATGACTGCAGAGCCTCTTTAAGATGCTTTAAGCAGCGCTGTTCCTGGAGATCCACTCCAGTGTAAATTCAGCCCTCCTCCGGCTGGCCGAGAGCTTGGTGGAGCGGATGGTGGAGCTGACCCCTGTAGATCTCTGATCGGTTGGCGATGGCAGCCAGAGCTTTACCTGTGACAGTTTTAGTGTTCAGGTCGTTTCACAGAGCAGCAGTTTCTGTGCAGAATAATGAGTGCTGAAGGTGACGTGTGGTCGTATTGAAGTCAGTGTGGTTTTTACCAAAGCAGGAACAGATACGTTCCTGTTTCTTCACAGACTTTCAAAGTGTTGCACAAAAAAAGCTTCAGCTTTTCTGAAGTTGCTGTACTCTTCATGTGGCAGTGCTGGGTTTAATAAAAGTTTTTTGTGCCTAGTAGCTGATCTTGATGCAATAAACACCTTCAGCAAACTGCAGGTTTGGCTGTTTTTAAAAACCGTTACAGACTGAAATGTTTCCAGTGTTTATGTGAAGCTCAGACCGGCGGCTGAAGTGAGGCGTGTTATCCGCCATCTGTGTCTGTAAAAGATGCTGAGCGTTTAGGATTAGCAGCGAGATTCGGAGCCTCATGTTGCACAGCGGTTTGATAAATCTACACGTATCTCCTCTGGCCTCACTTTGTCAGGCTTGCTACAACCATGTGAAAGTCACTTTTTTAGCAGCCAGAATTATTACCGAACTGCTGAACCACCATTACACACACATTGAGAACATTCACCACTATATAAACTAGTAGAAGTACTACTACTACTCATAATAATAATAATAATATTATTATTATTATTATTATTATTATTAATATTGTGTGGTGGGTGAAATGAATCACCCTCCGGGTAAAACTTGCCTTAAGTCGTAAATAATTAAACTACGCACTTTAAAAAGCTGGTTCTTCAAGGGTTCTTTAGTAAAGAAAATGGTTCTGAGCACTCACAGAACACTTTGCATTGTGAAATCGTTGTTGTTCTATACAGCACCAAAAAGGGTTCTGCTATTGTTATGATGTCAAGCTTGTAATCATAAAAGAACCCTTTTTGATGCTACATAGAACCATTTTTAAAAAATGCTTGAATAATTAATGGTTCTCTGCATCATAAAAGCGTTCTTCAGATTGATTGAGAATGTGCTGTAGATGGTTCTATACAGAACCTTTTTAAAAATGGTTCTATATAGCACCAAAAATGGTTCTTTTATTATTACATTTTATTATTATTATTTTTTGGTGCTACATAGAACGATTTTTAAAAAGGTTCTATGTACAACCATCTACAGCACATTCTCAATCAATCTGAAGAACCATTACACAATGCAAAGGGTTCTTTGAGTGTTCATGGTTCTATATATAACTGTTTTCTGTACTAAAGAACCCTTCAAGAACCACCTTTTTAAGAGTGTAGTGTAAAGCAAATGTATGCTAATTAATATTTTGGGTATATTTTTCCACAAGCGCCATGTTAAAGTGTTTTCATTGATATGAAGGGCAGGTTTTGCCTGTATAATGATTGACAGTTTGACAGGGGTGGACTGATACCACTTTTTCCCTTCTGATACCAATACTGATACCCGATCCTGAAGTATCGGCTGATACTGATACTTTTTAAATATTTTATTTTGGCAGAATCCGTGTTCATGCTCAGCTTGACAACGCCATAATGCTTTAACAAACTTTTTTTTGTTGTTGTTGTTGTTGTTTTCTACTGATATATAAGTAGTATTTATTGTTATATAATTGGTCATCAGTATCGTATTCAATCACTGAAGTAAATTTAGAGATTTTTACTGTGAAAAATGGTTAAAAACAAAACTGAACAGGTGTACGGATAAACCTGTGATGTGTACGTGAACGCACTGCAGCTTCTCTGGCACCAAAAAAAAAAAATTGTGCTGAAAGCTGTCATTTGTCTCATATGTGCCTCGAGTGCACTCATACTTGCATCTCCGAGCGCCAGACCTGCTGGAGTTACAGTCATTCATGCTAACAGTAGCAGTGGCTGAGACACCGATTTCCCAGCTTGGTTGAAGGAATAGGCTGACATGGTAAAGGCTAAATCAAGACTAAAGGCTGTCTTTAGCCCAAGAAACCAGCCGATCCTTTCTTAAGCCTCTATAATGTTCACTGCAAACACAGCCTGCACTAAAGTTGACTCAGACTGTGACTGACTACACAGTGAGGGTGACTGAAACGTCCCTGACTCACACATTCAGCCAAAGGGACTCTGGTTGAAACTCTGTAGCTAAGAAGAGGTTAAGATCTAAACAGCTTTCTGTTCAATGTTAAACTGTTACAAAGGGACGAAGAAGCTGGGTTTTGTTTTTACTGCGGGAGGTTTTATCCAGTGTGAATCTGCAGTGTGTAGTTTTACAGTCTGACTGTAATAATTGTGGAGTGATTTTAATCCAGTATGAATCTGCAGTGTGTAGTTTTACAGTCTGACTCTAATAATTGTGGAGTGATTTTAATCCAGTATGAATCTGCAGTGTGTGTAGTTTTACAGTCTGACTGTAATAATTGTGGAGTGATTTTAATCCAGTATGAATCTGCAGTGTGTGTAGTTTTTAGCTCCACCACCTCAGTGAAAATTAATTTGGCTCCATGAGCGTTTAACGTGGTCAGTATGTGTAACACCTGCATGTCGTCTGTCCTGTCCAGGTCACGTGTCTGTCCTGTAAGCACAAGTCGAACACAGTGGAGCCGTTTTGGGATCTGTCTCTGGAGTTTCCGGAGCGCTATCACAGCCTGGAGAAGGCGAGCGCCTGCCAGCGGAGCTGCACTCTCACCGAGATGCTCGCTAAGTTCACTGAGACCGAGGCACTGGAGGGCTGCATCTACGCCTGCAACTTCTGCAACAGTGAGTTCACGCACCACTGCAGCTACTGCACTTCTGACCAGACAGCAGTACACAACACTGTAGCCCTGTTCAGGGGGCAACACTGCCTATTGTCTGGAATCTCAGCCACATTATTTACATTTTTGGCTCAAAAGTGTGCATTTTTTAATGTCGTGAAACAGTAGAAGCCATATCGCCCCCTACACTTCCTGTAGTGTATTACAGTCTGTCAGAGTGACTGTGTGGATCATATGAACATTATAGAGCTTTTTAAATGAAACAGTAGAAGCCATATCGCCCCCTACACTTCCTGTAGTGTATTACAGTCTGTCAGAGTGACTGTGTGGATCATATGAACATTATAGAGCTTTTTAAATAAAACAGTAGAAGCCATAACGCCCCCTACACTTCCTGTAGTGTATTACAGTCTGTCAGAGTGACTGTGTGGATCATATGAACATTATAGAGCTTTTTAAATAAAACAGTAGAAGCCATATCGCCCCCTACACTTCCTGTAGTGTATTACAGTCTGTCAGAGTGACTCTGTGGATCATATGAACATTATAGAGGCTTTTTAAATGAAGCAATACGTTTTTGACGAAATAATGGAATGCATTGTTTTTGTTGTTGTTGTTGTTGTTGTTGTTGTTGTTGTTGTTTTGACCGTTTATTCACTGTAATCTGTTTCTTTTGTGTTTGTTTTTATTAGGAAGGAGGCGTAAGTCGTCCCACAAGCCGCTGGCGCTGTCCGAGGCGTGCAAACAGCTGCTGATCTACCGTTTACCTCAGGTGCTGCGGCTTCACCTTAAACGCTTCCGGTACGTTCCACAGCCTCATTCTCCTTCTAAATTAACAGCAAACAAGTAAAATGAACCCTGTGCTGTTTGAGGGTGACAGATTATTAAACCATGAAATGGTAGAAAATGGATCACAGCTTGAGTTCCTAAGAGTGTTCAGAGATACAGTACTGTACATTTTTACGATGAGCTTTGTGCTGTGGGGCTTTTAGAGAAACTCTTCTGTATTCAGCTTCTTGTTTAGGCCTGAAGGCTGTAAAGAGCTTTTATTGCCATATTTATAGTCATTGCTGTTAGAAATGGCTTTATAATTGTGCCCCACGGCTTAAATTTGGCTCAGGCCTAATCTGATTGGGTTGAATGTGGCACTCTGTGGCTTCACTATCAGAATCATAAAGGAATGAATAAGTAAAAAATCAAATCTACACAATTTTCAACTCACCCCAGATGTAGTCGATCAGCCAAGACATGTTTGGTGTCCAAATTTTGCTTCTATAAGCCTTGGATACACTACAGGACTTTTAAAGTCTTGACAGATTATAACAGACTCGGCATCTCACATTATTGACTTTTTGATTTTTTTGGGTGATTAAAATATTGGGGATCTCACACTGCTCAACTTTTAAGCTGTTGCTGAACCAAACGGACTCACTGAGCTTGCACGAACTCCCGCGAACTTTCGTGACCTCTCACGTGCTCCCATTACTAGGAGACGCAAATAAACAAATGTGAGCTGCTGCTCAAACGTGAGCTGCTGCTTAAACTCCGCTCATTAAAAAGCTTTGCTCCACACGTGAGAGACTTTTCACCATTTTTCTTTGTTTACTTGCTGTATTTTCTTTCATGCTCTGTTTTCATTGGCTGTTGCAGGAGTTCATTCAGATTGAGTCGTTGATCAGTTTACTAGATTACACTAGATTTCACTCAGAGTCGGGTCGAAAAAATCAAACATATTTGATAAACTGGTCTGAAATGCGGTCAGGAGGCCCAAAATCTGAGTCTGTGCCACTTGAATACGACTCGATTCTCTCTCCAACTGTCGACTCCGACTGACCCAAAAATCTGCAGACCAGCTCAGACTCAGCCAGACTGAGAATCGGGGCTAAAATCGGGTGTAAAAGTCGTGCAGTGTAACCCCGGCTTTAGAGAGGGCAATACTGCTACAAGTACTTGAAGTCAGTAGTCACCCAAATGTTTTCTGTACATACATCCTCAAAGGTTCTCTCAGTCCACATCCAGGTCTTCATCAAGGTGGCGCTGACTTGTTGATGTGGTTTAGGACACAGTGTGACGCACTGTGAGCTATAAACATGAACAGAACTTCACCATATAGCCGAACTCTGCAGGCAGGAGTTGTACTGCATTCTAACTTCCCTTCATTTAGGTGTGACGCTACAATTTACACTCGCAATTCTGTTTATAAACAGATACCTTTAACTCAAAAGTTCAAGACTAGCAGTTATTGGTAAAAATAAAACAGCAGACGTCATGAACACAATCTGTAGCGTCCACAGAGAACATTTATAGGTGTGTCTACAGCGGCTGCGTTCAGCTGTGTTTTGGTCATGTATGTAGCTCGCAGTAAATCATGTGGATGAAAATTTGGACAAGCCTCAGCTGACCGACTACTAGAGATGCGACCGATCCGTGGCAACTTCAGTCTGTTTAAGTGATGAATAACATTAGCTGCTTTGACCAAAACGTTTGTTTGGAGATATTTTAGTCTGGAAACGGCAAAAAGCAAGACCTCTACTTGTAAAGTGTGTAAGGCCAGCATGCCGAGAGGTGGAAGTGCGGCTGCGTCGGACAATACAACCAATTTAATCACCTGCAGAGGTTTCATGTGAAAGAGTACCAGGAGTTCATGCTAATAGACAGGAAGACGCCACTCTCGCCGATGCTCTCCAGAAACTTGATAAACTTCCAGCAGACGACTCAAAGGCTAAAGGGATCCCAGAGAAGTCGCTGAACGTCATTATACTTGATGACCAGCCGCCATCTGTAGTGGACAATGTCGAAATTGGCAGCCTCGGAACTCGGAAACATATAAGTGCAGGGGGTCACACGCCAGCAGTTCAGCTGAGGCCTCCATTACAGACATGCTCAGTGATTGGAAGATTAAACACCTTAAATACAACCTTAAACACAATACCGACAACAATAATGATAATATTACTGTAAAAAGAGCTCTTTTATTGGAATCTGTATCTGTATCGGTAGTTGTGTATTGGAATCTGATCACAACTGAAAAACGAGCATCGGCCCATCACTACCGACTACACCAGTCACCTTCAGGGATGAAGTTTGTAGACTCGTTGGATGTTGTATGATCAGTACGTCTCTGCTGAATACGGAGTTCTCTTCACACTTTTACCACAAATCGAGTTTGGAGAGACATTCTTTACTCATTATGCTGTGTTCACATGTTTGCGTCCCTCAGTGATACGAGACAAAGCTACGCAAACGTTGCCATGGTGACCGCGGTGCTGCTGAAAATGAATGATTATCAGAGGAGAGCTTTATCAGTGTCGACTGTTTGGAAGCAGGAGACACTTGGTGTCCAAATAAACATCTGGTTTATTTCACCGCTGCAGTCGATGCCAAAAGTTGGCAAAATTGAGCTGCTTTTTTTCCCCCCAAATTTTCTCCTCTATTTAGTCATCTCGAGTTCCTGTGAAGCTCCACCGCAACTTTTCGAACTGCCGCAACGTCATTGTACAGCCAAACGCGCCTTAGAGGAAAGCGCCACCCGCCAGATCTGTTGCGTCAGCTAACAGGCGCCTGCGCTGGCTAGCATTGCGTTGAGTGATGGGGAGACGGGGGGGCCATCCAACCCACCCAGAGAGAGCGAGGCTAGTTGAGTTCTTATGGACTCCCAGGCACTGATGGCTGTAGCACCACCAGGGATCGAACTCGCAATCTCCTGTTAATAGGGTCAGCGGTTAGACGGTTGCGCCACTCGGGAGCCCTTTGGAACATCCTCACTTGCAGTGGTAGAATTTTCCGCTGCGGCTCCGTTAATAACAATGTAATGACGACAATCCAGACATTTGTCCTCCACAAACGTGTGAACGCAGCTTCAGATCAGTGGACTAGTGTGATGATTTGTATTTTCAGTTCAGTGGTTTATCAGTAGTTGCTGAGCGTCTCTCTCTGTCTGTGTGTGTAGCTGGTCGGGCCGGAACCACAGGGAGAAGATCGGAGTCCACGTGGCGTTTGATCAGGTTCTGAACATGGAGCCATACTGCTGTTCAGACTCGCGCTCGGCACTGCAGCGGCAGGCTTACACCTACGACCTCTCCGCTGTGGTGATGCATCATGGGAAAGGCTTCGGCTCAGGACACTATACCGCCTACTGCTACAACACGGAGGGAGGTGAGTGTCCGTACACACAGGCGGGAAGTGTTCAACTAAACGCCCAGCCTGTCTTTTTTTCCTCTTCTTTTTCTAGATGCACAGATTTACACACCTGAGTTTCCCGTTTTTGTCCTCGTACCTTGTAGCTGCACTCATTGGCCACTTTATCAGAAACACCTTCCGTACAGGTGCACTTTGTACGTTTACAGTTACAGACTGTAGCTCAGCGTTCAAACAGAGCTGCATCACTCTTTTGTTGAACTACATTAAATCCATAGCCAGACCACAAATCCGTAGTAGGTAGGGATGGGCAATAAGGCTAAAACATCGTACGACATTTCGACATTTTCACCATGCATGACATATATTTTTCAGTATTTTGACACGGACACCATGCAGTATTAGTGCCACATTAAAAAAAAAAAAAGACCCTCAGAAACACTGGATATGATTTATGTTCACAAACTGCTGGACTAAACTAAATGCCACCATCCGGTGAAACGAATTGGCTGCTGGGCCACTTATAACACACTCTAAAACAGAAGCCATGGGCCACTTAAAATCTGTTCGGGGGCCGCAAATGGCCCTGGGGCTGGACTTTGGACACTGCATTAGAGCCTCTGACCAAAAGGTAAGGCTCTACACTGCCCTCTGATGGAGCACAGAGTTCTGACAGCTCTTGTCTATGAATATGAGAATGTGTAACATTGAAGCTGATTTACATGTAATAAATCTAATTTACTGAAATGTTTTTGTAAACTTTATTTGAAAATTTGGAAATTCAGACCCATCCCTATGCACTTAAAAATGATGGTTCTTCAAGGGTTCTTTAGTAAAGAAAATAGTTCTATCTAGAACCATGAACATTCAAAGAACCCTTTGCATGATTAAACAGCATAAACAGCATAAACATTGTGAAAGCGTTCTTCAGATTGATGAAGAATGTGTTGTATATGGTTCTACGTAGAACCTTTTTAAAAAGGGTTCTGTATAGCACCAAAAAGAGTTCTTCTGTTGTAACAAGCTTGACATCATAACAATAGAAGAACTCTTTTTGGTGATATATAGAACTCTTTTCTAAAAGGTTCTACGTAGAACCATTGACATCACATTCTCCATCAGTCTGAAGAACCTTTTACAAGGCAGAGAACCCTTTAATCGTGTTTATGCTTTTTAATTGTGCACAAGGTTCTATGAGTGTTCATGGTTCTACATAGAACTATTTTCTTTACTAAAGAACCCTGGAAGAGCCATATTTTTTAAGTGTGTACTGACCATGTCAGTGTCCCTAGACCACTACCCAAATAACATCTGGTCAGTGGTGGTCCAGTGGAGGTCTGTGATGGTCAGTGGTGGTCTGTGGTGGTCTCAGTGCTGAATGCTGTAGAGGGGCTGATAAACTGTACAGTAACAGATACAGTCCGTAACTGTAAACCTACACAGTGCAGCTGTATGGAAGGCGTTTCTGATAAAGTGGCCAATAACAGTACATTTCCTGTAGGACTGAAACTGTCACTGTAACTGTATTGTGGTGTTTGGTTTATCCGTAAACAAGCCTGTTTGGGTTTCTGAGTCCGTCTGAAACTTATTTGGAATCCACAAATGGCAGACGTTGTTGCTTCCTCCAGAACTTTTGGTCCTTTTGAGCAATTCAGAACATGAAAAGTGCCGTTTCTGCAGCCCAGACGAGTCAGAGTGACCAAATTCTGCCCCGCTGACAGACTGTGAGCTGCGTTTCAGCACAAACGACGGTGGTGATATTGCGGCGGAGTTGTTGGCGGAGCAGTGTGGGAGGGATGTGTTTGATGGCGAGTGATAAGTGCTCGAGTGCTACAGGCTGTTTTGGGGAACACAAAGCTGTTTTTGTGGTTTTTAATGTCATTTGGTCAGAGACAAACAAAACACATCAGCTCTTCAGCTGTTTTGATGTTGTTTTCCTGCAGCGTTTTGTTCTCAACACTTGAAGCAAAGCAGCATTTTTCAGCCTCATCTCTACCTGCCGTACCTGTAACCTGCGATACGTCACAGCACAACACTTTCACCGAACTCAGAAAAGGACAGACACTAGACGAGGGATCAAACAACTGGCTTTTTTAAGGAATAACTAACCCTCGTTGGTTGCTGCAAATAAAAAATCTCCAAAATAAAAAATATCAGTCATGAAATGAATTGTTCTGGTTCTGAAGTCTGATTGGCTGAGCCACGTTCAAAGCCACTGTAAAATGCTTGATACACGAACGCTTATAAGTGCATCGACTGGGTTCTGCTTTAATGTACAGAGATATTAAAGGGGCACTATATGATTCTGGAGAATGACTTTTTGATATTTGAACTCGATAGCAAAACAAATACACCCCTCCCTTCAGTGCTTCTTCAGATGCCCCGCCCCCAAAATCATGGAAGCGCATTGCCAAGGTGAACGACTCTGGGCTAGAAAAGCTTCTTGTTCGAATTTTCTCGTTCCACCTTAAATGGTGCGGCAGTTACATTCAGGCACCTCAGGTGTAGAGATGAACTGCTGCATGATTTAAGGTGGAACGGGAAAATGGGAATAGAAAGTCAACTTTGAGGAAGATTGGGTGGAATATTGGGAAGGTCGCTTTTGCCTGAAACGCTTCCTACTGCTGTCCGCTATCTTGCAAAGACAATGCTGTGTGGGTGGCCACTGTTTTTGTCTGCTGGGCAGGGGAGAACAAAACGTGGGGAGGGTCGACGTCTTCACAGTTCAGTTTAGACCGAGTTCTCTGTCTCTTTCAGCGCACTCAGTCATCAGACTAATCCGCTCATGAGGGTCTGAAGCACAACTTACAAAACCTTACAGTACATGTTGCAATACACAATACAATACAAACGTTTCTCCGCACATTGCATGCAGTTACACATTTCCACCACAGAGGTCTCCAAATTCCCAGATGTTACATAGTGCAGCTTTAAGTAAATAGAAATTCTGCTTTAAAATTTTGTAGGAAAATGTTTCCTGTAGAGGCTGTCTTAACATATTTTCACTCAGACGATCAACGGAAACTTAGAATTTGACCAGGTGTGCACAAACTTTTGCATTTAACTGTATATAATGATGGGCTACTGAATGCTCTGTATGCAGTGGTTACTTGCCCAAATTCAAACAAATGTAAACACAGCGCTTTGGTATTGTAAGGTGTTGTACTGTGTTTCCTCCAGGAGAGGTCAGTAAATAGTTACATATTGACATATAAAATCACAGATTACTGTATTAATATTATTTGATTTTATTGAAAAATTACTGTTTTCTGAGCAAATTAACACTATTAATAGATCACGTTTTAATTTTGCAAAGCACTGTTTTTAATTGAGCCTGTATAATAATGTAACTTGAAAGTGAACCATCAGTTTTTTTGTAAGCTATGAAAATGTAAAACTCAGTAAATAAAACTGGAAAAAAAGGTATCGATCAGCTGCAAAGTCAGCTAGTTTTCTTGTATTAAAACAGGGAGAGGTGTTGAAATGAAAGCGTCAGTACTAAAGTCAAAGTTGCTTTAAAGCCTTTTTTGCCTTTGTGTTTAATGGTTTATGTATTTATGTGTGTATTTGTGTTTATTTTGTGTGTGCAGGTTTCTGGGTCCACTGTAACGACTCGGAGATGAACGTGTGTAGCGTGGAGGAGGTTTGCAGTACTCAGGCTTACATCCTGTTCTACACACAGCGATCATCATAAGAGACTGCCCGACACGCACACGCGTGTGTTCAGGCCCCGGCCTGACCGGCCCGCACAGTCGCGCGTTTAGGTCAGGTGCGGCTGCCCGGACACAGGCAAGCTTAGGCTGGACCTAACAGCCCAAACAATGCGCGTGTTTAGAACAGGCCTGACTGCGAGGTGCTCCGGCTGGGCTCGAGTACAGCCTGACTGCCTAACGTCCGCTTAGGACGGCTCTGATTACCCAACACAGGTGTGTTTAGGTCAGGTGTATTTCTCTACTGAGGTATTTTTAATCAAGCCTAATGGAACATTTAGGCTGGGCTTATCACTCAGATCCACAGCTGTAGGGCTGTCATGATCGATTATATTAGTAATCAATTATTTTGACTTTTCCCTTTTTAGAACGGCCAAGAAATGAAATTGGGCAATAACAAACCATGCAGAGCCTTTTTAAAAATTTCAGAATAGTTTATTGGGAGGAGGGGGAGCCCTAGAAATGAGTTTTGTTGGTTTTTACTTTTTTTAAATCAGAAAATGTGAATATTAGTTGCTTTTTATGTGTTAAATTGATGATTAGCCCAACAGAAATGCCCCAAAATGACCTCCATATATTCATAAATGTCAAAAATGCATATAACTATGTATAAGTGCATTTTCTACTGTAATACAGACCAATAGGAGAGCATATTTCTTAACTGAGCAATCGATTCTAATCGGGTAATCGTGACAGCCCTGTTCAGCTACACTCAGTCTACCTACCTAAACCTGATCTCAGAGGTTTTTCTACACGCTAAATTTCGACGTGTTCAGATCCACGTGAAGACACACAGCTACAATCATGCTCTCAGGCCTCATGGAGAGGAGAGAAAGAGAGAGAGAGAGGGAGAGAGAGATGTATTCTCTACTGACGGACTCGTTTCACCCAGGGCATTTTAGGACCAACCTCAGCACACTGGACCGAACCTGCAGGAACGCATTCATACATAAACACACGTCACTCCGCGGTGGATGGGTCTGCTGCAGCTTTAGGGTGCTACGGTTACAGATTCAGTACTAACTAGGGGTGTAAATCTCTGACCTCACAGTGATTGGCCTCTCCAGGCTCCGCCCACAAACGCATTCGGTTCAAAGCTATTGGGCGAGCTTTACAGAACGCTGGTAAAAATCACATTTAACCAAATGAATGTAGAGTTAAAGTTCAGAGTCGCTACGATTTAATGTGGAGTTTCCAGTTTAAATTGCTGTTCTGGACTCGTAGCTCATCATAACGAGGCAGGGCTTTAAGCTTAAAAGGAGAACTCCACCAATTTTTTAAATGTCTGCACCCTTTAATTGTAGAGCTGTAAACAGAGTGATTTAGAGTGGTTTGGTGTGAAATGGTTCAGATAGGGTCGCCATGACTACAACACAAATATAGACATTTTATTTACTATCCAGAACCACCAGTGAACCTACATGTGTCTGAAATAATAAGTTTTCTTTGGGGACTATTTTACCTCACAGCGCCCTGCATGTATCCCTCCACCATGAATGGAGTTTCAGTTCTCTAAACTATCATAAAACAGTGTCTCAGTCATCAGGCAGTGAATTCATAACCATTTCATGTAGGAACTTTCTGTGAGGGAGCTTTTAGAGGTGGACGTCTGGTTCCTATCACCACCACTGTGAGTCAGACACTCTGAGCAGGCCCTTTTTAAACTGAGCGCATTCCAAATTTCAAATATATAAAGCAAGCTTATAAAGAAGAATTGAAACGGGGCTGAAATGTTTGACCAGTGTTCTGTACAGCTTGTCCATCATCGATACGGTAGCTGTGAAAAACGTGTTTGTGGGCAGAGCGTGGATTGGTCAGTTCGATTAGATTACGGTTCTTTAGGAGGCGATTCGGTGCGCCGTTAAATCTCCAGTTTTAACACGGTTTAATTAAGCTGTTATTTTGGTTCTGTTTACACAGCAGTGGAATTTAGACAGTTTTATTTTTTTTGTTTTTAATGATTTTCACAACCTAAGAATTTCACTTTGGCCAAAAAAGGAAACTGAGTGCAATCTCTCATCTGGACATTCATAATGAATCCTACTTTCATCCATGCTGGAGTCACAAAATTGTCGCGGTTGAATCGTCGCCTTCAGATCGGTGCGTTTTTACGCCCCTGTTCGATGCGGTTCGATAGGCTGAGAACGGACGGGACTGAAAGCGGCGGATGGAGAGACGAGAGCCTGTACGTTCTGCTGGAAAGCTGAAGGATTTTCCGACGCTGCGCTGCAGGAAGAATCTGCTGGATCCGGAGTGGAAGAGACTCGCTCACGCCTTTAAAGACACGGGAGAGCAATATGCCATCGTTACCTTTACTACAGGAAAATCAGACTCACTCCAAATCAGGAATTCCTCAGCTTTGTGATACGGTTGTTTCTTTTTCTACTGAACTGATGTTTCTAATGTGGATAGTGAACTCTCTTTGCCAGGGAAGCGTTCCTGTCCTGAGAATCACAAAAAAATACAAAAAGAAAGAAAAAAGTGGGGGGCGGGGTTAGGATGGAGCCTGTTTCTGCCACAGAGAGAGTAAAAATACACTGCTTGCTTTTGTGGAGTAAAATTAGCTTTAATCTAGTTGATATGTCTAATTTCTTATTTGAGATTGTTGAAAGTTTGTGAGATCATTTATTTCTTGGTATTTTTACTTGTTTTAAGTGATTGTAGTGAGTCAGATTATCTCACTGTATCAGCAGATCATTTTGCTTGTTTCACTTTTCTTATAAGCAAAACAATCTGCCAATATAATGTAATTGTTTTACAGTAAAAAATTGCAAAAAAGTAAACATTGTGTAGAAATAAGTTAGACAGCCCTACAACAAGCTTACAGCAGTCTCAGCATTACAAATATTAGATAAATCATCCAGATTAAAGATAATTTCACTTGAAACTATGCTGTTTTTCCCTGAGTATGAGCTGTAATATCAGAAATGTAACTTATCTCAAATTAATAACTTATTTTCTCAGATTCATGACTTTTGTCAAAATAATGACATTTCCTCTACAAACTCAAAAGTAAGAGTTAAATAAGCAATTACTCAGCCATAACTCAAAATTCTAAGAAAGTAAGTTGTTATTTTGAGCTACAAAGTCAATTTTTCAACTTACTGCCGTCAGAAACTGGGGGGAAAAAGCGATTTTGTTCTCCTGCCTGGCAGAAACTTGCGTCCAGAGTTTAGGACAGAAATCATTTACGTTAGTCATTAATGACCGGAACAATCTGCTGACGCTGAATGTCTTTCTTTAGTGCGTGTGGGTGTGAGTGGAGACGATTGACTGTAGGGGTCCTGAGGTGACCCCTGACCCCCATGACCTTTTGTTCTGTATTTGTGAGAGCACCTGTTATCAACTTTATTGATCACGTGAGTTTGGCCTGATGATAGTGATTAAAGATGTACAACACGATTCTGGGAGTTTATTTAATTTATTGACTCTCAAACACAAAAGTTAACGTCCAAACAAGAGAACAGCTGCCTAAAACCTCCAACTGAAAGAGCCGATACCACTGAAGCACGACTTAGAACACTAGTTAACGGAACATACAGCGCACGTTATCATGATATAGTGAACAATTTGTCGAAACAATACCCTGATTACCATATAGTGAACTATTTTGTCCTAATCAATGCCCTATTCACAATATTTCCAACTATTTTGTCCGAAAATATACCCTGTTCACCATATAGTGCACTGTTTTATCCAAACAATGCCCTGTTCACCATATAGTGCACTACTTTGCCCTAATCAATGCCGTGTTCACCATATAGTGAAGGATTTTGTCTAAAACAAGGCCCTATTCACTGCATAGTGCACTATTTTGTCCAAATGATGCCCTATTTTGTCTGAAATGATGCCCTGTTCACCATGTAGTGCACTATTTTATACAAAACAATACCCTATGCAACATATAGTGCACTATTTTGTCAAAAATGAAACCCTATTCACCACAGAGTGCACTATTTTGTCCGTAATGATACCATATTCACCATATAGTGCACTATTTTGTCCAAAATAATGTCCTATGCAAAATAGCCTGTGAAAGACATGCAGCAGTTTTGGAACCTGACCTGTACCTTCCTGGTTTTCTTTTTGTTATCCTGACTCAGGTAAAAAGCAGCACGTTATCAGAAAACAGTCTGCTGGGAATATAGGATTCCTCATCATACACCAGTGTTCTACAGTGAAATTCTCAGAAAATCCCTGCTCAAAACTGAACGTTTCAGTGTCACTACATGAACAACCAGCAGAGGTCGCCACAGTGCAGCATGAAATCCCTCCCTCAGCTCCTGTGCTGGTCACCTACTGGCTGCTGCGATAAACATTTAACCCAGGGGCCACTTTCAGTGGTAAAATCGGCTGCGTGACGGATATCACATTTCCCTTCATCCCGGCTCTGTCTGCAGCTGTGTTACTCAGCACGCGTGTTAGCAGGTCAGTGGGCCACTCACTTCTCTGGGCATTAGTCTGCTAATGTGACATGCACTCGAGCAAAACTGCATTAGGCTGTCTGGGGCCGTTTCTTGCTCTAAGTGGTATAAGTGGCCCTTGTGGCTCAGAAGGCCTGCGAGTATGTGTGATATGCATGTTGTCGGAACAAAATAGATATATAGCTGGAACAGAGCAAATTATAGCTTGCTGCTAATGCAGCTAGCTGGCTGTGGGAACGATGAAGTCCTTAAAGTGGAATTACACTGATTCATTCTTCTATATTTCTTAAACAGAGCGGTTCAGAGTGGTTTGGTGTGAAACGCTCTGTTCTAGAGAAACTCACAGAGTCATAACTGTTCACAGTGGTGGTGATAGGAACCAGACATCCACCTCTAAAAGCTCCCTCACAGAAAGTTCCTACATGAAATGGTTATGAATTCACTGCCTGATGACTGAGACACTGTTTTATGATAGTTTAGAGAACTTAAACTCCATTCATGGTGGAGGGATACATGCAGGGCGCTGTAAGGCAAAATAGTCCCCAAAGAAAACTTATTATTTCAGATTTTCCACTATTTTCCATCATCAACATTCCATATAAACTCAGAAGACTCGTGTAGGTTCACTGGTGGTTCTGGATAATAAATAAAATGTCTATATTTGTGTTGTAGTCATGGCAACCCCTGGTTCCTATCACCACCACTGTAAAGAAAATGTAATTTTACTGTGAAAACGCATAAGTGCTAAAATTTAAACTTGCAATTATGGATTTTTTTCATGTTTCCTTTAGGACATTATACACAGCTCACTTAAGGTAACGTAATATGTAAGTGAAAACATAAACATCAAAATTAAATAATTTTATTGCCCCCCCACCCCCCAAAACCCATTAGACATTACTGGTCAGTTCTAATGCACAAGGGAGGGTTTAACCAGAATACGGGTGGGGAGAAAGTGAGAGTACAGAGAGTATAATCCCAGCCCAGATTAGCGGTACAGTGGGGAGTGATGTTACAGCAGTCTAATCTGGAGCAGGCCAGGCTCCAGTAGAGCAGCTCTGTGGTCAGCCATGTGGCTCTCACAGCTTGGAGAGCAGCAGAATGACCGGCGGATTACTTGAGCTTCTCCTACTGTTCCAGTTACACCACGAGTTAAGCGGCAAAGCTAATGTAGATTTAGAGCGATGGAGTCAGTAGCGCTGGTCCTGGAGATCTGCATTTCTGCAGAGTCTGATTCTAATGTTCATCTAACACACTGCATCAAACGAGTACCTTCAACGTCTTCAGTGCTCCTGATTCCTGGTTGGGTGGGGATGGTTTGATTTCCAGCACTGTAGGGTTGGAACTTGGAACTAAGGAACATAGATCTTCTGGAGGAGAGACAGTAATAGCTAATACTAGTACAGGAAGTGAGACATTATTAGCCAGTACCAATGCATGACGGTCACCTCATGGTTTGTTAACCTCTGATGACCTACAGTTTGGAAGATTGGTGACCATTGGTGACCCACTTGTTGGAAGATTGGTGACTGTTGCTGACCCACTGTTTGGAAAATTGGTGACCATTGGTGAGGCAATGTTTGGAAGACTGGCAACTGTTGGTGAGCCACTGGTTGGAATATTGGTGACCATTGCTAACTCACTGGTGGGTAACTAATGGAAACCCAGTGTTGGAAGATTGGTGGTCTCTGGTGACCCACAGGTTGGAAGATTGGTGACCTACTAATTGGAGGGTTGGAGACCTTTAGAGACCAATTGGTGAGACTCTTGTGGGAAGATTGGTGGTCCATTGGTTGAAAGATTGGTGACTTGTTGGGGTCTCGCTGATCAGTGGCCGTTGATGACGCACTTGTTGGAGATTGAGTACTATTGGTGACCCACTCGTTGGAAAATCGGTGACCATTGGTGACCAACTGATTGATTACCATTGGTGAGGCAGTGGTTGGAAGACTGGTTACCAATATTCTAACCAGTGGCTCACCAACAGTTACCAGTGTTAACCCACTGGTGGGTAACTAATGAAAACCCAGTGTTGGAAGATTGGTGGCCTCTGGTGACCCAGAGGTTGGAAGATTGGTGATCTGGAGGGTTGGTGACCATTGGTGACCCTCTTGTGTCCATTGGTTGGAAGATTGGTGACTTGTTGGGGTCTCACTGATCAGTGGCCATTGTTGACCCACTGTTTGGACTATTGTGACCCACTGATTGGAAGGTTGGTGGGCATCGGTAGCCCACTGGCTGGAAGTAGATCTGCATGACCAATGTCAGTATGACTGTTTGGTTATGGTGGGTGAGTTGGGTTTAAAGCCTCCTGGAATAGTTGGTTCTTTTATTTTTGTGGCCTATATGTGTAAAATAAACACTCATCCCAAAAATTTGTAAATGTATTTATTAAGAATACAATGGTATTTGGTGAATTTAGCAAACTGGGTAGAAATATGTAAGTTATGGTCGAACATGCCGGTGATTCTGACTTCACATAGATTCTATGATTCATCATATGAGACTACAGCCTGTGTTTACAAAATAGCAATGATGAACTGACCGTTATTGATTACAGAGCTGTAAAATCTGATTTTCTCCGATTCATTCTTCTCTCTAGTACGCCAGAAATATCAACAGTACACAAAGTGAAGCAAAAGACAAACACATATCTTTTTGTTGTTCTCAATGAAATAACAACCAAGGATTAAAGGACAGGTTTGCTGTTTTTAAAAAACAGACCTTCATAAAATTGTCATTTTCAAACATTTGTTACTTTGCTTATAGCTTTAGCACAGCAACTCACCCAGACCTCTGCAGCTTTCTCACTGGGCTTAAACACATTCCAGTGGAGCGTAAATCTCCACAGTACAGTTTCTTTAGACGCTCTGCTGAGCGTCTAAAGAAACTGTACTGAAAATAATTACGTTTGATTTTTGATTTTATCATAATTCAAACCTTGTCTTCAAGGATGTTTACATTTGTGGCATTTGGCAAATGCTCTTATTCGGAGCTTCTTAGGGAAAGGCTTTGTTTTCTACTTGGAAAACATATTTCCAAGCTAAACAGGCCAAAGTGTAAGTCTGATACTCCTGAACTATGAAATCCCATAATGAGGTGAATTATGTCCAAAAGTTTATGGACACCTGCTGATCCAGTGTTTCTTCTAAAATGAAGGGCATTAATAGTGAGTTTGTGCTGCAGTAACAGCCTCTACTCTTCTGGTAAGGACTTTACACTAGATGCTGAACATTGCTGTGAGTATTTGATTGAGCGTTAGTGAGGTCAGGTACTGATGTCGGATGGTCAGTTCTGGGTCACTTCAACTCATCCCAAAGGTATTGGATGGAGCTCAATCACTCCAGAGAACACTGCTCCACAGCCCAATGCTGGGGGGCTTTATACCCCTCTAGCCCACACTTGGCACTGGACATGGAGACCTTAGGATCATGTACAGCTGCTCCAGAGCATCACATTCTATTGGTCAATGCTTTTCAATGGAGATCATACAAGCTGTGTCAAAAATACCTGAATACACTCGTTAGAAGGACCGTTTGGATACCTTTGGACGTAAAATCTAAGACACTGCTAGAAGATGGAGGCAGTAAATATAAAGATATATAGAAAATACAAGAGTGTTGTTTTTCCATAACTGTACTGTGAGTTTCTCACAGGGTTTTGATGGTCTAACAGAACCACATTCTTCATTTGTCTCATAGCTGATTTTTCCTGTCCACTTATGACATTTCTGTGGTTTTATGTACCAAAAAGTCATAATTCATTTTTACATGACTGTTTTCCAACTTCTTCTTCTTCTTCTTTATTCCTAAAAATTAAACTGACTGATTTTGTTACCGAGCATGTTTGTATATGTATGTGTAATATATGTAAATAAGCTCTGTTCTGATTAACTGCCCTGTATTGTGCCTCATTCAAAAAGCATTTCAGGCTGAAACATTCCTTATAACTTTGGTATGAGTGGGAGGGGCTAAACTGCTGTAGGCTGAATGGGTGGGGCTAAACAGCTGTAAACTGAATGGGTGGGGCTAAACTGCTGTAGGCTGAATGGGTGGGGCTAAAATGACTGTGTTTAAGCCCGAATGAGTTGGGAACCTTCTCAGCACTAAAGCTATTCATGAATTTAAACCGTGCAACAATATAAATGTTGAGAAACAACCATTTTTGTAAGTTCTGAAGTTAAAACAGCGAATCTGTCCTTCAAATACAGCAAAGCTATTATCACACAAAGACTCCTCCCCCAAAACCTCAGCACTAATTCAGTTTTCTGGAACACAAATAGTGCCAGTGAGCTCAATTAAAGGTAATGCCGAAGTCGGAATGTTACCAATGGCAGCTTTGTCATCACGTTACCTGTCCACAGGTATGAACGGGTCGGTGTGAAGGCATGCACAAGCACTGACGCGTTCGATTAAACCAGCAACCAGCGTTCCTTCTCAAACGACAAACGGACAAACAATCATGTCGTGAAAGCAAAAGTAGTCTGAAAAAGTCAGAAACCCTCAGATGTCTGGAAATGAAAGGGTTCCGTGGTTCTGTAGTGGCCGCGGGAGACTTTGAAGGCCGGTGGTTTTGCAACATGAAAGCCAACAGTGTCAGTAGAGCTGCCTCTTTTATGGGCATCCGGATGGCTCTGACGCTGACCAATCCCATGCAAGAACGTTAGAGGTGAAAAAATATATCCATGCCCTTTTGTCCGTGTCCGTCATCCTCTACTCTCTCGAAGATGGTCAGAGAGTGAGAGTGTAATGGGACTGTTTCAGGGTTTCTGTGGGTTTAGCCACAGTGTACGTCTCTGGATACGTTCACATTACAAGCCTTATTGCTCAATTGTGTCTCCTCTCCAGGCTCCGCCTACAAATGTGTTGTCTTGTAGCTACTGTTGTGAAGTCAGACAGGCTTTACAGAACACTGGGAAAAATCTCATTTAACCTATTTAACCTAAAATCCCATTAAACCCAATGAGAAACTGTAGAACAGACTCGGTTTATATCACAATACCTACATTTAGAGTCAGTTATTCATTCAGCCTAATGAGAAACTGTAGCACAGACTCGGTTTATATCACAATACCTACATTTAGAGTCGGTTATTCATTCAGCCTAATGAGAAACTGTAGCACAGACTCAGTTTATATCACAATACCTACATTTAGAGTCGGTTATTCATTCAGCCTAATGAGAAACTGTAGCACAGACTCAGTTTATATCACAATACCTACATTTAGATTATATAAACTGAGTCTGTTCTACAGTTTCTCATTAGGCTGAATGAATAACCGACTCTAAATGTAGGTATTGTGATATAAACCGAGTCTGTTCTACAGTTTCTCATTAGGCTGAATGAATAACCGACTCTAAATGTAGGTATTGTGATATAAACCGAGTCTGTCCTACAGTTTCCCATTGGGTTTAATGGGATTTTACCCATGTTCTGTAAAGCTTGTCCAACCTCACAACAGGTACTACAAAACAACACATCTGTGGGCGGAGCCTGGGTAGACCAATTCTGATGTTTGGCTCAGATCTGATTTATCTGCCCTTAATAGTCCACATTCACATGTGTAAGTGACCCATATCTGTTGTTTACCCGCAAAGGAATTGTGGGAATCATAAAGCCGTACGATGACCGCAGTGATACACAGCAGTGATTAAAAATAAAACAGAACACTGAAGGTGGTGCATTATTGTGAATAAAGTCATAACTTTGTTCTATTGCTTATATAAGTTTTGCGAAGTAAAACAAAAGTAATGCAAAGATGGCCTGGACATTTTTTCATATATGCTACCTTTCAAGAATTTGCAATGCTGTATTGATGCTTTTATAATTTTATATACAATTATTACTTATGAACTGTGGATTTAAACATTACAAACTATTTGCCAAAAGGTATTTTAGATATTTTATTCAGTACTTCAAGGATTCTGTGAACAGGTTATTGATTGATAAATAATACACTGTAATTATTTATTTACATTAACCTTTTGCCGAGTCACCCGTCTTGAGATTTGATCACTTTTGAAACATGATGAATTCTAGATATTAAAACTTATTCTTAATTTTGTACAGTTTTCTCTGTCATTTTAGAGTATTTTACAGCTCTGTTCATCATTCTGGACACATCGAACATTTCTAAATTCTATTTACAGCGTCCTGGAGGCTTACTGATCATCTGAAATCAGATTCTGATTTGTGAATCAATTAAAACTTTGATTCCAAACTTTTGCACGGTGGCATATGAGATTTTAATATTGCCATTTTCTTCCTCCAAAAAACATAGTTCCATCAGCTCGGAGTAAAGAGCTCATTGTGGTTGATGTCAAATGATACAGGTTTGGTGAAAAAACGCACTGTTATCAGATGCAACAACCAATCAGATTTTGGTTTTGTGAAAATAAAACCGTGTGAATTCTGATTTGACTGTCCCCTTGACCACGTATCAGATATGGATCTACGAGCACATATGAAAGAGACTCAAACCTGATTCAGGTTTTTGTGTTCACACAGCTCGGATTTGAGCCGCTTCAACGCTGTAATGTGAACGTAGCCACTGCTGTACCGGCAGAGGTCGCGCAACTCAGCTGGGCAGCAGCCAGAGCTCCAGCCAATCCCAGTGTTTCCAGAGTGTGATGAGGAAGAGCGCGAGGGCGACGCTGGTGGCCACGCGGGTGCGCGTCTTCATCAGCGGGGTGATGAAGTTGGCCATGGTGGAGACGAACACCAGCAGCACAGCCATGAGGGCCAGGATGACGTTGATGAGTTTTCCGAGCAGCGCGCGAGCGTTAGCGTTCTCCACTCCCTCCAGCTGCACCACCTGCTGCTGCTGCTGCTGAAGCTCCAGCTTGGAGATGCGAGTCAGACACGACTCCACTGCCTCCTGCAGTGATACATAACAATACACGTCAACACATGCACGTAACTAAGTTATGAAATAACTTAATTCAGTCTGCTTAACTCAATTCAGTCTGTTTCTCTGTCTTGTTTTTCCTGGCCTGAGATGACCCATCGTCATGTGATTGGTTCAAACGCTTTTCGGCCAGTGACTTGCTTGGAATGTGGTAAGAGTCCATACTGTTCAAGAAGAGGAGAATAGAGGCTATGGGGATGGTTAGGGATGGTTATGGTGGGGTTGGACAGATTGATATGGAGCAGTTTGATCTAAAAGTCATGTGCCACAAACAAACGATACGTAAATATGTGAAATATTTGGACATCATTTTTGAGCTTATTAAAACTATACACACCGGATGCAACAAATGCCTATCAAAAGTATCCTCCTCACAAAACAGGTTAAAGCAAAAGGAGAACAGAGTTTCCCTCTAAAACTTGGAGTGCTTTCACAAACAGCTGGGATCTCAATGAGCTGCTTGAATGAAGCTCCAAACGAGACGTAGCACAAAACAAACAGGCAGAATGTCTTCAGGAAGTCATGAGATGACACATGAGTGAAGAGCTTCATCAGTTCATTTAGGAGCTGAAACAAACGGCATGGTGTGAGGTGGGTAGCCATGTCACCTCACCTGGGTTTGATCCCACAGCCGGGCAGCCAGTGTGGAGCAACCTCTCTGTGTGGAGTTTGCATGTTATCCACAGGTCTGTGTGGGTTTCCTCCCACAGTCCAAAAACATGCAGTCAGGCCCACTGTAGATACTAAATTACCTCTAGGTGTGTGTGTGAGAATGTGTATGTCTGTCTGTCTGTCTGTCTGTCTGCCTGCCTGCCCTGTGATAGACTGGACAGTGTGTCCAGGGTGTTTCCTGCCTTTCCCCCAATGACTGCTGGGACAGGCTCTAGCAAACCCTGCAACCCAGGAGGATAAGCGGCTTAGATGATGAGTGAGTGAGTGAACATCCACATATAAAGTGGTTCGTAGCCCAGTTTGAGTTGCTTTTGGCAACTCTAATCCTTTCAACTTTCCAGTTGCTGGGACCCGATCTGTCATCTTGGTTGTTAAGAGATGTCAGTGATTGGTCAGTGAGTTCATATAGCCAGTGAAAATTTGTTAAAAATCTATTAAAATAATGTCATATTTCCACCGTCCAAAAAAAACATGCTTGAGGTCCAAGATTTCATCAGTTATACACATGCACTAATTAATTTCCTGTGGTTCGAATAAATTGCACTCAGTGTATAAAGGCTTTTACTCCAGCGGTTATTCCAGAAATTGATGCCTTGTATATTCTATGGCCTAAACCACCGTGGCAACAAAGTCCCTGGACCCAAACCTAGTAAGTGGAGCCCTGTCTTGCAGATGTAATCTTCCCCAAATCCAGCTCACATCATGTGTGCAGATGCTGGATAGAACTGAGTCTCCAAAAGCACCTGTGAACAGTCCCTGATCCAATCTAACCTCCTGGTCTTAGGTTTCACAGGTGAACCCAGTTTACACCTTTGCTTCATTTTGGTTAAAGTTCTGTTTGACCTTCATATGTTACATCAGGGGTGTGAAACTTCGGTCCTGGAGGGCCAGTGTCCAGCACAGTTTAGTGATTTACCTGCTCCAACACACCTGATTACACTTATCTGTTAATTGCCAGGTTTAGTGGGTGTCAGGGGGAAACTGTACTGGACACTGGCACTCCAGGACTGGAGTTGTGCACCCCTGTGCTCCATGATCTTGAGAGGACATTTTGCCACTCAATAATGTATATCATCACTGCTTCACACGTTTCAGGTCATCAGCATATAGACCGGCGTAGCACCTTTGTGTGGCTGCACTTTGTGGAAGCTATGTCAGATATCACTTGGTTCAGTAATGATGGCCAACTGAATTGTTTTGTATTTGGTGGGCCTGTTTTTAAATCCCTTGACAATGAGTGTATCAGGATGGACCTGTCTCTACCTGTGTCTGGCTAACCTGCTTCTCTTTTGAATACATACCTGTATGTCCCTGGCTCTCTCATAGGACTGGTAGGCGACCTTTTCCTCCATACTGGCCAGCTCCTGTTTCAGGTTGGTCAGTTCATTCTGATGGAGCTCACTCAGGTCATTCAGCTGCTCCTCCAGACGTTCGTACCTGTCAAGGTACATAAGGGAATGGTTCACTGTCAGAAACAGTGTGTACATTTACATTGCTTTATCTTAGAGCAATTGGGGCTCATCCACAACTGCCACTCTTAGCACACCTGGAGCTCATTTACACACCTGTACCTCACACACACTCACCTGTGTCCCATTTATATAATGGTAGCTTGGATACGCATATACTTTCAGGCATATACCTGTGCCTCAAATGTACTACTGTATCTTAGTTACATACTGGTATACTTTAATTGCACTTTAATTGTAGATAATCACACCTTAGACCAGGCCGTGTGAGTCTAGGTACACACCTGTACTACAGACACACACTTGTACCGCAGTTACACACTTGTACCTTATATACACTCCTGTATCCCAGTTACAAACCTGTACCTCAGATACACATCTGTAGTCAAGTAACACACCTGTGTTTCAGATACACACCTACACCACAGCTACATATCGCAACCCCAGTTAAACATTTCTTCCCTTGTTACACACCTATATGTCATATACACACACCTGTATCTCAGATACACATCTGTACTCCAGGTACATATCTCTACCTGTGATATGCACTTGTACTCAAGATACAAACCTCTACCCCCCAGGTATGGAACATTGTTCCAGTTATGAACCTGCTCACACCTGTACCCCAGGTACAGACACCTTCATCACAGATAGTCATCAGTACCTCAGATACAGACCTGTAGCCCAGGTACAGATCCATATCTCAGATCTACAGCTTTATCCCTGGTACTTATCAGTATATCAGATACACTCCTGTATACCAGGTGCAGACTTACATCTGAGATACACACTTGTCCCCCAGGAACGCACCTATACCACAGCTACATATCTGCATCCAGTCTCACATTTGTACGCCAGTTACACACCTGTACCCCAGATACACACCTGTATCTCTCCTCCTGCAGGCACTGTGTCATGTAGGAGTAGTCGCTCTGTAGCTGATTCTTCATGTCTTCCATGGCGTCCTCCATCTGTGCCTGACTGGCCTTGATCTCCTGCAGTCCCTCCAGCAGCGCATCCCACGAGTGGTGATGGTGATGATGGTGCCCGTCCAGCCTTGGGCTGCCCATGCCCATGCCTGCCCCCAACCCCGACATGGCTCCGGCTCCTCCAGAGTTGCTCCCAGCACCGGACCCTGAAGTAGCGCTGGAACACTCATCGTCGCTGCCATATTTTGGGCTTGAGACGAGCGTGGCGCTGCCGCACAGTGCCCGCGGCGTCTCCTCAGCCTGGCACTCCTCCAGCGACTCTTTCAGGTGGGCGATGTTATCCGCACTGCCGAACTTGTTGCGGATGAGGCTGGCGAACTCCCGCGGTTTGGACACCACGGCGGCCGTGTGAGTGAGCGCAGAGACTCCACCCTTCACACCTTCCACAACACCCCCTCCGAACCCGCTAATGCCAGCACGCATATTGGCTCCAACGTCCTTCAGGCCCTGCTGCATGTCCCGCAGGACATCTTTGGGCTGCCGGGCGAGTCCGTTCTACAGAACAGAGGGAGAGAGAGGAGAGAGGAGGAAGGGAAATAAGAAGAAAGAAACAAGGAGAGAGTGAAGGAGGTGAAGAAGGAGGAGTAAAATAGAGAGAGAAAAGAAACAGACAGACAAAGAAAGAGGAGGAAGATAGTGAGATAGAAATGGAGGGAAGGGGAAAGAACCGAACAAGGGATGGGAGGAGAGAATGGAGACAGAACGAGTGAGAGAAGAGGGGAGAGAGGAGATGCAAAGGCAAAAGGAGAGAGGGAAGGAAGGTAAAGAGGGAGAAGAAAAATAGAGATGGACAGAGAAGGAAAGAGAGTGAGAAGAAAGAACAGAAAGATGGAGGCAAATAGTGAGAGTGGAGACAGAAGCAAAAGAGAGAAGGAGAAAGAGGGAAGAGAGGAAACAGGGAAGACAAAGAAAGGAAAAAGAATAGGGATGGACAGAATGAAGAAAAAGGGAGAGCCGGAACAAAGAAGAGAAAGAGGAGGGAGCAGAAGGACAAAGGGAAGGAGATGAGTGGACAGAAGGAAAAAGAGAGGAGGGAGTGAGATACAGAGGGATGGAAGAGAGGAAATAGGTAAGATAAGAAAGGAGAGAAGACAGATAGACAGAAGGAGGAAGAAGAGATGGCAGGAACAGAGGGAAGGAGAGAAAGGATAGATGGCAACAGAAGGCACAATGGATGGAGACAAATGGTGAGAGAACAGAGAGGAAAGGACAGAAGGAGAGAGGTAAGGAGGGATGAAAGGAAATGGATGAGGAGGGAAAACAATGCTGCAATGAATACAGTGTGCCCTTGTGTAAAAGTTTAGGCACCCCATCTTCCCTCTACCAGTTATTTCTATGGAGAAACGAAACTGGCACCCGTCTGTCTGGCACAGACATTTGTATTTGGAGCACAGTTAGTGTTATTTGACACACATAAGTTTTGGCACCCTGGCAGCTAGTACTCAGTAGCGCGTCTTTTGGTAGAAAACTCAGCTTCCAAGGATTCCAACTGTTGCAACCTCCTAGGCATTGGCTCTACTGTTGAGAGATTGCGAATTTGAACCCTGGCAATTCCACAGTCATCCACGGCCAAGAGAGCAGAATGCTGTGTTAATCTAAAGCTTGTAACTTGGGATTTTCCTAACTCTTATAAGTAAAAGACAAAGAAAACACTCCCCTAAACTTGGAATTCCCACTCCGAAAGTTGGGACAGCATTCTCAACTCCAAGTTCAATGTATAATGTGAGATAAACATGGCTGCTCACACTGTCAATAGTAAACTAAAGCTAAGAGAAGAAGGCACTGGGCTAAAGCTAAGAGAAGAAGGCATTAGGCTGAAGCTAAGAGAAAGAGGCATCAGGCTAAAGCTAAGAGAGGAAGACATCAGGCTAAAGCTAAGAGAGAGAGAGGCATCAGACTAAAGCTAAAAGAAAAAGGGCATCAGACTAAAGCTAAACGAGGAAGGCATCAGACTAAAGCTAACAGAAGGAAATATGCTAAAGCTAAGAGAAGGAGGCATCAGGCTAAAGGTAAGAGTAGGAGGCATCAGACTACAGCAGGTAAAACACTTTTGATCATCTGCTTCAAGCCGAGAACAACACCCTGTTTCTGTTTGTGCCTCACACCTGCACATACGTGTCCTAAAGGAGCTGCAGATCCATGACACCCAGCCCTGTGGAGCAGGAGACTTTGGGACTGAAGAACAGACTGTACCATCACACGTACCATCACACGTACCTGCTCGATCTCTTTGAGCTTCTTGTGGTAGTGCTCGAGCTTCTTATGGAGGTGTGCGATGGTCTGGGCTGATTTCTGGTTCTTCTTCTCAAAAACCTGTTCAGCAAATCAATCATAGCAGTACAATCAGTCATAATGACAATTTTCATCATCGTCAGTCAGTTGCCAAATTTAGTTGAGTGGCTGGTTGTAAAGCAGAAATCCGATTTCTGCTTAACTCATGTAGACCTGGAGTTTCCCCATTATCTGATTACCCACGAGCATGAAAACACACTGAACCGGTTACTGACATGATCTGATTTTCTGCAGTTATCAGATTATTAAGTGTAAACACGCTGAACCGGTTACTGACACAATCTGATTTTCTGCAGTTATCAGATTATTAAGTGCATGTAAACACACTCTGTGTTTTAGTAGTTACAAAATGTAATGTTCAGTCATTTATTTTAATAAAATAAACATAACTGAGGTATAAAGTCACTCAAAGCTAAAAGTCCCAAATGTGTTTTCAGCCCTGACTTTGAACCAGTCCAGCAGAAAGATCCATAAAAGGCCAGAACATTGGGGAAGATGTCAGGACTGCATGTGTACAGTATGTGTTACCTGTTTGATGCGGGCGGCCTGCTGTTTGTCTGCATTGTGGGCGAGTTTGAGGTATTCTGCCACGTTGTTGTCGCGTGCCTCCTGCTCCACACGAATCTGCTCCGTGATCTTCAGGATCTTCTGCTGCAGGTGCTCCAGAGCGGCACGAGTGCGCTGAGCTTCGCCCTCACACGCACCCATGCACACCCCCTCCACGCTGATGTTACTGTCTGACCCGCCATGGGACGCCACCGCCGGCACACCCAGAGTGGACACCTCGCTCTTATCCAGCTAAACAGAGAGAGAGAGGGAGGGTCTGAAATCTTTCCACTTACTTTGTTACAAATCCGGGGCCATATTACAGAAACATCCTAAATCTTATCTGTTTAGTCACCATGGCAACTTAAATTAGGACTGAATTTAGGATAGAAGCAATTGCAGAATAACAGTTCCTAACTTCATAATCTCATCATTAACTCCAGATAAGAAAACAGTATCACACAAACATCCTAACTAGACAAAGGCCCAATCCCATTTCAGGGTGAAGTGTTAGAGCTACATGATCCTTCAAACAGAGGTTTTTCAGAGACTCACTCCAAACAGTGATATGAGGAAAAAAAAACGGCAGGATGGCTGCGCAAGAGACCAAAGAGAGCCACAAATTTGAGTATTTTCTCCAATAAAAATTATGATAACCATCGTATTATCTTGGTCCCTTTCACTAGTAGTGTGCTAATGTCTCGGTAGCTAGCTAATTTTCCCATTCCGCCTTAAATGGTGAAGCAGTTCTGATGCCACAGTGCTGTACCATCTATTCACCCTCTGTCTGAAACACTCTGTTGGAACTCCTGTCTTTAAGCCCCGCCTCCTGATGAGCCCAGTGTGCTCTGATTGGCCAGTCTGCCCACTCTGCTCAGATTGGTCGACTGCCAGAGTTCTGCCCCTCCATGTTCCTCCCCTGTCCTGCAGTCTGCAGACAGACCCTTCTCTCCTGAGCAGCTGTAAACTCCGCGTCGGTTCTGCTGTATCAGTTTGATCCAGAGTGGATCCTGAATGTCCAGTCAGCGTCGTCTCCACATGCTACAGCACTGAACACACTCTTCCTCCTCCAGTAGCCGCTGTGCGCTGTGTGAGGACTGTGTTATGAGATTGTGTCATCCTGTAACAAAGGAAAAGGGCCGGAATTCGAACGAGGCGTTTCAGGAAGCTGAGAAAATTGGATTCTGTAGGAGAGAGTTTCTCCCTCTGGAGAGCTTTGGGATTTTGCAGAATGTTTACATGCACGAAAAGCTGGAATCAAGAATCATCCCATTGGTTGCTTACATATCCCTATACAGGAGAGTTCTGATACAAGGAAGGAGGAAGATGGTAAACAGCACTGGTGTAAGCACATAGCCTTGCCTATGCCTAGGCACATTTTTGTCCACCTACTCTCCTTGGCTTCATTCCCTCATTAAACTGTTCCAGAATGTTTGTACACTTCCTGGGACAGCTGTAGAACTATGCAAAGATCATAATTTCAGTTGTCAGAGTTTTTAGAAAGGTCCATAAAGATCACAAACAGGTCCTGCTTTTATTCCTCCTTAAGCTTAACGGAGGAAATGGGAGGAGATCCTCAGAGATGTTGTCAGTGAGTTTGCAGAGCATGATCTTAGCCAGGACTTCACCAGCAACTGAAAGAAGTGATACTCCTCTGTTGCCACAGATGAAGGAGACGATGATGTCGTTTGCATCCCTCCACTGGTGCAGGACAAATTCTTGCTTCCTCTTAAGAATAAACATGAGGACTGTTTGGGTTCCCCTTCTTGCTTAAAGAACTCAGCAGGGATTTTGTTGTTTTTCAGTGATTTGATGATAGCCAACTTCAGCCCTCCGGGATAGTGCAGTATCCATGCAGGGTGTCAAAAATGGTGATGTCCAGTGGTTGGCATGATTAAGGAGGGCTTTGAAGTGTTCCACCCATTTTATATCAGACTGTTGTCACTGAGGTGGCACACTTTGACTATGGCCCCATCCATGGGTATATCCAGTATCCCATATTTCCAGGAAAGATCTGAGTTGACGAAGTTCTGACCTTTTCAAGGCCCTTTCCCTATTTGAGATGAGCAATGTGGTCCCAAAATCGGACTGCTCAAACATACTGGAATCTGCTGAAAGAAATGGCTACTAATCCAGCTGCTAATAACCCCTTCCCTGTGTTTCTACTGTGCACAATCCAGACGAGAAGCCTCCAGAAAACAGTACAGTACAGGGTCTTCAAAATCAAATCAAATCTGGCACCTCTGATCTATCAGATACCACTCCTATCTTCTTTTGTCTGTAGGATACCATCTCTAGCAGCTGTGATCTATCAGATACCACCCTTAGTACCTCTGGTCTATTGGATACCTCTAGCACTTGTAGTCCAATGGATACCACTTCTAGCACACCTAGCCTAAAAAATAACACAGCAGCACTTCTGGTCTATTGGATGCCACCTCTAGCACCTCTAGTCCAAAGAACACCAATGTGCTTCCACTTCTAGCACCTCTACCACCTCTAGGCTATTGGATACCCCCTCTAGCACCTCTAGGCTATTGGATACCCCCTCTAGCACCTCTAGGCTATTGGATACCCCCTTTAGCACCTCAAGCCTAAAGAGCACCACCACTAGCACCTCTGGGCTAAAAGATACCATCTCTAGCTCTTCTTGTCTACCAGATACTGCTAGTCTATTGGATACCTCCCCAAAGCTTGCTGCCACAGCTAGAAGGCATTGAGGCAGAAGCACCAGCGTCTATGTACACGGAACCAGTGTGGAGAGAGAGCTAGTCCAAGATCCCCAGCCAGTTTGCGTGTGGTATTTTCATAAGGTTACAGTTTTGTATTGCTACCCCAGATCATGTAGATATTGTCTTTCTGTGGAAAACCCCTTCCAAAAGACAGGTGTAACCACCTCCATCTTCTCTGAGGTGCCATTCACCAGGGACACTAGTCTCACTCAGAGCTGCGCTGATGATGTTATATTGCTTTAAATCTGTTGCACTCAGTTCAGTCTGATTCTCAGGCCTGTTCATACCATGGCTGGCGTCCAGAGACATCCTTATGTTCCAAGTTGCAAGCTGTAGACGAATATTACTGCTTTTGAAATGTCCTGGTGCCGTAGTCCATATTTCCAGGGCAGATCTCAGCGCACCCAGTTACTATGTGTGAAGGCCAACGCCAACAGATGCTGTGCAAAATGTAAGCAAAAACAGAATGCAATGATGTGCAAATCATTTAAACCCTATATTTAATTGAACATAGCAATAAGACAACATATTACATGTTGCAACTGAGAAATTTTGAAAAATATATGCCCATTTTGAATTTGATGCCAGCAACACATTTCAAAAAAGTTGGGACGAGGGGCTCTTCTTTTAACAACACTCTGTAAGTGTTTGGGAACTGAGGAGACACTGCTGTAGTTTTGAAAGTGAAATGTTTTCCTGTTCTTGCTTGATACATGATTTCACCTGCTCAACAGTTCGGGGGCTCCTTTTCTTATGTTTTGTTCCATATTGTGCCCAATGTTTTCAATTGGTGACAGGTGTGGACTGCAGGCAGGTCAGTTTAGAACCTGGACTCTTATGGAGCAATGCTGTTGTAATACATCCAGAATGTGGTTTGACATTGTCTTACTGAAATAATCAAGGCCTTCCCTGAAAAAGACGTCATCTGGATGGCAGCATATGTTGCCAAAACATGCATATATTGCTCAGCATTAATGGTGCCTTCACAGATGGGCAAGTTACCTATGCCATGTGCACCATGGTGCACTGATAACAAGCCGGATGGTCCCTCTCTGTGATTTCCAAAGAAATTTCAAATTTCCACTTCACCTCATTGCATCTTAAATGAGCTCGGGCCCAGAGAAGGCGGCAGTGTTTCTGGATCCTGTTAAAATAAGGCTTCTTTTTTGTAAGGTAGAGTTTTAACTTGCATTTGTGGATGGAGTGAACCCCTCACCGTCTTTACTTCTGAAAGACTCAGCCTCTCTGGGATGCTCTTCTTATAGCCAATCATGTTACTAATCTGTTGCCAATTAACCTAATTAACCTAATGTTCCACCAGGTGTTTTTTTAACATTACACAGCTTTACCAGTCTTTTGTTGCCCCTGTCCCAGTTTTTCTGAAATGTGGTGCTGGCATCAAATTCAAAATGGGCATATATTTTTCAAAAAACAAAAACATTTTATATGTTGTCTGTGCATGCCTTTATTTACATTTTGCACAGCAAACTTTTTTGGGAGCAGAGTTGTAGAAAGCTAGTGAAGTTGGGTGATTAGAAGTAGAGTAACAGTATTGTTATGGTAACAGTGTCAGCTTGCTTGAGCTTCTTATTTCATATCAGTACAGGAAGCGCTCCAGGCAGCGCATTTTCCATACAACAAATGCATAGTACAAACACAACCTTATGCAATCATGTTGCTTTCCCAGCTCACCATAAAGCAAGCTAAAAGCTAGAGGGCTACAAGCATATGGCAAAAAAAGCATGTTACTTCCCTACTTCGCTAATTCACTAAAACACAAATCACCCGTAACTAGCACATTGGTGGTATTCATGAAATTCAATATCACAATATTTTCTAAATGTATCATGGTATCAAGATATCAAATGACATTTAAGTTTATGTTAATAAAGTTAATGAGCCAATGCTAGCTGAACTGATGCTAAAAGAATGCTAAAACTGATGTAGCTTGTTTTGACTGGACTGTTTTGTAACATGACACCAAAGAGACCCTTACACAGCGTTGTAATCATTGATCAGGCGGGAAACACATTTACAGAAAAAAAACTTACTGCTTATTGAGTTTTTATTTCAAACTTTCAAACATATTGGAATGTTAAACATTCATAACAATCAGAAGAACCCTGTGAACGCAGCTAACCGAACAGAACATATAAAAACTACAGGGACAACGAGGTCACCACTGTTCAATGGAAGTGAATGTTTTCATGAATATAATGCGCATTATCTATCAATTCTGCTAATAATCAATCAAAATCAGATATCAATACTGATATGCTGATATAGACAATACATCGCCCAGCACTGGAACAGCTCTAGAACCACACAGGATGTGACCTAGAACCTTTATGTCAGGCCAAAATAAGCAGGACAGCATCAGAGTGTTATTAATCAATACAGTAATGAATAATTGAAGGCTGCTGTTAGAGTCCGATAACTGCTATAAACATCATTTAACACGCTCCTGTCATTTAATCAATACAGTCCACAGAGCAAAATCAATCAGCTCGCGCAGCATTCGGCTCTACATCACACACAAACCAGAGAACTCGTACGGAAACTCGAGTGGACATGGGGGGACGCGGGGGGACGCGGGGGGACGCGATGCGAAACCCAGTAATGAGATTAATTTCACTTTTACAGGCAGTAATCAGACCAGTGATCACGTCTCAGTCTGAGAGACGTAATTATTCATTTGTAATGAATTACTTTTTCGGAGTAACTGCCCGACACTGGTCAGTGATGGTCCACTGCTAATTTTGGACCCTCACTGGAGGGGGTGGGGGGTGGTACGTGCTAACCGTGCCCCCCTGTGTTAAAATTGCTGCGCTGCTGACAGAAATAAACATCAACAACAAATCAGCATATTCGCCCAGTGTAAACAAACACAGTAAACAATAAACAATAACAAACAAGACATGAAAACAACACCCATCTCATTACACACACACACACACACACACACTGCTGTACAGACACACACACACACACACACACACACACACACACACTGCTGTACAGACACACACACACACACACACACACACACACTGCTGTACAGACAGGTCATCTGTGTGTGTATCAGCAGTTTGGAAATGATTCATCAGCAGCAGGGGGTCTACAGAGAGAGAGAGAGAGAGAGAAGAGAAAGAACATGAAGAGAGGAGAACAGAGAGGGAGAAGAGAAAGAGAGAGAACAGAGGGCGATAGTAGAACGAGGTAGAGAGATAGATACGAGACAATAAAAGAACATGAAAGAAAAAAGGAAGAAAGAACAGAAAGAAAAAGCGAGGTAGAGAGAGAACAGAGAGAGAGAGAGAACATGATAGATAGATAGACAGACAGACAGATAGATAGATAGATAGATAGATAGATAGATTGACAGACAGACAGACAGACAGACAGACAGATAGATAGATGCAAGACAATAAAAGAACATGGAAGAAAAAACAGCGAGAGGGAGAGAGAGAATAGAGAGGTAGAGGTAGAGAGGGAGGTGGTGTGTGTTCTGTTCTACAGGCCTGTTTTAGAAACTGGGTTACAATATAACACACACACACACACTCACACACACACACTCACACACACACACACACACACACACACACACGCAGCGGCTGTGTTCCAAATCTATGAAAACAGAGTCTCAGAGCAGCCGAGTGAATCAGTGAATCAATGAATCAATGAATCAGTGAATGAATGAGAATGAACAGACGGATGGAGGGATGAATAGACGGATGGAGGGATGAACAGATGGATGGAGGGATGACAGTGATGCTGGTGCAGAAACGTGGCAGTGGCTTCACATATGTACCGACATGCAGAGCATCATGGGTAAGTGAAGCAGACGATGACAACGATGCAGGATGGACGGAAGGAAGGAGAGAGAAAAAGAGAGGGAGATAGATAGAGAGTGACAGAGATAGAGAAGAAAGAAAAGGAGAAAATAAGAGAGAGAGAGAAAGAGGGAGAGGGAGAGAGAGAGAGATGGAGAGAGAGGGAGAGTGAGGGAGAGAGAGAGGGAGAGAGAGAGAGAGAGAGATGGAGAGAGGGAGAGAGGAAGAGGGAGAGAGAGAGAGAGGGAGAGAGAGAGAGAGGAGAGAGAGAGGGAGAGAGGAAGAGGGAGAGAGAGAAAGAGGGAGAGGGAGAGAGAGAGAGATGGAGAGAGAGGGAGAGTGAGGGAGAGAGAGAGAGAGAGAGATGGAGAGAGAGGGAGAGAGGGAGAGGGAGAGAGAGAGAGAGAGGATGAGTGTGATGACGGAGGTCAGTTTAGTGAATATTACCATGCTATTCATCCAGGATTGGCAGTATCAGTGCAGCTTTGTTTGAGAGGCCCATCCCTCTCTCCTTCTCTTTCTCTGTTCTCTCCCTCTCTCCCTCTGTCTCTCCCTCTCCCTTCCCTTCCCCCCTCGCTGTCTAGCTCTCTCTCTGTCTGCCGGGTTTTTGTTTATGGCGGAAACCGCTGCGGCTACTCCTCCGCCCCGCCATCCCTCGCTCCTCTCCTCTGCTTTCCTCTCTTCTTTGCTTCCTCGTTTTCTCCTCTCCTCCTGTCGCTCCTGACGCTGTGGGTCTGTCGCTGTGTTTACTGTTCCAGTGCAGGCAGTCCGGCTGCTCCGGCACATATGATGGAGGGAGGGGAGAGAGAGAGGGAGGGGGAGGGAGGGAGGGAGGGAGGGGAGAGAGAGGGAGATTAGCGCAGGCGTGGTGGAGCGAGACGGAGAGAGAGAGAGAGAGTAAAATGAAAAGGGAGAGAGACTGTCGGGGGGAGATGGGAAGAGAAAGAGAAAGAGGGGAGAAAGGTGGGGAGAGAAGAGGAGAGGGAAGATAAAGAGAGGAGGGAGAGAGTTTAGAGAGAGAGTAGAAAGAGAGAGTAGAGAGAGAGATGGGGAGAGAGGAGAGAGAGAGAGTAGGGGGCAAGAGAGATAGAGAGACAGAGAGAGAGAGAGGATAACAGCAGGCCGTGTGTCATCATTGCTCTCTGATCTCTTTTAAAGTGCTAAACACACACAGACAGCAGCATTCAAACGCAACAATTACACACACAGACACACACACACACACACACACACACACACACACACACACACACACACAGCACTGTGCCTGTCAGAGACCACCTTTCATTTATTTCATTTCCATTAAACAGCCATTAAGTTTCCAGTGAACAGTGTGATTCATTAAAAATGTTGGTATGATAGTAAAATTGAGTTCTATTAAAGCAGCATTCTGTATCAGTTTTACTGTAAAATAACAGCTTTAAAGTCATTCTGATGCTTTTCTGAATTATAACAGTGAGAACGGCGTCTCTGTCGTTGCCGGGCCAGAACGGCTGTTATAGCGCTATGTAACTTTGGAGGAGCAGCGCAAGAACCTCCTGCCAGAACTGCGTAACGCTTTATGGCACCACATCCAAGGTGGGAAATACAGGGGGTCCTGGGGGGTCCGGGACCAGAAGAAACGGCCCAAAATGACTTTGAAAAACGTCTGGTTCCATTGACTTACATTAAAAGTAAACTTTGTTTTTCCTTCTCCTGTAAAGTTACCATTTTGGAGATACGAGGTTTTCTTCTAAAACAACGGCATGTTCATTCAAAAATATGCAGGGGTGGTCTTGGCACTAAGGCCCCCATAAAAAATACAAATGAGATGAATTGTTTGTGGTGACGTTACGCAACATATCCCTAAATATACACACATTTCAGAAGTAGAAATTGTTATTGTTACAGTGGAAGATTAATGTTCTGTGACACAAAGACAGACTGGAGTGAACACGGCAGTTAAGCGATGATCTACATCCATGATAAGGACCCTTTAAATAAACGAAAGGGTGGGGGCACACTTACTTTTGCACAATTACTGCACAGGGCAGGCTGTGAATCTCCTACGAGGTGCTAACGCTAATGCTAATGCAAACAGCAGGGAGATGTGAGCACCAATATGGCGGAGTCATCAGTTCAGCACACGAGAGACACACTGTAGGTGTGTGTGTGTGTGTGCGTGTGTGCCTGTGTGTGCGTGTGTGTGCGTGTGTGTGTGTGTGTGTGCGTGTGTGTGCTGTGTGTGTGTGCGTGTGTGTGCGTGTGTGTGTGTGTGTGCGTGCGTGTGTGTGTGTGTGTGTGTTCTGTGCTAACAGAGCGTGAACAGAATGTTGAGTGGGTGTGGGGGAGAGTGTGTGGGGGGGGCTGGAGGGGGTGGGGTTGGGGCTTTAGAGCATCACACTAACATGGACATGTAAACAACAGAGTGACTGGGGGTGTGTTGCTGGCGTCATTGCCATGGCAACACAGTCTGCACAACAAGCAGGTCACTGTGTCTGCAGACGCATGATGTCACAAACATGCGCACACACGCACACACACACACACACACACACTCACTCACACACACAGACACACACACACAGACACACACACGCACAGACACACACACGCACACACACACTCACTCACACACACACACACACACACAGACACACACACGCACAGACACACACGCACACACACACACACAGACACACACACACTCACTCACACACACAGACACACACACACAGACACACACACGCACAGACACACACACACACACACTCACTCACACACACACACACACACACACACAGACACACACACGCACAGACACACACACGCACACACACACACACAGACACACACACACTCACTCACACACACAGACACACACACACACAGACACACACACACACAGACACAGACATGCACACACACACAGACACACACACAACACACACACAGACACACACACAGACACACACACACTCACTCACACACACAGACACACACACACACAGACACAGACATGCACACACACACAGACACACACACACACACAGACACACACACAGACACACACACACAGACACACTCACAGACACAGACACACTCACAGACACACACACAGACACACACACGCACGCACACACTCACTCACACACACAGACACACACACACAGACATGCACACACACACACAGACACACACACACACAGACACACACACACACAGACATGCACACACACACAGACACACACACACACACAGACACACACACAGACATGCACACACACACACAGACACACACTCACAGACACAGACACACACACAGACACACACACGCACGCACACACTCACTCACACACACAGACACACACACACAGACATGCACACACACACACACAGACACACACACACACACAGACACACTCACAGACACAGACACACTCACTCACACTCACAGACACAGACTCACAGACACACTCACTCACACTCACAGACACAGACTCACAGACACACTCACACACACAGACACACACACACACAGACACACACACACAGACATGCACACACACACACAGACACACTCACAGACACAGACACACTCACTCACAGACACACACACACTCACACACACTCACAGACACACACACACACACAGACTCACAGACACACACACACTCACAGACACACACACACACAGACACAGACTCACAGACACACAGACACACACAGACACACAGTAATGAGAAAAACAGAAAACAATGAAGAAAATAAAAGCTGATTAGACCACAAACTATCCATCCATCCATCCATCCATCCATCGTCTGTCCATTTATTTATTAATTTATTCCTGTATGTTCTCAGTAGAGGATGTTATCTTCACTGACGCACTCAGGCCGTACCATAATGCACTTTCACACAGCTCTATAAACGCTCATATCATCCTGTAATAGACTGTAAATGCAGTCATGTGCAAAAGTTTGAACACTCCTGGTCCAAATCCATATTATTGTTGATTTTCTGAGTGTAAATAAGTTACATCCTCTACTGTGAACACGTTTCTGCACGGTTTCTATACACAATGACTGTTTATTTACCGGATCCAACACATCAAGGGGAAAATAAAGATACAGTACAGTCTTAGCTACAGTCGTGGCTATATGGATATTTTTTTCATGTTAATAAACTAAAACTTGCTCAGAAATGTTGTGTGTTCTCTGTAGCGGATGTGATGATACCATAATGCATATTTGCACAGCTGTATAAATGCTCATATCATCCTGTATACTGTAAATGCAGTTGCCTGCAAAAGTTCTGGTCCAATTCCATGTTGTGTTGATTTGCTAAGTGTAAATACGTGAACACTTCCAACACTTAAATCTGATATTTATCTAATTTTAGTGCACAATATCTATTTATTTGCTGAGTTTAACACATTGGAAAAAATATGTGCCATAACTTTTGCACAGGCCACATTTTGTTTTTTTTTCTTTCTCAAATATGTTAAATTTAGCAAAAAAACAATAAATTATGGCATATTTATTTATATTTACAAGTAAATATGGCATTTCTGCACAATGTAACACAATTTCTATTAATTTTCTGAGTTCAACACAAAAATAAAACAGACTATAAAATGTGCCATAACTTGCCATAAACTTATGCCATAAATCATACAGTATGGTCTATGCTAAATAGGCCATACTGTATGTTTTAGTCTTTTCCTTAGTACGTTAAATTTGGCAAATACACAGTAAATAAGACGTGTAAACTTATTCACAGTCAGAAAATCAACATCGGGGTGCACAAACTTTTGCAAGTGACTGTAATTGTTTTTCTCAGATGCTGCACTATAAAGGGTTTTGTTATGAAACACATTATAGATCATTTTCAAGAATTTTCTTCCTTCCAGGATTTACGTTGTTGAAAATGGACACATACAATAAATATCAGTGCTATAATATGGTTAATAACACCTTAATTACAGAAATTAAAATGTGTTTTCTATTATACGTCAGCTGTTTTTCTTGTCAGAAAGTGTTGCAAACAGATATAAAGCATTGTGGAACGAATATCTTGTTTATTTATTTTATTATTACTTTATTTGTTGCTTAATTACCGTCTTTTTTGTATATTTGTTAATGGTCTGTATAGCGCTCACCAAGACAAATTCCTCATACTGGGCAAAATAAAGTGATTCCAAATAAAGCGATTATTATTTTAAGCACAAAAAAACAAATCAAAACAAAAACGCTGAAGTAATTTCCTTAGGAATCACTCTCACTCACATTCACACAAAGAAAAGTCAGAGCGTCCATCCATGTCCATATATTTTATTTCTACTCCACATTTCTGTCAATTATGTACAATACAACATTTATCTGACAATAAATAAGGTGAATACTCTGTACTCCGTATCTGTGAGATAAGATAAGGACCTCAACAGCAATAAAACACAAACAAGTGCAACATTAGGGGCGTAAATGCAGGCTGGCGTTATTAAAGCAGCTTTAAACAGCGCCACTGGCGACCTCTGCTGGCGGACCGCTATAAACGCGCTCAGAAATCTTATGACCATCAAATTACCACTAATGATGAGCAGCCTATGCTGTGTGAGACTAATTACACACGTGAAAGGCTAATAAGAGCAGATTTGAACTGAATGGCACTAATGTATGATTATTTTAGTTCAAATGAGTATTTTTAGCAGGTTTATAAAAGTCCTAAGCAGAGAAACGCCACTGATTGTAGTTTGGGGCATTTGCATAATTACAACATTTTTTAGTTCGGCTCTTTATTGAGCTCTGATGCTGCCTGAACCCCCCCACTTTCCATTAGCAGCAGAAATAAGGCAATTACTTTCTTTAATAATCGTTTAAACAGAAATATTATTTCTGGTTTGTGAGCGAATGTATGAGAACGTGTTTTTTTTTAGCTTACTTTAGTTCACGTAAAATGTAAAATAGCTTTACTGAAAGTGTCACATCGGACATTTGAGGATTTGCAGTTTTCAAAATGAGCTACTTGTGCAATAAAGCAGGATATTTGCATTTTTTTCTTTCACTATAGAATAAAAAATATACTAAATCAAATTCTAATTTAAAATACTTTGCTGTGGAATTAGTTGGTAACGTTCCTGCCCCAGTTTTGGAAGGTTCTACTGTGAAGATTGCAGAAATACAAGTGTTTAAAAGGATCACGAGTTCTTATTTATCATTAAACCTCCAAATTTAACTGCTTCCTATGCACAGAGATATTTACACACACACCTCTTCAACATACAGCATGTTTATATACAGTATATAAGAGAGCAGAAGAGCTGCGTGGGGTCCAGCAAAGAAATCTCACAAATAAAAAACAACAAAACACAAACAAACAATCAGAGCAGAAAGAAAAGAAAAGACATTATTGCAGAAAAACCACGGACAGAATGAAATGATGAAATGGATAAACTGTCGACGGGACGGGTTTTGTGAATGTTTTAAAGGCACATTTTGTTGATTTGGTGACATTCTGTAAAAATAAAGCTCCCACTTCGTTTTAATCGCTTCTGTACAAAAACCTTTTCTTCTGTCATCCATTCCTCTCTATTCTTATACAATGTAAACGTTTCTACACATTTCAAAACGAGGAAAAATATCATTTGTCTCATATTAATGTGTCTTTGATGGATTCTTAGTGTTACTGTTTATTGGTCCCATTTAAATGAAAAGATACAGCAGCTTTGGCTAAACGAGACTAAAGTGCTGCAGAAATCCCAAATCTAGAACCCAAACTATAACCAAGGCTAGATCCCTAACCAGAACGCTCTATCTGTTCATTTTCCAATCTAGATCCCAGTCTAGAGCCCGATTTACAAGCCAATCTAGAAAGTTCTGTTGGTCCACTTTATAAATGAAAATGTTTTAACAGCCAATTCTAGATGCCAGTCTAGAACCCAGGCTAGATCCCAATCCAGAATGTTTTACAGGTCCATTCTTTTTATATGAATGCTCTCCTGGTTCATTTTCCAATCTAGATCTTGGTCTAGAGCCTAATTTACAAGTCAGTCTAGACCAAAATCTAAAACCCAGGCTAGATCCCAAATCCAGAATGTTCTGTTGGTTCATTTTCCAATCTAGATCCCAGTCTAGAGTGTTTTAGGGGTCCATTCTTTTGATATGAATGTTCTACTAGTTTTTCCAATTTAGATCCTGGTCTAGAGCCCATTTTACAAGTTAGTCTAGATTCCAGTCTATACCCAAATCAAGAACCCAGGCTAGATCCCAAATTAGACCCCAATCTACAACGCTCTGTCCACTCTACTCATTTAAACGTTCGATTGGTTCATATAAAATAACGAACCAATATAATGTAGATCATAATTCAGACCCCAGTCTAGATCCCAATCTAGATCACATGGTCCTCATGGTTTGTCGTCCACTGTGTTTTGTGTAATAATGTTTGACCGTTTCTTCTCTGTTCTGTTAGAGTAACTGGATTAGCGTTGATGGTTCTTCAGAGAAACGCAGAACCGTATCACACTGGTTGGATTTTGTACAACAAGCAGAAAACATGTAAATAAAAACCAGACAGACAAAATTCTACAAAATAAAAATAAAATAAAATAAAATAAAATAGTGTCAAATAATTATTAATTATTGTAATGAAAGAAAAGCTACACGTGTTTCTATGTGTGTTTGTTTGTACAAACGTACAAGTCCTTCAACAGGTGTATTTACACAGTCTGTGCAGGTGAGTTCCTGAGAGCACCGTTTGTGTGTGTGTGTGTGTGTGTGTGTGTGTGTGTGTGTGCGCGTGTGTGTGCGTGTGTGTGTGTGTGCGCGCGTGTGTGCGCGTGTGTGCGTGTGTGTGCGTGTGTGTGTGTGCGTGTGTGTGTGTGTGTGTGTGGCAGGTTTCTCGGCAGTGCTGTGAGTCACTGCCCTGATTTCCTGGGAGTGGCCACGACTCGTCTTTTGGCCTGGTAGAAATCTGAAAGAGGAACAAAAGGGAAAATTATTCAAATGAAGAAAATATAAACACAAACAATAAACAAAAACAACAACAAACATCAAACACCACAGTGAACTTCAGAACAAACACTACAATAAACACCATGACACCTTAAAACTCATAAAAGCATCATAACATTGTTGTCGAAACATTAGTTCAAATGTTCTACTGGTCCGAATGTTCTAGTGGTCTATTCTACTGACCCAAAAGATGGTCTATTTTATTGATCCAAGTGTTTTGTTGGTCCATTCTATTGTCTCAAATCTCAAATCCACTGTCCAAATGTTCTTCTGACCAATTCTATTGACCCATAACTTCTTCTGACCCATTCTATTGACCCACATGTTCTTCTGACCCATACTGTTGACACCAGGAGGTTCTTCTGATCCAACCTATTGACCCAAAATGTTCTTCTGACCCATTATATTGACCCAAATGTTCTATTCCTGCATTCATATCCAAATATTCTTTGGGTTAATTTTATACGTCCATCCTATTGGCTCTAACGTTCTACTGACCCATTGAATTGGTCCATCTATTGACCCAAATGATCTATTTATCCATTCAATGTGCTCAAATACTCTATTGCTCCATTCTGTCTGTACAGATGTTCTACAGGTGTTTTTGATGGTCCATTATACTGGCTCAAATGTTCCAATGGCCCACTAAATCAGTCTAATCTATTGACCCAAATGTTCTACTGGTCCAATTAATCTGTCCTGATGTCTCATTTTATTGGTCCGTCTGTTTGACCCAAATGTTCTGTTTGTGCATCTATTTGCTAAAACTACGCGTACCTGTGATGTTGGTCTGTTTCCTCTTCAGCGGGTTGTTTTTCTCGGGCGTTTTCTCCAGGTTCTCCGGGGCGCTGCTGTACCTCTCTGGTGTTGTGGGGACGTTCTCTTTTCCGATCGTGGGCCGAGTCGGACCCGTTGTCGTGGCGACGGCCAATGTGGACTCCGCCCTCTGAGGCACTGGCTCCTCCCCCACAATGCAGGACCGGTACAGGGCGGGTACGCGGGCCCCCGGGACCCCCTCCCACTGAAAATCTCCGCTCTCCAGGGGCTTCTCGGAGAGGAAGTCGAAGCCCCAGCGGCGCGACGCGTCCTCTAGATCCTTCCGCAGAGCGTCTCTGTACTCCGCCTGCAGCTGCTCACGATCCACCGGACCAAACAGGTTCCTCCGAGCAGGACCGTTACCCAGAGAACGTAGAACACGCTTATGGAACGACATGATCTTACACTGCGGAGAGAGAGAGAGAGAGAGAGAGAGAGAGAGAGAGAGAGAGAGAGAGAGAGAGAGAGATAAAGAAAGAATGTTAGTAATGCTGCACCAATGAAAGACATTTTCTTTACATATACATATACATATACATATATATACATATATATGTTTGTATGTATGTAATGTGTGTGTCTAATGTTACTATGTCAAACTTGTAACAATAGCAGAACCCTTTTTGGTTCCATATAGAACCACTTTCAAAAAGGTTCTACATAGAACCATACACAACACATATATACATATTACATCAATCTAAAGAACCGTTTCACCATGCAGAGAATCCTTTAAGCATGCAAATGTTTCCTTGAGTGTTCATGGGTCTCTATAGAACCATTATCTTCACTAAAGAACTTTTGAAGAACCATCTTTTTAAGTGCGTATAAATAAATATAATGTACACACGAGGTTTTGTTACAAAAGTGACCATATATTAGTTAACATGTTTATTTAAATCAACAACATTTAAATAAGTCAATCAATATGTTTCTTATGGTGAAGGAGCAACATCTCTCCACACTCCACAAATACACAAATACACAGCCCAATGTAGCACCTGGTTGACCTTACTTTACTATATCCCCCTATCGTATAAAGTAACATGAGCTGACACTGATATTAAATCTTAAACCTTCCTTAAAAGTCTCTTCAGAAGGAACAAGTACAGGCATCTCACCATCTTCGCCCCTGAGCTCTTCAGCCAGCAGCTCCAGCAGGATGCGTCTGCTTCAGAGTGAAGGAACTGAACTGATAACCTGGCTGTGCTCAGGCTTTTAAAGCAGAGCGCGTGACTCAGAGCTCCTTCCCGTCTTCCTCGTACATGTCTGGGCAAAGCAGCTTTTACAAGTGGAGACTTGTCCTAACTGAGGCACTGAGGCTGCAGTGACCAGCCGGGTCCACCAGAGGGCGACATTAACACAGCACTTCAGCAGTGCAGTGATAATTCACATTCAATCCGCAGCCAACTATGATAACTCGGTCACTTCTGTAATACATTATTCTGAAATCTTTTTAACTTCAACTGGAATCCATAAAAACTTCTCTATTATAAATAATTATTGTTATTAAATTCAGTCTTTGTCACTGATTTTTAATGAGACAACAGAAAATCCTAATCTGATTGCTAGTTCATCTATGAAAATCACATGCAATCAAAAAATTCTCATGTTTACTGTTAGATGTTCATCTGACATATAAATAAACAACATTTCTTAACCAATTTAGACCACTTCTCACATATATAGTATTCAGTAGTGTGTATGAATGGGGTCATATTCATTTTCCCCAATACAAGACAGCACACACTGTGAATACAGTTAGATTTATGCTATAAAAATGTGATACCAGACACAGACGGAAATGTCTCTACTCTAAAGGCCACAAAATCAGCAACAAGCAGCTGCTAATCAGTTAAAATCAATATAGAATATATTAAACCCAGACTAACAGTGTGTTGTGTAACACATCCTTTTTTAAAGCTGATATTTTACAGTTTATCTCACTGCAAATGAGTCAATGATAATCATTCCACGCTACAGACGTGGCTAATGAGCTCTAACAGTCTAAAACTGTACAGAAACGCAGATATTTCAGTTTATGGGTTTAATCAGTCCTGTGTCGGTACTGCGCCGAGTCAACGTCAGCGTAAGAACCTGACAGGCCAGTCTGAGATTAAACTCAACACCGAACACAATATGATGCAATGCATCAAGCTCTGTAACATGTTAGGCGACGGCAGGTTTCGGTATGACTGTCCAGCTCAGACAGTGCTGTAAAGAACAGCTACAGCAGACAGGGGGCGCCAGAAACACTGCCTCTATCTATCTAGGTATCTAGGTATCTATCTACAATTCTATCTGTTTCAAAACCTCAGATGTTCTTTACATTGTGTGGAGATTTTGTGATGGACAGTAATCCAATATTACCTAAATTTTTACGAAATTGCAAAATTACTAAAACCTTATATTCATTTCCAGCAGCTAAATTTCATAAAAGAAGGAAAAATGGCACAGAACTTATTCTGATTGGTCTAAAGTGATGAATATATGTTTGTAATTATATTTTGGATAAAAATCAAACTGATTTTTCTGCACATTTGATTTTTCATTACATTTTCCATATTTTTCAGATTTTTAATCATAATCACATTTAGAATTTCTATTGTTTTGTTAAGAATCAGTGCCCAAAAGACAGATTTGTGAGATCTGTGCTCAGAGAACATGTGAACCAAAGGAAATGTAGAATTTCAGAAACAGAGATTATATTTTAGTTTTTCCTTCTCCTGGAAAGTGGCCACTTTTGGAGACATGAGGATTTAGTTACATCAGCAATAACAAACACAAATCTGCTTATTTAGCCAGTATTAAGTTCTGACACCAATGCAAACGTTTGGTCCACTGTTCCACTGTCCTCCCAGCTGGAACCTCTTCAGTCATACAGCACAAAGCCAACATCAGATTCCATCAGAGGGCAGGTGGTGGTGGGTGTGATGGAACTGAGCGGGAGGGTCTGATCTGAGATCAGCGTCTGATTAGGAGCAGACTGAGGGGGATTTCAGGGTCTGAGAAGCGGAAAGAACGTCTAGAACAGAGCCAGACAGTCTGATCACCAGGCCTAAAGCTGGGAGTCTTACAGTCTTACAGTCCGCATACCAACCTATTAATGTCCATTAATGAAATGACACATTTCTTTTGCTCTGCATGGCCTTTGATTAGAAACCTGAAGAAATCTGTGAACTTTTAGCACCTAATTCATCGATAAATTAGAAAATCCTAATTCAACTGATGGAAATTACATGTAAGCAAAAAAAATCTAATGTTTACTGTTAGATGTTCATCTGAGGTATAAATACTCAAAATTTCATAAACAATTTAAGCCACTTTTGGGCATTTTTCACATATTTAGTAAGCATGAGTGGGTATGAATGGGTCTATGTTCTTTTTTTTCAATACGTGACACGGCTCACTGTGAACACAGTTAGATTCATGCTATTCAAACATGATACCAGACATAAATTTCCACTGTTCTATTTTTATATATAATATAAAAATATATAATGTATAATAATATATAATATATAAAAATGTATAATTATTTGTCTAATAACACAATTTTGGCATATTTTAAATTCTGTACCATAAAGGTGGTGTGAAAACCACAGCACACACTGTACTGTGAAATTTGCATGTGCTGCTTCCCTCGAAATGGGACGGAAGTGAGGGAAGCGAGCGTGACCGCGGATGGGGAGGGGGCTTCCAGGAAACCAGTCATTCAAAGAAAAGAGGAAAAACCCTCAGAGCACCAGCACAACGTCACACTCTGACAACTGCAGCCAGAACATCAGCACATTCAGTTCTCAACCTCAAGTTACGGCTGAGAGGTGAACAGAAAGGCCACCTTTATTACCCTTTTAGAGATAAATATATAATAATAATAATGATAATAGTAATGATACTGTGCTTATAATAATTATAACCATGAATAATTCAACAGAAATTTACTTTAATTTTATAAAATTGCAAAATTTTTAAATCTCACTTTTATTTCCAGCTAAATTTAGTATGATGAGGAAAAACGCCACAGAACATGATCTGAAACACCACCTCTGATTATATTTTGGATGGAAATCTAACAGTAACTATTTCATTTTTAATTACATACATTTTTCTGATTTTTTTTTTTTCAGAAGCAAATTCAGATTTTTTGTTCAATCAGATTTTGTTAAATTAGTGCCCAAAGATGTTTTAGGCTAATAATTAAAATTTGGAAGTTAACAGATCATATGAAGTAAAGGAAGTATAACATTTATAATTATAATGCTACTATAATAAAAATTTAAAACAAAAAAAGAAATAGAAAAACATATATATATATATACACACACACACACACATCATAACACGATATATATTAAGTATTAAAAAAATAAAAATAATTTGTATTTTTATTATAATCAGATACACTCTCAGTGCCCCTACAAGTAAACATATGGGAACATATGTTCATAAATAGGATCATATATTAGTTTATGAATATACTAATTTATGCAAAAATACTCATAATCGCTAATCGTCTATATTTACTTAATATGTCCAGTCATGACTCCTATTGGTTGAGCGGGAGACACGTGCGCCTGACAGAGCAATAAAATTGAAGCTGGTGGCGGGAAGCAGCGCGAGCTCCTGATTGGCCAGGCGCGGCGGTGACGTAGCAGCTCGTGCGGTATACGGCCACGTGAATGAGTGTTCGCGTGTAAGCCGGTCAGGGTTCACACCCAAAACATCACAATCACACATGCACACACATTACACACGAAAAACTGACCGAAAACTGACCGAAACACCGTTAAAATCTACCGGGAGAATCAGCAAAACTACACAGAGTGACTTTTATTCTATTTCTTTGCTTTCCACGTTCAAGCCATAAGCTAAAAACAGATTTCAGGCCAATAATTTACACACAATATGCGACGAAAACAGTTTTAAAGACATCATTAGGCGAACTGAGGGCCTTATTGTGGTTTTCTGACAGGTTTAGAGTGGAATCAATCAGTTTTACAGGTTATATGGAGCCTTAAAACGTTCAAAACAGGGTTTAACGGTTTAGTGTAGGACTCAGGAATGTTAGTATAAAACATGCGCAAAATAAAAGTCCTCTCGTTCACTCAATAATGAAGGAAAACAAACACCCTGTCTGAAGAAAGTTAAATAAAAGAAGGAAAAACCGGCTCGTGCAACTTACATGGGCTGCTGTTTGTGTCCAGAGCGCGTGTGGAGAAGCTGATATGGACCTTGAGGAGCCCCTGAAGGAGAATGAGGGTCTATCGGGTTTCCGCAGTGATGTTAGAGGAGCCGCGAGCTCTGGGCTGAAACTCTAAACTCCTTCTGAAAGTTCTCGACTTTCTCTCTCTCTCTGTGAAGCTCCTTCTCCGGGTCACCGGGATCTCTCCGTGTGGGCGGGGCCGGGGCCATCCCTCAAATGTGGGCGGGGCTAACGGGAAGAGCACGTGTACTGAGCCCGGTAAACACGCGAGAACACGTGAGATCATTTCCCCTCCCGAACATTTTTTCCCTGCAGACATTCCAGACCGAGCCTATTTATAAATGGGTGGGTGTGAGAGTTCGTTACTGGTTATTATTATTTTATATTAATAAAAATATATAAAAACATTATCATCATCGTCATCGTCATCATCATCATCATCCCAGTGTTCTCATATCAGTGCTGCCTTCTGTATTACAGTATAGTATTTATAACTGTGTCAACTATTTATCACCACACATTACAGAACATTTGTTATCATATGCAAATATATTCACAACTGCAGCTGACTGATAGGTTGTTGCTTTACAGTATCAGTTTTTTCTGCTTGTACTTTGTATTAAGTCACTGTATTGTAAGTATTTGTATTGTTTACTGTATAACAGTGTCATTGATATTTGAATTGTTTTTTATTCTTTATTATTTGGCTGCCGTTGCTGTAATCCAGCAAACTGAACTTTGGACACTTGTGCCGAAGTTTGATTGAGAGCTCTGCCCACTGCGCTCACCGCCAGGCTCAGGCCTGTTTAGGTCAGCACAAAACGTGAAAGAGAGAGAGAGAGAGAGAGAGAGAGAGAGAGAGCGATAGAGAAAGAGAGAGAGAGAGAGAGTAAGAGAGAGCAAGAGAGAGAGAGAGAGAGAGATAAAGTGAGAGAGAGAGACCGTTAGAGTAAGAGAGAGCGAGAGAGAGTAAGAGAGAGCAAGAGAGTAAGAGAGAGATAGAGAGAGAGAGAGAGAGAGAGAGAGAGAGTAAGAGAGAGAGAGCGAGAGAGAGTAAGAGAGAGAGTAAGAGAAAGAGCGATAGAGTAAGAGAGAGAGAGAGAGTAAGAGAGAGCGAGAGAGAGAGATAGAGAAAGAGTAAGAGAGATAGAGAGAGAGAGTAAGAGAGAGAGAGAGAGAGGGAGTAAGAGAGAGAGAGCAAGAGAGAGTAAGAGAAAGAGAGAGTAAGAGAGAGAGGGAGAGAGTAAGAGAGCGAGAGAGAGATAGATGGAGAAAGAGTAAGAGAGATAGAGAGAGAGTAAGAGAGAGAGAGAGAGAGAGAGGGAGTAAGAGAGAGAGAGAGAGAGTAAGAGAGAGCGAGAGAGAGAGAGATAGATAGATAGAGAGAGAGAGAGTAAGAGAGAGAGAGAGGGAGAGAGAGAGAGCATCTACTTCACAGCTGTCAGTGTGGCCTGAAAGGCCTTTCTGTGAAATTAAAACATGTCTGTCCTCGTCAGGTTATTTTTATTTACTACGATCATTAAGCTTCTTGTATTTAAGCTCCGTAAGTGTAATACTGTGTAATTGTAATACAGTAATACTGTTATTTCAGTGTAAAGTTTTGTTTGGAAACAAAAAGATTCAGCTGAGCTGCTCTCTCATTGGTTAGGATCCTCAGGAGCTGGACTGAACTACCAACATAATTAGGAAGTGACAGAGGAATCAACCAATCATGCTCTGATTTACAATGAAACCAGATGTTATGAGGAAAAAGAGAGATCAGTTTCTGACGTTGTGTGATCCTCACCCCAAAGGAGCCCAGTGGAGCTTCATCACTCCTAAAAAGTCCGCTCCACTGCTCCACAGTCGAGTGCCACACTTATAGTAAGTAATGCCGGGTTAATCAGGTGCTGTATTGATGAGGCTTGAATAGATCAATGGCAAAAGATGATTAGCGACGCATACATTTATGCCTCTGAATGATCATTATAAATATTTTAGTGTTTAATAATCAGGAACTGGTATTGCAGCTACATTTGTTTTCTCCACTTCAGTGTCAACATTAAAGTAATTCCAGTGGGTTTCAGGCCTCACTGTAAACTCTTCATGGCCTGTGTACAAAAGGTAAACATGATAAAGATGCTTTTGCTTTCATGAGTTCAGCTTCATTGTTTTTAAATGAGGTACAATCACACTTTCACTCTAACTGGACTGTAGAGGGATTCTTTCACTTTCCCTTCAGTAACAGTCCAATAACTCTCTAATGCATACTGCAGTGTGTAACACTGCTGTGTTAGTCTGTGTGATTATTATAATGATTAGAAAATACAAAACTGAACTTAAGTACATGGGGTTAGTTGACTAACAGAGTTAGGCCGTCTATTTGGGCCATAACTGTCAAAACTCAGTCCAAAAATTTAGATAAAACCCAACTCTACTATACTATGATGCTACTTTCCCCTATGGGATTTCTCATAGTATGTTAGCACCAAGCTATTGTGATTGACATTAGCATTTTGTGTGTGTTCTAGATTAAATGTGGACATTTGAAGCTTGTAAGACATTCTGTATGTTTTATTTGAAGCTTATAACAGACGTAACATCTCTTTGACTCCTCCATGTGTGTACTCTGGT